CGTGGTAGTCGCATGATTTGCCTTGTTTCTGGTCAACGGCCAGTGAATCGCACGTTCTTCCGTACTTCGTAAAAACTTGTGTTATTGTTTTATACAAACACGTCAAAGCTAAAAATGATTACATGACAATTGCAATTCATTTATATGAACTTCAATCATCTAAATTGAAATATTCGAAGTTAGATATGAAAAATATTGAAAATATAAGTTTTTCTGCAGAGTATATATATATATATATATATATATATATATATATATATATATATATATATATATATATATATATATATATACAACCATATATTCTTATACCCATCATTATATTAATATTCCATTTGAAACTTTGACGTTTAATTGGGATTGAAGGAGGTAAATAATATTATTTATAAAATGTACACTATTTAAGCGATTCATTTCATCTGTCTTCCCAAACTACCGTCAGCAAACGTCTTATATTTACTTGCTATAAGGATTCTTCCCAAGCAAGTAGGGGTTCCTCCTAATCAAGTATAATTATTCAATTTACTGAGTGAATGATATGATTTTGAAACCCTCGAAAAGTGACCCACTGGGTAAAAGTTCTTTACCTAAAGCAAACACAGAGTCTAGGAGATTCTGAACACTGCACACTGAAGAGTTTAAATTTGATGGTAGATTGGTAGTTAGACAGATCTCGCTTTAGATGTAATATAGAATGAACAGAAATCTACAGTGAATGGCAAGTGTAGTCTACTTGTGCGCCAAGTTAAAATCAGACCAAAACTATACGAGGAGTAGCGTACTGAAAGAATTTAACAGAAATTCCAATTTTTAGTAACCACGGCAACACCGTTCATCAACGGTTCAAAAGAGAATTATCTTAGTGTAGTCTACTTGCATGCCAAGTTATATCAAAATCAGACCAAAACTGTAGGAAGCGTAGCGTATTGAAGAATTTCACAGAAATTCCAATTTTTAGTAACCATGGCAACATCGTTCATCAAAAACCGATAAGAAGAATTATGTATCTTAGTGTAGTCTACTTGTCTACCAAGTTATATTGAAATCAGACCAAAACTGTAAGAGAATATCGTTTTGAAAGTAATTCACAGAAAATAATATTTTTAGTAACAAATATATATATATATTTGATGCCAAATTGACAGAATTCTTTAGTTAATATACAAAAGTGAAATAAGGTTAAGATATAAAAGCAACAGAAGCGACCAAAAACCAAAACCAAGCGTTAAGTGCAGTTATCCTTTATCCAAATTTTAGATTTTCTTTCAGGACTAAAGACAAGGATTTTCTATGCCAAGAATTGTACGGATACACGTGGTCAGAGTACGGGCTTCTACCCATTTCAAAAACTGTTACGCTTGAATAATCAGGATTTTTTTTTATCACAATAGAGTGTAGCTTATTTCTGTTATATAGGACGTTTTGTTGTAGACGTTCAAAGTTTAAAAAATTGGACATTTACATCTATACCTTTCTTTTTTGTTCAGTATAGTAAACATAGCAACACCATTCATCGAAATCAAAAACCGATAAAAAGAATATTGTCTCTTAGTGCAGTCTACTTGTGTGCAAAGTTATAATGAAAATAGGCCAAAACTGTAGGAGGAAAAGCGTTTTGAAAGAATTTCACAGAAATTTCTATGTTTCAGTAACCTTGGCAACACCGTTTAATTGAAATCATAAACCAATACACAGAATTATGTACCTTAGTGTAGTCTACTTGTTTGCCAAGTTATATTGAAATCAAACCAACAATGTACGAGGAGAAGCATTTTGAAACCAGAAGTCTCTTACGTGACTGTAGCTCTACTGGTTTGTACTCATGACAAAGGTAGCGAAAAATAGCACTTTGTCTTGAAACTGCGCAACAGCAATACGTAGAATAATGATCCTTGATTTACTCTTTTTGTGGCAAAATTTATTCCAATCGGACTAAAACTGTAGGAGGAATAGCCTTTCAAAAGAATTTTACAGGAATTTCGATGTTAGTAAACATGGTAACATCATTTATGAAAAAAAAAATCGATGAAGAGAATTATGTATTTTAGTGTAATCTACTTTTGTGCCAAGTTATATTGAAGAAATCAGACCACATGTAGGAGGAGGATTTTGAATGTATTTCTCAGAAGTTTCTATTATAACCATGGTAACACCGTTCATCGAAATTAAAAACCGATAAACAGAATTATGTATCTTAGTGTAGTCTACTGGTGTACCAAGTTATATTGAAATCAGACCAAGACTGTAGGAGTTGTAGTGTTTTGAAAGTATTTTACAGAAAGAAGATGGGTGAACAAGGCGTGCAGAATGCCTATAGCTTCAGATATTTAAAAAAATCATATTCACTTTGTAAATAAAGTATTTAAAGTCAAGTTCTCATTATTGAAATTTATGAAATTATGATCAACAAAACTTTTCTGAGAAAAAAAGATCTCGGAAAAAAATTCTTTTATTTAAAAAATAAAATGGTATTCGTGGGATTCGAACCCCTAACAATAAAATCCGGAGTATCATATTGATTTGAGACTAACACGCTAACCACTACGCTAAACAGCTATTGATGAATAGTGGCGTTTAAATCATGTTTGTGATATGACCCTTGACTTAATGGACTTCAAGCATTTCTCGGAAAGATGCGAATGCTTTGTCATAAAAGTGTACTTTTAAGGTATAGTGGGTCTTTGCTCCATGTTTTTGTAAACCAAAAAATGTACATTTTTATGCAAACTTTTAGGATTAACTTTCAAAAAAATGGAGCAAAGACCCACTCATATCGAAAAAATTTGTTTAAGTATGAGAAAGTGATCCTTTTTGCCCTCTTTAGTGAGTGTATGCTATTTCGTAGGCAAATAATTTCAGTCTTTGTGAGATTGTTGTAAATTGTTGAGATTTTTCATCAAGTATACTTTAATGTTAGATGAAATATCAAAGAAAATTTTGATATAATTGAGATTTTATTTTTCACTTCATGTTTGTCGCACTATAGGCACTTCGCCCGCCTTGTTCACCCATCTTCTTTCTATTTTGGTAACCATGGCTACACTGTTCAAGGAAATCAAACCGATAAACATAATTATGTATCTCAGTGTAATCTACTTGTGTGCCAAGTTATACTTATTTCAGACCAAAACTGTACGAGGAGTAAGATTTTGCAAGTATTTTACAGAAATGTCTATTTTTAGTAACCATGGCAACACCGTTCATCTGAATCAAAAACCAATACAGAGAATTATGTATCTCAGTGTATTCTACTTGTGTGCTAAGTCATATTAAAATCAGACAAAAACTGTAGGAGGAGTAGCGATTTGAAAGTATTTAACAGAAATTTCTAATTTTAGTAACCATGGCAACAAAGTTCATCGAAATCAAAAAAAAAAAAAAAAAAAGACACATAAAAATATGATTCTAGCGTAGTCTACTTGTGTGCCAAGTTATATTGAAATCAGACCATAACTGTAGGAGGAGTAGCGTTTTGAAAGTATTTCACAACCATGGCAACACCATTCAAAGAAATCAAAAACCGATACACCGAATTATGTATCTTAGTGCGGTCTCCTTGTTTGCCATGTTATATTGAAATCAGACCAAAACTGTAGGAGGAATAGAGTTTTGAAAAATTGTTTACAAACGGACATCTTAATTCCGACGCAGATGCTCTAGTATGCTGGAGAGAGGGGAGGGGGATTTCAATGTGATTTTTGATCAGGAACAGGTAGATGAAGTAGTAAGAGATAAAAAAAAAAAAAAAAAAATAAAGAAAATTATATAAAAAAATTATTATAAAAAATTCTTTAAAGGAAGGGGGGGGGGGGGTTGCGTGGTAAAAACAGGGTCCTGCCTACAAGCACCTGTAATATAAAGTGCCTCAGGACCCTAAAAAATAATTTTAAGTGATGCCTCAGGCTCTGTTATAAATAGAAGATTGGTTTTGATATGTTTATAGAGTTCATTCGCAAATGTGTATTAAACAATGCGGTAGGCAACATCGTCCTTAATCATGCAGTTTGCAACGATTGGCAATGAAAACCGACATTGCCAGTCAGGAATATCATCATTTTCTCATTTTAATAATATTTTATTTTCACATGAAGAAAATCTTATCGCATGAAACATTTTAATATCAGAGGGTTTCAGTAAAAATCATAGTGAACGTATAAAATACTTAATTCAAATAAGAGCTTTAATTATTCATAATTATCTGTTTCCGGTTTGCATGAGGAAAAAAAACCTTTACCAGTTTTAAAATGTGCAGAATTGTCAATATTTGACGTATACAATAATTCTTGTTTCCAAGCATTATGTTTTGATAAAGTTGATCTTACGTCAATGAGTAACAATAACGCATGCAAGTCAAGGGTTTTCGGTCTGTAGCGGACCGAAAACCTGATAAATGTATCCTGTGCAATACTAATTTAAGATACAATAATGATAAAATATTCAAAGGCATCCACAATTTCTGTACTAATTTATCAGTGGATTTTATACCATTGGTGGTTTTCGCAGTCTCTGATGGATCTGACACTCTTGAAATGTTTCGAGCTGTTGTAGCAGAGCACTCGAAACTCGCAGTAGCTGCTCTCGATCCGCATTTTTTCGCGAGATTTTATTGGCGATAATGATGGAAATTTATTATATACTTATTCTTTCTGAGAATATCCAGCTGATGTATCTGGTTAATTTATCAAACTTCTCCTTGCTCGGACCTGAAGTTGACCACTGCTGATGGTCTTTGTGCCAGGGTTTGTAGTAGACCAAGCTTGACCAGTGGATCCTAAAAGTGACCATTACTGACTGTGGTTTCTCTGTCTTATACTGGCCGGCGGGTTACTATTGTCACTGACGTCCTGTTAGGGATTGTTAATAGTAAAGTCTGTCCGGTGGGTCTTGGAAAACCTCACGGTGATCGTCCTGTTAGGGATTGTAAATAGTGAACTCTGTCCGGTTGAAGACATTTACTCCTTGAGATGACCGACTGTAACCGATGTTCGAGATAAAATCTTTTCAGTAGTTCACGGTCTTTTGTCAGGGATTGTAGAAGATGAAGTCTGACCGACGACTCCTAGAGATGACCACTACAGTATTGGACACCAGATCCATTGACAGGTTTTTGAACGTTTTAGTGATCAGATTAGCTACCTCCTTGTTTTGGACCCATACATGGAGGATCTGCTTATTCCATTTCTCCAATGTATTTCTGTTTGCTTGATTTACCCCTGCAAGAGAGAAAATTAAATTATTTGATTTATGTATTCCTGCAGCGTAGAAAATAGCCTCAGCAGTTGGGGATTAAAGGCGGGGGAGGGGGGGGGGGGCGGGCACACTCTCCCAAGATTTTCAGATTTGCCAAATGTATAAATTACAGCAAAGTAACAAAAAAATTACTTTGAACCCTTTCCCTCGTTTTAGGAAACACAGACTCTTGTAAGCTGGAAAGAAGAGTCATTTATGAGTATATCATGTATAAGAAGGAAAGCGGCTTGTCTACGAGAAGTCCCCCCCCCCCCCCCCGAAATAGGTTATCGTGTTTAAATTTTTTTTCGTTATCCCTTGATCAGAAAATATAAAATATAGCTATAGTATTGTATGCACTATACGTACCTCTCAGCTTCTTCGTCAGGAGATGTTGAGCGTCCTCCTCTGTAAAGTCGCCTCGGTACTTCATAGCACGTGTGACAGACACGCCCACTTTTGTGTCGAAAATTTCACAAACGTAATCAGTTATAGAACCTCCTTCTGGGAAGTAAGAAACCTCCATTTCAGTCTGAAAGATGTTAATTTACAGAATTTACAAAACGAAAATGCCACATCAGTGCTGTAATTTATTAGCATAGATGCATATAATACTATTTCTTGCTTAAATCAGAAGAAAAATAGATTTTTTAACTTTACGATACGTGATTTTCAAATTATTTTTTGTCAATTAATTTATCATTCAACATATTAGTGTTTGAACGTAATTTAATACTAGGATATACATGTATCTGGATTTATAAGCCAAACGGCATATGAAAGTACTAGTATTAGTATACAAGGCAAACTGACTGTGGATCCGCTCCCCCTTATAAATCGTTAATGTACCCACCTTGAGAAGCTTAGCGTGGAAACATCTGTGGAACGTTTCAAAGGAGAGGACTTCCGAAATAACAGAATTACCCCCAGCATTAGGAACACTCCATATTTTCTCGGCTGCCGTGGACAGCTTCATGTGTTTGAAGTGTATAACTGGGTCGAAATCCAAATGAACCAAACCCCCATCCTTGTTATTCTGTACAGACTTCTGTATTGCAAAATAATCGTAAATTCGAACGCTGAAATTATTTCCAATGTACAGATTACAAGGAAGAGCTTTCACTTGAGATTGGGCAGAAGCTTTCTCCCAGTCCCCAAGCTTCAATGATGAATTTACAGTCACCCTCCTCTTGTTTGACACGGGAGGTCTTAGAGACCCAATGGTGGGCCGGACTAGAGAAAAAACGGTGGCGCTTAGGCGCCCCAGGGGCGCGCTTCCCTGGGTGACGAGTGGAATGGTGCTGATTTCGCTTGTTATCCATCGTTAAACGTTTATTTGTCATCTATTAGATTAAGGCTCTGTTCACAACTCGATTTTCAGTGTATGATGAAATATCACGAAGGAAGATTGTTTATATATTGACGACATGTGCTCATTTCTATTTTTAACCAAGCCAAATATACTAACCAATCAGAATTAAATACATAATAAGTCGGATGTTTAACTGTGCTGTGATGAACCTTTTAAATGTACAGGGTCATTGATCTTTGGTATTGAGTATTTCCTAGCAATATTTATTACACTTTGGGATTCCATGATGTAAAAGAACAGGCCCGTAGGAAGCAATTTCACTTTGAGGGGGCACATCCATACATATACAGTTTGGGGAGGGGGGGGGGTCATCAGACGTTATTATAGAGGGGACACAAGCATATAGTAGCTATGTTTTCTATAGTATTCTATATATCGGCAAAATTATTGGAGGGGAGGGGGGGGGCACGCGCCTTGTTCCTACAGCCATGAAGAAGGTGCAGTTGCTGAGGGAGACACAGAGCAGGTGGAGATTTTTAACATTTTACTTGTTTCTTTGAGAGTACTTTTCATTTCTGGATGAAATTTTCATTGAAAAATGAACAATTTCCGGGATTTTTCCAAAGACCTTGAAAACGTTTCCTGAATATTAGGCAAGCTTTTAAATAAAACAAACTTTTGTTGTTGTCTTGGAAGAACTAGCAAAAATATGTGATGTTAACTCAATTCGACATCATTTGCATTAATTCACCGACTGATTTAACTATATACATCGGCGGCATAAATGCATATATTTTTATAAAAACATACTGTATGTCATTCCTTGTATATTAGTGATGTCGAAATGCCCGATCGATTTGGAATATTATGCAAGCGCGAATCTAAGATTTTTTTCAAGGAAAATGGGGAGGGGGGTTCCACAGAGCAAACAAAATTATTATGACAGTTTAGTAACATTCTTAAGTAAACTTCCTTATTTTAAGCGGGGTCCGTGTTTTCTATGTGGTTTCTTTACATACATATCAATTTAATAACTTTGAAAATTCCGGGGGGGGGGGGGGGGGCTCACCCACCCCCTACATCCGCGTATGTTGTGATTTACCGATCCCAACCACCCAGCCCAAATCAATAAGAAAAGGAATACATTAATCAGCGGTTGTTTATTCCTTAAGTTGATAAAAATTAGAATTTCTCCTCAGAAAAAGAATTTTATCCAATTGATAAACAAATATTATCAAAACTAAACAGCGCTTGTTCACGCAGGCAAGTAATATCATCCCCTCCCCCCACTTTATCGAGAATAGTGGAAATTTCCATTGAAAGGTGTATAACCTCCACCCTGTACTATTTGTTGCGGTATGGTTAAATGGTTAAACCCTCCTACTTTAATGTATCCTTAATTTTGTTCCTAGAAGAAAAGAGTTGGAAACATCCCCCCCCCTTTTCGAGTTTGGACATTTCCGTTTTTTTTTTTTTTTTTGGCTTGTCAATTTTTTTCCCAGGGATCTATTCATTTGTCAGTTTCTTTGTTGGTTCCTCTCCCCTTTGAAAAAGCATGCTACATTCCTGTAACGATTTATAGAAAAAAATCTTAGCTTCTTTACACAATACCTAAAAATTTCATAATTCTTACACATACATGCATAAAGTATGTATAAATATTTCTCCAGAAAAAGTCCAGAAATGTGAATTGCTAGTCAGTCATGCTACAAAGTTCTTCGATCCTTAAGGACAGACGATACGTTCCTCAATAATATATAATTTTTTCTAAGATTTTGTCATTGAAGTATTGCTACTTTAACATGTTTACTCGCAAAAAATTGAGGTACCTTACCAGGCATTTGTGCAAGATACCAGAGGATGTTTTTCCTATAAAATCCCTTTGGAAAAAACTTAATTAGCCAATAACACATTTTTTTGGTGTTTCATTTTTTAAAGACAATTAGAAACCAGTTTAGAAATCAGAAGGTAATTAAAATTTTGAATATTTTCCAAATAATTCGAAGGTATACAAAACAGACATTTGAGGAACGTATCGTCTGACCTTAACTTACCAAAATAACAAAGACTATAAAAAGACAAAGTACTGGTACATGTACCTACGCTAAATCCTTAATGCCCCAATGATAACATGCATTTCTAAATCCAATGAAAAAACCTTCCTACTATTTCAGTATCCTTTCCAAACGTCACCTAGATGTATTAAAATCAAGCGAACAAAGAGGACTTCTGTAACTAAAACTCTTTGACTTCCAGTAATATTATAGGACAATTTTCAGTCAAGGTAGAATTTCACAAACATAAAAATCCCCACCTCTGCTATATACTGTTCTGAATGTTAAGTCAATAAATCCATGCCACTCAAATTTGATGCTCAAGTCTTTTAAACAAAAGAAGTTAACCAAATCTGAATCAATTATTTGTCAAAAACTCAACCGTCAAAAATTCTTGAAAACAAAGGAGTGGAAGTGAAGATAAAACATAAAGCACTTCCATTTTCTGACAACATAGAGACAACAGACAAATATATGCTGTATTATTCATCTGTACAATGTTTTCAGAACACATATTGCTGTGTCTACTAGATTCAGTGCAATAATATGTCAAACATTTTATCTTCAAAATATAGAACAATGCCAAAAATATGGGTGAGAAAACTAGAAAGAAATGAGACTAAAATCATAAATATATATTACCCATTTAGTTGATTATATAGACTTCAATTTTTGTCAAACCTATATATACATATAATGAGCAGTACAAAGTAAATTAATTTACAAAGTAAATTAATTTCTGTAAAAAGCAGCAGAGCAACTCATGTAAATGTTGGAGGTCATGAGCCTCCAACTTTACTTCCGTAATATGAATTCCATCAAAAAAAAAAAAAAAAAAAAAATCTTAGAAGATTGTCCAAATCTTTAGGAAATATTCAATTTGTCTTTGTTACTTCCTCAAGCATATACAATTATTTTTATTGTCAGTATTTTTTAATCAGCAAATCAAATTTTTTAATCAGCAAATCAAATGAAGAGTTCTGTTTATGTTTTATCACTGTATTCCAGATTACAGATAATGTCAAACATTTGCCCATTTATGACTATTGCTCAGAACAACAACTAACAGCAACATATACAGTACATGGAATACTTAAACATCAACACAAAGGCATGCCATTATATAAATAGGAAAATACCTGTTAAGCTGAAGGAAATTCTTTCATTTTCTTTCTATACAAAATAAATCCCTAAAGGACTAAATTAAACCATACAGAAACTTTAAATTAGTTTCACTTTCATTGATCCAGTGCCTTTATTGGATATAAAATGGACATTAAAAATTCCTGAAGTAAAAGCAAAATTAGTAACAAATTTTTCTAGAAGGGCACAACTTCTGTTATTCAAATTTGTTTTCATTTATTATTGTGCACACACTACAAATGATTTTGTATCAGAGATCTAATTTCCCTACACACCAGTATCACTCATCTGTATCACAGCTTGTCACGGTGGCAGAACAGTCTGCCCCATCATACATACATGTACACATACATGGATAAACAACATACAATGTACATGGATATACAAAGATCCATGAAAATAGTATACAATCAAAAACTGATTGCATGTCCACATATACTTTTTTTCATCCATTCATGAATAATAAATTATTGAGGATATAAATGAACCAAATCCCAAGCAGGAAAAGTGTTTCTAATAGAGAAATCACTGGAAATCAAATAGAAATGGCTAAATGAAGTATGTACCATGAACATTGTAAATTGTACTGCTGCAAATCCTGTCAAATATGTCTTTGATTTAATCTTCCAACTGTAAGAAAGATTTTGTCCATTTTTGTGCATATGTAATAATTTTATATACTAGGTTGGTAGAATGAAAATATTTCATGAATGAAAACAGTATTTAACCAACAATAAAACATGATTTTTGCTATTTTGATGAAAAAATTATACCAAGCAACATTTTACTGCTTGAAATTCTTTACACACATTATCAGTTTTCCCTTCTCATATACATATATTTTCTGAAGAAGAAAAAAAGCAGAAACCAGCTGCATACAGCTGCAGACTTTATACTTGGTGAACACTCAGAAAACTTAAAAGCCTCTCATACATTGATTTATACTCTTCCTCATAAAACTTGTAATTAACCTCGCATACATCAAGTACACTGAATTCAAAGTACCTTTTTAATACTTCAGAACAAATGTTCACTTACACAAAGATGATTCTTCTGTACAAGTTTAAATAATTTACATGTACATACATTTGTTATGCCACCTTATATATAAAATGTACAGTGTAGTTGTTTCTCAACTACATGTATTACTTATATAAGCATACATGGACAAGGAAATGCTATAACTTGTAACTTATGATGTAAACATTTGTATGTAACACTGAAAACAACAAAATGTGTGATAACAAGACAAAATCACTGATTTCATAAGAGGGGTTGTTGTTGGGGAGGAGGCTGGTAAAACTGTCTACCGTCCATTTGTGACATTGTGTACTGAAAGTTCTGTTGAGGGACCCCGCTCTGTGCAGAGGAAACTTGCTGTGGCATTGATTGGTTGTGAGATGGAGGCATTGCACTCTGGGATTGAACAGATGGATTGTAAGCATTCATACTTGAATCTGATGAGGAACTGTTGGAAAGAAAGTAAAAATAATTATTAATCTCAGAGATGAAGACCAAATAATTGAAGGTAAAATTCTAATATCTGTAGCTACTAAAGAAATGTTGTATCATCTTTTATGGTAAATTAAGTATTAAACAGATAATCAACCAAGATATTTTATTTCTGATTATCATTGATATCGTATTTCTTAGAATCCCATAATTTTATGAAAGTTTAAACAGTTTCTGAACACCTATTCACCTGTAAGGTTGACTACTAGGTACTTGAGGCATATAGCTCTGTGGATTCATGGACATTTGCTGAGGAACTGATGAATTCATCTGATTCTGTGGCATCTGTACATTTGGGGGCATCATGCCAAGATTCTGTGGCATTGATCCCTGGGCTAAGGGCATCTGCCCCACAGGTATAGATCCCTGTGGAAGAGAGCTAGGTGGCATCTGACCTGGGCCAGGCTGAAACTGGGGTTGGCCATTATACCCTGACTGTTCAAGAAAATATTTACTTTAACATTAACATGCCTGTACATGATTTAACAAAAGATCATAGCATTATGAATTACCTGTATCTTCAATACACACATAAAACAATCAAGGATAAAGAAATTAAACAAAATTGATATTAAGACAAGGCTAGTGTACCTGACTGGGAAAATTGTAATTCATGGGAGCAGCAGGATGTTGAGTTTTATAGCCATAAGGAGCAGGGGTCTCTTTCATTAAGTTGTGATATAACTGCATTGCCTCCACCACTTTAGAATTTAGTTCACATAAACTGGCATGCTTTCTGCAAAAGAGAACAAAATTAAAACATTACAAAGCAAAAAGATTTAAAAATTTCAGATCATTTTCTTCCAAAATTAAACATAGGTAATCAGAGATTACAGAGCTCACCTCAACGAATGTTGTCTTTAAGTAAGGCAAAGTCCCACACTAAACTTATAATCTAGGAGTGTGCATCCCTAGATGCAACATTTATGCAATTTTGGTCTGATAGGACTTGCAGTTACTTGGGAATAGACTTATCTGAAAACTTAAAACTAGTCTCTCATCCAGAAAATGTAAGTCAAATCCAGCATCCGAAGCAAGTTTTGAGATTGTTCTTCCCTTGATGCATCATCCATGCAAGTTTGGTTCAGATAGGCCTTATAGTTACTTGGAAATGAGATCTGCTCCAAAAATTTTAACCTGGTTACTCATCCAGAAAATATAGGTCAGATCCAGCATCCGAAGCAAGTCCAGTAGTGTACATCCTTAGATGTATCATCCATGCAAGTTTGGTCAATATAGGGTTTATAGATACTTGGAAATGACATCTGCTCCAAAAACTTTAACCTGGTCACTCATCCGGAAAATATAGGTCAGATTCAGCATCCGAAACAAGTCCAGTAGTGTGAATCCTTAGATGTATCATCCATGCAAGTTTGGTCAATATAGGGTTTATAGTTACTTGGAAATGACATCTGCCTCAAAAACTTTAACCTGGTTACTCATCCAAACAAGAGGCCCAAGGGCCTTAACAGTCACCTGAGTACAATACAACAATTTAGAGGATCCATAAACTGAAAAATGAAGCTTTGTTGCCCAAAAGCAAGAAAAATAGTATGATTAGCATCAACAAAATAATTGGTCTAGTATCTATCTGCTTATCTGACTTTCCAAGTCATTAAATCTATAAAAGTACTTTTTCATTATACAATAAATTATCTTGCATAATTCTCTTACCCTATTAAGCTTTCAAATACATTATTTACATTGATTAATTATCAAAGGTGAATGGCAAAGGGGAATAACTTTGCTCAGCAGAATACAAGTTAATAGAGCCCTGGCCAGGACTAGAACACTTGACTAAATGGTCCAGGTGTTCAAAATTCTGGTAAAAATACCCTTGCATATTAAAACTTTTACTCTGTTTGCCTTGAACATCCCCAGAAGCATAGAAGATTTTCAAAGAAATGCATTTTCACCATATTATTAAATAAATAAAGCCCCATCCTTATCCAGAACATCTGACCCATTGGCCACGAACTCACAATTCTGGAAGAAGCACCCTTTCTCATTATAACTATACACTTGTTTCTTTACTTTATAACCAGTAGTAGAAAAAATATTTTGAAAGAAATTATGCATTTTCACTATATATAATCAATAGAGCTCTTCCCCCCTCACCAGAACCCCTGACCCAAGGGCCATGAGGCATTCTTCCTTATCATAACCATGCACTTCCTTTGTTTGAAAAATACCCAGGCGCACAGAAGATTTTGAAAGAATTCATGCCTATTCCCTATATAATCAATAGAGCCCCGCCCTAACACCAGAACCCCTGACCCAGAGGCCATTAAATTCATAATTTCTGAGGCAGCCATGCTCATCATAACTATGTACTTAGTTTATTTAATATCCAGGAACTGAGAAGATTTTCAAAGAATTAATGCAATTTTACTATATAATCAATGGAGCCCATTCCTAACACCAGAACCCCTGACCCAAGGGCCATGAAACAATTTCTGAAAAGGCAGTCATGCTCACAATAACTATGTTCTTAGTAATTCATAATTTCAGAAGAGGCACTCTTGCTCATCATAACTATGTACTAAGTTACTTTATTTAATACCCAGGAGCAGAGAAAAAGATTATCAAAGAATTAATACATCTTCCTATATAATCAATAGAGCCCCGCCCTAACACCAGAACCCCTGACCCTGAGGCCATGAAATTCACAATCTTGGAAGAGGCACTCTTGCTCATCATAACTAAGTACTAAATTAGTTCATTTAATAACCAGGAGCAGATAAGAAGATTTTCAAAGAATTAATGCATTTTAACTATATAATCAATAAAGCCGTTCCGTAACACCAGAACCCCTGACCCTGGGGCCATGAAATTCACAATTTTGGAAGAGGCACTCTTGCTCATCATAACTATGTACTAAGTTTCTTTATTTAATACCCAGGAGCAGAGAAGAAGATTTTCAAAGAATTAATACATTTTTATTATATACTGTGGTTTCATCATTATTCGTGGAACACCAATTTTCGTGGATTTCGTTGTTGAGTTGATCCACGAAATTAAATACTCATCGAAGTTTGGTGCTTCCATTTTGATTTTTGATAAACCTTTAAAAAGCCTATTACTACTTTCATTAATATATGTGAATATCCCCCCTTTCCCCAACAGGTTGGCTTTATAAACGAATTTTATCATTTTAAAGAATAACTTTTTAAAAAAATATTGTTTGATAATTATCTGGCAATTTTTAGCAAAATATGTTTAAATATTCTGAACTCTATTTATTCTATTAATTACTCTAACACAATTTAATGCTGATTTGACTTTGAAACAATTTTTTTTTTTGTTAAACATGAGAAAGCGGGTATGTATGTTCGGAAGTCCTGCCGTTTCGAAGCCCTTCAAGGTTTGCTTGTCGTTTTGTTTGTCGTCCATTTTGCATTTTTAAGCGTTACATCGTATCCAGCGAGAGTGGATGTGTTTGTTCAGAGATCTACAAACATGGGGGTCTGGATGTCACCGTTGAGTCTAAAAACAACACGCTGTGCATGTGAAAAAAGTCTTTAACACCATTTTGTTAATTTAAAAACTTAATTATTTTTGTTACTTTTTAATACCCTGGTGCCACACTTAATTATCGTCCTGTGTGCGCCTAAAAGATAAAATCCCAATTTTCTTAATATTTTAAGATTCTTGCACACCTTTTAACCAAAACGTTGATTAAATTAAAGTCTATTTTAATTAATTGTTTTTAATAATCTGTTTCAATATCCAATATTTAATTTGCCAATTGAGATCATAGTTTAGCTTACAATGGAGACGGTGTTTGGAATTCCTCACCCTTTATTGTTATACCATGTACACTGCGTTGTAAACGCTTCAAGGTTCCGACTTTAAAAATACAGATGAGTAAAATATAAAGAATAAATTAAAGAGTTGTCAGCTGTAAGTAAATGAAAAGGTGATTTTTTTTTTATGATCATTATCCACAAATTTACGTATCCTCGAAACAGTGATTTTTACTAAATCCACGAAAATTGATGCCCACAAATATTAATGAAACCACAGTACTCAATAGAACCCTGCCCTAACACCAGAACCCCTGACCCAGGGGCCATGAAATTCACAATTTTGAAAGAGGCACTCTTGCTCATCATAACTATATACTTAGTTAATTTATTTAATACCCAGGAGCAGAGAAGAAGATTTTCAAAGAATTAATGCATTTATATAATCAATAGAGCCCCACCCTAACACAAGAACCCCTGACCCTGGGGCCATGAATTTCACAATTTTGGTAGAGGACTCAATGCTTATTACAATGATGCCAACAGTTTGACTGCTTGATGTCCAGGAGTAAAGAAGAAGATTTTTAAAGATTGCATTATTTTTGGTGGTTTTAGCCCAACCCCTCAGGCCCCAGGGGGGCTGGGACCATGGAATTTACAATTTTTGTTCCCCTTCACCCATAGATACTATATGCTAAATTTGGTTGAAATTGGTTCAGCGGTTTCAGAGAAGAAGCTAAAAATGTTCAAATGTTAACACACGACGCACACCGCACGACGCACGCTGACGGACGAGAACGGATAGCAAAAGGTCACCTGAGTGACTCAGGTGACCTAAAAATATAGGTCAGATCCAGCATCTGAAGCAAGTCCAGTAGTGTGCATCCTTAGATGTATCATCCATGCAAGTTTGGTCAATATAGGGCTTACAGTTACTTAGAAATGAGATCTACTCCAAAAACCTTAACCTTGTCACTCATCCAGAAAATGTAGGTCAGATCCAGCATCGGAAGCAAGTTCAGTAGTGTGCATCCTTAGATGTATCATCCATGCAAGTTTGGTCAATATAGGGCTTATAGTTACTTGGAAATGAGACCTGCTCCAAAATCTTTAACCTGCTCCAAAAACATTAACCTGGTCATTCTTTAGCTGAAATTGCAGCATCTGAAACCTTGACTGGTACAATGAAGCACACTAGAAGCATCCTCCATGCATCTCTGACTAATATAGGCCATAGAAGTACTTGAAAAGAAAACTGCTCCAAAAACCTTAACCTGGGACGCTGAAGCCGACGCCAAGGGTATTACATAAGCTCCCCCAACTTCGTTGAGGTGAGCTAAAAAAAAGTATTACTTAGAACAACATGTCTAGATTGCTTAGCATTTTCAATTAGATAGAGTGAACTCCATCTTGATGGCTGCTAACAGTCCTAAATTACCTGCTCATGAAATAAAGAAAAGAGACAGAACCTGGTCTATGAAAATCCTTCACCTAATCAAAGGTAAAGGTCAGGCATCATTCAACTTGGAATTCAAAATCCTGCAACCTAATTTATTAGCACTCAGATTTTCTAGTTACAATAGGTTACTTCCTTACACTTACCACTTTAAGGCCTAAGTTTGCTCCAAAAAAAAACTAGTTACTGTGCAAAGTGTTGCATCCAATGTTTCTCTCTTCAAAGAATATGGACCAGAGTTTTTTTGCCAGTGATCTTGAACTCTGACCTGTGATAAGGTCACAAGCAATCTTTGTGCTTAGTATGAGCTTCCATGTTTCTCCATTACAAGACAGTGCTGAGACAGAAAACATTTCTCTACATGTGATCAATTTGTCATAAAATATCCTCAGGCCATAAGCAATCTTTGTGCAAAGTATTAGCTTCCAGTGTTTCTTAAACTTTCTTTGCTAGAAAGTATTGGTCCTGACATGAATTTTACACTTTTTCTGCCAATGACCTTGAAATTACCCAAAATAACCTTTCAACAAGGTCAAGACACATCCTCAAGTGATAAGTAAATCTTTCTGTGAAGTATGACCTTCAAATGTTTCTCCATTACAAAGTTATGACCTGGATATAATTGCAAGGATAGACAGTTGATTCCTATAAACTGTACCACCCTGAACTTTGTGGGGATAATAAAGAAATAAGCCAAACAAACATTCTATGTCATAAAATGAAGGTTTAGTACAGCACTTTAAAACACCAATACTTCTTTGTGAAACACATTGCACCTTACATGGCCGTGACCAAATAAGTGGTCTCTATTATATACAACTTGTGTAAGCTGTAGCTTTTTTTTATCAAAGTAAATAAATGTGTTAAATAACCTGGTGCTTGTACAAAGAACTCACTTGTCAATTTTTTCCAATTCAGTGTCAATCAGAGGACCCATTCTGGAACACTGGTTCTCCAGTCTTAACATTTCGGTTGAGTCTGGTTGTGTTTCACCAGTTGGATCAGCATTCTGTATCAACTGTAACACCTCATCAATCTTACCCTGAAACAAACATAACATTGAGGATCCCATGCAATCATTAAGATCAATCTTACCCTGAAACAAACATAACACTGAGGATCCCATGCAATCATTAAGAACTAAGAAGTAGTGCATATGGCCTAAACAATCATTAAGCAGGACAAAATTAAGCTGACTGAAATAAATCAATGTAATATTATGATTTATCTTACAATCTAACAATTCTACAATTGTAATTAAAATTTTAAATAGCTAGCATTTTCATACACTGATAGAAGTTGCTAAACACTAACAATAGGCCCATGGGCCACAATGTTCACAGAAGTCACCTTGGCCTGCTGTTTTTCAGAACAGTGGCCCCATCCTACTACGGGGGCCATGATTTGAACATTCAAAACCTGAGCATGCTTGCATGATTATTAATACAACTATCATGGCCATGCTGTTCTTTACAAGAAGTTTTTAAAAGATATCTTTCTTTGATCCTCTGTTATGGCCCCACCCTACCCCAAGGGGCGAAACTGAATCTACATGATGATGCTTGCATATTAAATATGACTAATCATGGCCTTTTGTTCTTGAAAAGATTTTTAAAGATTTTTTTTCATTATATTTCCATGTTAAACTTTGATCCCCTATTATGCCCCCACTCCCCATTCCACCCAGGGCCATTATTTGAACAAACTTGAATCTTTACAACTTGAGATTACTTGCAATATTAATACGACTAATCACGGCCCTGCTGTTCTTTACAAGAGGTTTTTCCCATTATATTTTCATGTGATCCTTCTATCTTCTGATCTTTTATTGTTTGTCCTAATATCGAGGGCCATGATTTGAACATTCTTGAATCTACACCACCTGAGGATGTTTGCATATCAATATTATGAATCATGGCCCTGCTGTTCTTGAAAAGAAGATTTTTAAAGTTTTTTTTCTATATATTTCCATTTTAAACTTTGATCTTCTACTGTGGCTGCACCCTAACCCTAGGGGCCATGACTTGAAAAAAAAAACTGAATCTACACTACCTAAGGATGCTTCCAAATGAATATGAATAATCATTGCCCTTTAGATCATCATCAAAAGATTTTTTCAAGATTCTTCCCTACATATTACTTAAACCTACATCTCCTATTGTGTTCCCAACCCCAGGAGCCATGATTTGAACAAAATTGAATTTACACTACCTGAGGATGCTTCCAAATAAATATGAATAATCACTGACCTGTATTTTTTCATCAGAAGATTGTTTCAAGATTTTCACCTAAATATTACCATGTTAAATCTAGATCTCCTATTGTGGCCCCATCCTAACCCTAGGAGCCATGATTTGAACAAGTTTGAATTTACACTACCTAGGGATGTTTGCATAATAATATCACTAATCATTGACCTACTGTTCTTGAGAAGATTTAAAAAAAAAATTTCCTCTATATTCATTCCTACATGTATGTTACACTTTGATCTTCTTCTGTGACCCAGCCTTAAACCTGGGGGGTCATGATTTGAATAAATTAGAATGTACATTCATTAAGGAAGCTTTCATATAAATTTGAACTTTTCTGGCCCAGTGGTTCTTGAGAGGAAGATCTTTAAGGCACCCACCTTTTTGCCATTTCTTAATTATCTCCCCTTGAAAGAGGGTATGGCTCTTCATTTGTATAAATTTGAATCCCCTTTACCTAGGAATGCTTTGTGGCAAATTTGGTTGATATTGGCCCAGTGGTTTTATAGAAGAAGATGAAAATGTGAAAAATTACATTAATACTACATACAGAGAGACATACACCAGACAAACTTTGATCAGAAAAGCTCACTTGAGCCTCTGGCTCAGTTGAACTAACAATTACCTCATCAATTGTCACTTCATCTGATTCAAAATCCAAAACCTGCACCTCCTCCTTAAAGGAAACAGCTTTTTCTACTTTAGCTGAAATAAATCAGAAAATATCTTTGACTAAAATAACAAAGTGTACATCAATGTCACATCACATTTATGATTAAAATGACTTTGGAAATTGGTCTCTAGTAGTGCAATGCACTCTAATTCTTACATTCTTCCGGCTCTACTGTCAAGTCTGAGGTGACAAAGTTGGCAGGGAACAGTCCCTCTCCTCGATGGTTGAAGCCTTTCCACCAGTTAGTATCACTACAATAAATATTATCATGCTATTGTTACTTATATGCTCTTTACACCAAGGTGGGAAAGCACAAAACGTTAGTGTCCAGTTTAGTTTTAAATAGATAAGGAAAGAAAAATCATTTATTTCCTACTGAGAAGATGAAATATCTGCATTGCCTTCAGCTTTGCTGATTTATCATCTTTTTAATAGAGAACACAATAATCTGTAATCCCTGTACCAATTACATGTAGTCAGTTTCCTTGGGTTACATAAAAATCCCTTTTTTCTTGAAAATGCAGTCATTTAGTCTAAGTAGACAATTAAAAGCAAAATACAAGCAACATTCCTTTTTATGAATTTAAGAGTATATATCTTACAAGACTTTAAAAGGAAACAACGATCTTTATTCAACTGAACTACATATATTGTTATACAAAGCTATTAAAGAAATGATGAAAGATATTGCATAATATGGGATAAATACCGGTAATCAGCAAAGTAATCCTAGGCTATGAATCATGCTTATAATGGTGTAAACAACTTGAATAAATCCATGTAAGTATGTCATACTGAGTAACTGTTACTTAACCTGTCGTCAGTGACACTAATGAATTCTCCAGACTTAAATGTCAGCTCATTGTCTTCAGCGGCTTCAAAGTCATATAGGGCTCGAACCTACAACCATGTCACAAACATATGCAAGTCAAAATAGCCAAATCAATTGACATGAAAGCAACAGTCCTCAGATTGATTTCTTATCTTACAAACTAAATGTACAAATATATTGTAGTACGACATATACTGTATCTATAAAATGTAAATGTAACTTTGAGTCTTTGTAGCAGTCAGGTACACATATTTCTTTAAAATGTAGAAATCTTTAGCATCTTAACACAGATGTTTCTGATTGATTTCCTATCTCTGGAATACTCTCACCTTTCTGACTTCCCTGGGTTTACTGCTAGTGGCATATATAGCAGAGGAATTAAATCCTGTAGGATACAAACTCGTGGTCTTGGCAGTTGATTTCTCCGATTCTTTTAAAGAGAGGGCTATTGCTGTTCAAAAAAAAAAAACATTACTAAATAAATACTTTAAACTTTTGTTGAATTATGCATGACAACATTGAATCTTCTTCTCAGAGCTAGCAAAACTTTTTTTTAACATCTCCCAAATTATGGTAAAATTTCCTTTGTATGTGACAGACCTTCACATAAGGAAATTCTTAAAGTTAGTTTCTATGAACAAGTGCCTCATTTCATGAATTCATTAAGTTGAACAAAAGATAACTAGAAAAATACATCAAAAGAGTAAAGCACTTTAGACATGATTGAATTAACAATATCACAGAAGAGAGGAGTTACAAAGACAGCTTTCAATCTAATAGTACTGTGAGCAAGCAGGAAAAAATATCTGCTGCAATTTTTTTCAACTGCACATATACAATTTTTCAAATATGACCCTGAATGTGCCAAAATGAATTGGCAAAAAAAAAAATGCATCCCCCAGGTAATAAGTAATCTTTGAGTGAAATATGGATATCCAATGTTTCTCCATTACAAAATTACGTACCTGACATACATTTTACACTTTTCTTCCAGTGACTTTGAACTTGCTATAATAACCTTGGGTCAAGGTTATGACAAACCTTGAGCTCACAATTAAAATATGTTTGATGTTTCAACTTGAAATACTTATTAATAACAACGTAATGGACTGGTTACAAAATGTTACACTTTTTTTTTGCCAGTGACCTTGTACTTGCCAGAATGACCCTGAGTCAATTTCAGGACACATCTCAAAGAAATAAGTGATATTTATATGAAATATGGACTTCCAATGTTTCTGCATTAGAAAGTTATACACCATACATAAACTATTTTTTCTACAAGTGACCTTGACCTTGCTAAAATAACCTTGGGTCATGGTCAGTACATACCCTTTTGTCATATACAATATTTGTGATAAATATAAGCCTTTAATGTTTTCCATTACAAGATATGGCCGGGAAAGGAATTAAACATTTTTCTAAAAGTGACCTTGAACTTGATAAAATGACCTTGACCAGGTCATATGACACACCTTCAGGTTGTATGGGGTATAAACTTTCAGTGTTTCTCCATAAGACCAGACACAAATTTCATACTTTTATCTGCCATTGACCTTCAACTTGCAGGAATGACCTGGGTCATGGTCATGGTGCACCCTCAAGTTATAAACAAACTTTGTATCAAGTATGCACGAGTTTCCAATGATTCTCCATTACAAATTTATAGCCAGACATGATTGCATGGACAGACAGATGGACAAGGTGATTCCTATATCCCCCTCCAAACTTCATTTGCGTGGGTATAATTAGCTCGTTAACTCGCTTTAATTCTACCTTTTGCTATATCATCTTCCTCCTGTTGGCTATTAGCAACATCAGGATTGCTACTTAATTGTGTGGTCTTCTTTACCTAAAGGCCATAAAAATCAACACAATAATTATTTCCAATTGATTAATTAATATCAAATAGAATGAAAATCTTTTTAAGAAAAAAAATTAATATAGAGTTGAAAATTTGATACAAACAGTTAAATCATGACTGAAAGCTTGAAGATGCCATGTTTGCACAAATGAAATAAATATTATGATACAGACTTACTGGGGCATCCTGATCACTGAAATCTACTCCCTCAGATTTCAAACTGTTGTAAAATGATGGAATCAAACTGAAAAAAAAATATATACATATATGTTAATAGCCAGAAACAAAGACATCATCAAAACAAAGTAAATATAAGGATTTATCCAATTATATTCAATTCTAGATGGTTTATCTAAATCATGAACATTTAGTTTAACAAGGAGGGAGGATAAAAATTTCAAAGTAACAATTTAGTATGACAAATATTCTAAAACAAAATACCTTAACGTAGGTTCATCTCTAAATTCCTTAGACTCTGCCCACTTCTTTATCATCAACTTTAATCTCTGAGCTACTTTTGGATGAGCCTGTCAACAAAGGGTTCAAATTGAAATACTAAGTTAATCATGGTTACATTTTCTTCACCAGGTGCTGAATTTCAGGTGATAGCATGGCTAATCCATACAGACGTGAAATTCTTTTATGGTTTGAAGTCTACATACTATCATGGAAAATACTAAACCCTATATAGTAAAACTTGTTTTGTGCGAACGTGGAAATTTTCAAACATAGAGAAGTTTCTGGGTGTTCCCGGCAACACTCTTTACAATTCCTTGTAATATTTTATGGCGACTACGAACTATGATACAACAAATTTATGGATATAGAGAGTTAATTTTGTGTCCAGTAGAGATAAAAAATAACAAAATTTAAATCTTTTACAAAATATATTTTAGGATCTCAAAATTAAAGATATTAAACTTACATTATTTTGTGTAAGTATTTAAGATTGAAATTTTATTAACTATATCAACTTAAGGTTCTCCAAAGTAGGTTTTGTACATGTATTTGATACTCCAATAAATAAGCATATTCTTTAATCATAAGAAGGAAAATGTGTACACTGTAAATGTATAAATATATTCTAATGCACTATACAGTTGAACTTCGGTATCTCGAACATGGATATCTCGAATACCATGGTATTGGGAAGTCCTAACCACCTATTTCCTCCATATCTCAAAGTTTTTTCTCTGTCCCATCAAGTTTGAGATAACGAGGTTTGACTGTATAAACTTTTACAAACTTTTTATATGGATATCATGAATTACGGATATAGTGAAGTTATCCCTCAGTTCCCCAGGACTTTGCTCATGAACTTGTCCACTGTTCTGGGAATAATTTTTTTTCATGTTATTATTTATTATTTTCAATAAGAGATTTTAGGATATCAACAGCTGAACTCTTTAGATCGCTTTATAGATAAAACACCAGGCAAACTAAGAATAAATGTCCTTAAGAGCTACTGCATAGTCACAATAGTATGTTTACTTATTTCAGTCTTTGACTGATACATTTCCATGTATGTAAAGATATGTACAAATAAGCAATTTATATTCAAAACACACCATTATTTTGGGGTCTGACAGTAAAATTTGAAGGTGGTACTAATCTTGAGCTTTAAAATAATCTGGGAATCCCAATGACTTCATAACTTTGTACATGTAGAAGCTAGAAGTTGGCACACAATTATTGTTTTCTTGAACAATATTGTTTGAAGCAATTTATGTATAATATTAATTTTATATCATATCTTATCCTTCCAATAGGTGCTTTGTCTGTAAGATAAAACCTACTTTTTGATTTATCAGAGTCCGACATTCTGAGATGAAATCTCTAGATGATATTTCTAAATGGAAAGATTTACCACAGTTGTTGACACAGGCATCCAGGAGCTACAAAAAAATTATAACTCTTCAGTAAAAATTTATCTAATTTTATCAAAAACTAATTCCAGATAAAATTGCTCTTAAAGGGACATGGATATTAAAATTCTACAAGAAGGAAAATGAAGAAAGTCAATCCATGAAAATCTTTAACCAAAATTAATAAAACACAGTCTGTATATATATAATGAGTCTGTTAATGGTGCATTTAATTACATTTGTGCTTATTTTTAGCATAAAGGTGAGCTTTTTTTGCTTTCGTATTTCTATGCAATATTTTCCAGAACCTATATTACCTAAGGAGGGATTCTTTAATACGCATGAATCTATTCCACTGCTTGCATGTTCAATATTAAAATATCAATTACATGCTGTATAATCTCTACTCACATCAGACAGGCATACTGCCTTTCATTTCTTGATTACAATACAGTGACTACAAAGTAAAATTACCGTTAATGCCTGCATTGCCACAAATGGTACACGGTGATTCAGTCTTTTGGCAATGGATTGCAAACAATCTTTTGATCTAAAACAGAAAGGTATCATAAATAGTATCAATAAAGCTCTTTATCCTTTGGGGTATTTTAAAACCATATCACTTTATACAAGTAATGAAATATTTGAATATAAAAATCAATTACCATGTAGTTTTAAAGACCTCTCATTTAACTTTGTATGTTGAAACAAGGAAATACTGATGCCCTTAATGGCAGCTTTTTCAAAAGTAGGTCAAGGTCATGGGGTCAGATATATTGATACCCAAAGAAAGGTCTTGTAAAAAAGAATACATAAGTGCAATCTGAAAGCCCTAGTATCAACTCTTCAAAAGTTATGGCCAATTTAAAGTTTTATAAAAGAAAGTCCAAGGTCAAGAAGTCAAAATGTTGGTACCAAAAAAAAAAAGGTCTTGTCACAAGGAATATATCTGAAACATGAAAGCCTTAGCACCAACCATTCAAAAGTTATGGCCAATGTTTAAGTTTTTTTTTCCAAAAGAAGGTCAGAATCCAATGCCATGGTCAAGAGGTAAAAAATGTTGTTACCAAACAAAAGGCCTTTCACAAAGAGTCCTTTGTCACAAAGAATATGCATGTGAAATATGAAAGCCCTAGTATCAAAAGCTATGGCCATGATTAAAGTTTTTACAAAGGTAGGTCAAACTCCAATGTCAAGGTTGTGAGAACAAAAATGTTGGTACCCAAAGAAAGGTCTTGTCACAAAAAACAAACATGTAAAACATGACAGCCCTAGCATCAACCATTCAAAAGTTATGGCTAAGTTTTAATTTTTTTTCCCAAAAGTATTTCAAACTGCAAGTCAAGGTCAAGAGGTCAAAAATATTGGATCTCAAACAAAAATCTTATCACAAGGAATACACATGTGAGATATGAAAGCCCTAGCACCAACCATTCAAAAGTTATGGCCAAGGTTAGAAGGTGTGTTACATGTTGAGTTCAGAAATGTTGGTACTCAAAGTTGGGGCCGAGGTTAGAGGTTTTGTGGACAGACAGACCAAAAACTATATGCCCCAAATCTTTGATTACGGGGCATAAAAACACTCATGATAAGATTGTGAAATAAAGTTGATACCAAATGTGACTTGGGTACATGTCTGAATTAGCAGATTATGGCAAAATATCAACATGCTTACACTATACCAGCACATTATTATTATTCTACTAAATTTGAAGAAAACTGTAATTCAATGAAATAATATTTTATTTAGTGTAATTATCATGATTATATTCATAAACTAGAAATATCACTCTGAATATCAAAAATACTCTTTTAATTTGATTTTAAAAATAAAACAAATGTATGATAATGATTCTTTTTATGAAAAAGGATCTCTTTCAAACAAAATTAAATATAATATCTATCCTTGGTTACAAGAAATGAAACAACAGTACATCTTTATTGTTTCATTTCATAAAGAAAGACCCATATTGTTGTTTGTGTAATGTTACACATACTCTTGTGTTGAGTTAATGATAAACATACAACAATAATACATCTCTTTTGATTCTCCATATTTTTTTTTAAGCCATGAAACAAATTGTCTTTATTTGTATAGATTCAAGTTTTGTGGATATCTCCTCTTTGATATTGATATTAAGACACATATCAATCATTATTCAAAGGAGATTTGATGTGCTATTCTATTGTGTCAGAAATCAGGATTAAAAAAACATAGATCACATTATATAAAGTTGGGATACAATACTTTCTTGTTATATAATCAAGTTGTAGTTCTAAGTTCAAAGAAATGATTAGATATTGATACATGCAGTGTAACAGAATAGAACTTCAGCACTGTCTATTAGCAATCTGAAATATCCAACTTACCCATTGGTTGTGTTGACTTTATCTACTATGTCCATTATAACGGCCCAGTTCTCTTCTGTATTCATTTCACTAGTTGCCTTTTCTGAAAAAAATATTGATGTAAAATTTGAAAACTTAAAGAGAAATCAAACATTAAATGAATACGTTTGGATTATGCTTTATTGTAAATCATGATACATGTACTTAATAGTTTCTTCCATTTCCTGTATTTCAATTTCATCAAGATATGTGTACTAGACAGTTCTTCAAAATTTTACACCTGACAATGCCTTAGGTTGCAAATGAATTATCAGGGTTCTCCACAAGGGGTTTTACCATGGCGGCCCGCCATGGTTAAATTTATATGCGCCATGGTTAAACGAGCTGCGCCATGGTTAAAATGGGCGGCCGCCATGGTTAAATTTTTATTGCATTTTAGTATTTACACCTACTTTTTAATGACTTGAGTAGTTAATTGTGTTTATACTACGACTGCCATGCATCTGGCATGCCTCGAGGGAAAGCGGACTGTGCAAACAAACACGGTCGCTGATCGGCGACTATGCTGGGAAGCGTGACAATGGAGGGTCAATCAGCTGAAGATCAATATCTTGAGAATTAATTATCCTGTAGTATACAAACATGTAATTTCGGGAAATTCCAACGTGTTCACTATTTGATAAAAGATCATAACGAGCAGTAGGTATGCCCAGAAAAAAATGAGCCCTTTCAAAATTTCCTATTCTCTGTATTTAATCAATTCCTCATGCTTTGTTTTCAAGCATTAACTTTACTATCTTTCTGATAAAATGTACGCAAGTGCCAATCGTCGTCTTAGTTTTAGTTACCTCCCGTTTTTATGAAACTTCGCGTGGCGCTATTCTTAGCACGGGCACGTGGAGGAATAAACAATGGAGGAAACTCAGCGAAAATGCAATATGTAGCAAAAATAACGTTTAGAGAAAGACAGAATAGAGAAACGCAGCTCTGTTAAGGCTGCATTAAGGGGGCGGGGCCTAATTTATATGGGAAAAGTTTACTGTGACATCACACAAATATAGCAATTCCTCACAATAACAGAAAATGAAATAATTTGCGAATCTAAACTGCATAAGAGTAATGAACTACATCAAAACTTACCACTGCATTCATTTTTGTCGCTAGTTAAATCCCACACAGCAAGATATAAACAAGTCACTGATCGCAATGCACTTGTCGACATGACGTCATCATGGTAAAGTTTGACGCATTTTATGTGCAGTGAGAGGCGGATCAAGTAATTTTTTCACAGTGAAAAATGCATTTTATTATTAAACAGAATATTATTTGCAAATCTTAGGTAGACCATTAATACAAATCTGAAACGTTTGTTTAGTGCCATTATTTAAAAAATATCCAGATAATGTATTGAATTAATTCTACCGTGTTTTTGTCTACAGGATGTGCATGTTTCACGCCGAGGTGCCTCATTAAATCGCCTTTTCGCAAGGGCATACACTTAATAGATCTTGACCATTTTTTGAATACACATATCGGACGTATTCCTTAACTTGAAAAGTGCTGCTGCTTTCCTGAAATCAATAGCATGATTTAATAAATACATAAAACTTGGTAAAGGTCACACATATTTCAAAACTAGCCATATAACTTGAAATTTAAACTAATAAAATGTGAATTCTATTTAAAGCAGCAGCACTTTCCATAAACTACAAGTTATGTAGAAACAATCTATTACTTTAATTTTTAATTTTAACTAGGGTATGCCCTTGCGATATTGAAATTTGTTTGTGACCTACATACAGTACACATTACATGCATTTATCACGTGACTATCAAATAACGTGACCAACCAAATTCAGTACAGAGCGGGGTATATAATGTTATTTCAAAGAATGTTAAAGTCATAAGATAATATAGTACCTTTACAAAAATAAAGTCAGTTTAAAAAGGTATGTATTTATGCACGTTTATATTCTGTTGATTTCTTTAAAGTACGCCTTAACAGTGCTGCGAAGCAAAATTACATTAATGCAAATTAATGCCCCCGGTAAGTTACTTTTACCATGTATGCCACCAGTAAGTTTTCATAGATCATGCAGTTAAAAAAAGCTTAGGCATTAGTAGGATGTTGGCTTTCGTTTGTTTGTGTGTCTGTTAACTTTTTTTTAAAGTACTACCAATTCATCAGTTTTTGTCATATTTAAATAAAACTTTTTATATATATAACAGGCAACATCAATTCTGTATATCAGTTTTTGAAAACTGTTGCCATGGCTACTCTATCAAAACATTATTTTGAAATTCCTTCAAAATGTTCCTACAGTTTTGGACCAATGTTGGTACATTTGTAGAGTAATTAAAGTGACAGTACGGCGCATCTCATCAAAAAACTGACTAGATAAAATTTTCCGACAAGATTTGGAATTTTTTTACTACTCATAAATGTATAAACTTTCAGAAAATTACAACTTTTACAATTAAATAATTTGGATTATTTCATTAACATTAATAGTTATTTATGGGACGTAAATATATACATCGCAACGTGTTCGGGGTTCCACATTCCATGCTATGCACGCATGCGTAGTTTTCATAAACAAAACAGCATGGTTAGAGAGGGAATCCCGGTAGGCCTGCTACATTGACCAAGTCGACCAAAAAGAAAAAGAAACTGAAAATATAACTTGAAAAAGCAACTTTCATGACTAAAATTTAGTTTGGGGATTAATAAAATCGCTGGATAAGGAAGAAACGGGAACTCGGCGACACTCACGCTTCTATTCGACAGGTTTGTTGATACTTATTATCATTTCTCATTTTTCCGTCGCTTTCAAAGAAAAAAAAAATAGTGTAAACTCAACATTAAAAATACATCTTTGACTTATAAACATTGTTGCCATTTGAAATGCTAATTTTCTTTAATTGTGCAGAAAAATATTTTGTTTGACATTTGCCGCAATAACGTATGATAAGTTGGTTTTCCCTTTCTCGGACCCCCAATACACAAAACGTAAACATTTGTACTTTTAATTCTGTTAAATTCGCCTGAATGCAGACTAAAATCTTTACGATTATTATTTTAGATTATTTTATCAGAAAGTTATGATAATTTGTGTTTTTGAAAATTGCTTTCACCTAATATTCATTATAACTGTAAACTCTACAGTGTAGGCACGTGCCGTTTTAGAATTCACGTGGTACAAATAAACAGATCTAAGATTGCTCCAGTTCGTACGACCCTTGATTTTCCGGCAGATTCTAATTACGTTAATTTTGTTTGAGTAGAGAATATTTCTGTTTCTCAAACTGCTTACATCAACTTTATACCTTATTTCTTAATGACATATTGGGTAAATTTGGATGAAATAGCACACATTTTGCAGCCGTACTGTCGCTTTAAGATACATAATCCTTTTTATTTTTAATTTTTTAGCTTAAAAAATTATTGGTTATTTCAACTTTTTGTGCTACAGTGGTTAAGTTTTGTGAATTAACCAATTGATTAATGAAGGTTAGGAAGTCTAACATGCATTCGTGTTTTTGGTCACATTGCGCCTTCACGCAGCTTCCTCCATGGTTAAATTTTCAAATGTGGAGATCCCTGATTATTCTGCTTTAAAGCATTCAGTTGGGATAATATAGAGTCAAAATAGAACAAAGGGGAACTTTCAGTCATGTCAACAAGCAAAATTTATTTTGCATTTATTCTATCTCATTACATATTAATCCATGTTTTAAAGAATAAACAACAAGTATTCATTGTTTTACATATTATTAATGTCCCTTGTTTTCAGCATTCGTGCTAAAACATGTGAGACTCAAGGCTATCTAGAACACCTGTCCCACCATATTATGACTGATTAATAATATTAATATCAATAATTCATAATTAATATTATGAATTATATTATAGTTCATAATATGATGAACTACAAGTATTATTTTCAAAGCACATGTGATTTCATATAAAATATTTTGTTGATTTATTGTCAAGAAGACAAATAAAATACTAAGTTTTAATTATCATTTTTTTCAAATTTATCATAATATGAAGATACATGTATCATGTCCTATTATATGTGTATCAAGATACATATCCTATGGCAAAACCTGTGTATCGTCCCGCCTAGTTGGAATAATCTTATTGTTTAACCGAGTCCGTAGGACAATATCATTTTAATGATAGAAAGTTCTATCTACGTCCCACCCCTAATGATCATCATGATGCTGGGTATCAGTACACATTTTCTCAAAAGCACAATACTTTGAAAAGTAGTTATGAATTCATTGATTTCTTTACACAAATTTTCATCTCTAAGAAGCTCAGTTTGGAACCTTGAGATTTCAGAAAAGTATTGATTGATTTTTAACAACAAAAAAATAATTCAGAAATGATAAAGATATATGATACCAAAATTTGCGGGGTTCTTAACCATTTTAATTTTTTAACTCCACTCTAACACTGGTTATTTCATTTTAAAAATTGTCCAAAAAGACTGTTTATGTTTAGCTTTGTTGTAAAAATTAAAAACTGTAGTTTTAGTCATGTGTCAAAACATTGTGTCCTTGAATTTCAATCTTTCACCCTAAACCATTTCATTACTGTGGATAAATGCTATTTATGTTTGATTGAATAGGCACTCTTACCGACATCACTGTCGAAAGGCGTTGAAGGGGTGAAAAGTGGCATAATTCTCGTCTTCTCTGACTTCTGTCTGTGAAAAATATATTACGGAACTATAAATTGCGCATGTTCTGACGTCATCTTTTGTTTACTTCCGCCAGTCAGACCCACATGATAATTACGCTTACCACGAGTTATTTCCCCTCTATCCTTTGTTTCAGGTCAATGATTTGTATTCATTCCTACTGCTTAGTATGATCGTAAAACCCGCTTCCATGAATATTTTGATAAAACATGTTAAAGAAAAATTGAATTTTTGATATAAGCATAATCAATATTCATGAGGTGTGGTTTTATTCTTGAAGTATTTTTTAAAATTAATATATATATATATATATATATATATATATTTACAACAAAGAATAACTGAGTATAAATCAAGAATTCAAAGTCCCAACATCAGAAAATCTTCTTCTTCTTAATGTTATCAGCAAAGCATTGGATTTTTTAAAATAAATAATTTTTGATATCAGAAAATATGAATTGTATAAATTTAAAGGGCAGGAAAGAAGGCATGGTTTGAACAAACTTGAATTTAAACTACTTGAGGATGCTTCCATATATTTATACATGTATGACAAATCACGGCTTTAAAAGATTTTTACAGATTTTCTCCAATATATTCTTATTTAAAATTTGATCTTCTATTGTGGCGCCACCGTACCCCTGTGGGTCATGATTTGAACAAAATTGAATCTACACTACCTGAGAATGCTTCATATAAAAGTGACTTATCATGGCTTTGTTGTTCTTGAAGAGAAGATTTTAAAGATTCCTCCTTTGTATTCTATGTAAAACGTTGATCGCCCATTGTGGCCCCACCCCGTAGGGTCATGATTTGAACACTACCTGAGGCTGCCTCCATATATGAGACCAAAATTAAATGTTTAACATCTTTTTCTAGTCTTATGATATGATTCAGGATGATAACTTAGAAAGGGAAAATTTCATGTTGGATTTTTTTCATAACTCAATATCTAGGCCCGATGCCTGTAATCCCCACAATATCAAGGGTCCTGACTCCTGAGTCCTCACGGCTACGACGGTTAGGGCCCCTGGCAATGTTAGAATGGATACATGTATCAATTTTATTAGATTTTTTTTATTATCTGAAGAAATATATACGTATAATTTTTTATAAAACCATATTATCATAATATGAGGAAATATTGAAAGGTGTTAGTAAAAAGGCGTAAAACGCGAAGTGAAGGAGTGAAGAGGCGTTACAGTTACACGAAAAAAGGCGCAATAGCGCAAAAATGCATTATTGCGCCTTTCAAGAGACTACATTGTAAATCAAAGTACTGAAAATTTTGCAATTCATTTAATGCTAGTAAATGACAATAAAAATCCGCGATTTTTGATATTCGGTGGCAAACGGAAGTACTGACGACGTAAAAAAAGTTGAAGTTGCACATCTACCTGTCACGATCTCTTACATTATGTTATTTTCGTTTACTTGTAATTACTAGTATATAAATATTTCACAATCTTAAGTATTATGAATTTGGAAACGAGTCAAACACACTGGATCAAAAATCAAGCTCCTCCAGTAAGCCAAACCACAACACTAAAGAGTTAAGCATTTAGTTCAGGGTGAAAGTAGAGATTTTCTTTTTTCAAGGAATTGAGTACATGTTCATTGTGTACTTCCGTTTACAATTAGATGCTACTACCCTTGCTGGAAGAGACAAGTAAACAAGATAACGAAGTTTTAAGAATTGTATATAATTTGTCCATACGAACAAATGCACTCATTAAAAACTGCATGGAAGAATGCGACAACCATCAAAACTCAGGGTATTGTATACTACATGTATATATATAGGGACAAGTACCTCAACTATTTGATACCAATACTCTTGATATCAGAGAAAACGTTTGTTTATTGGCGTTTTTTGTTTTTTGTGTTTTATTTTTTTTTTATTTCTTTCTTTTTTTTTTTTAAGAAAGTGGAATAAAAATATTTTTGCAACCGTCTAATTAAGATATTATCTTCTTTGATCCGCACCTTACTCTGAGCGGATCTAAAGGTTTCTGATTTTAATTAGATTGAATGTATATTTCTGAAACTATAATGAAAAAATTTTAAAAATCGTCTAGTATTTCAAACAAATGTGTAAAGATGTATTATTTATGAGGATATATTTGATAAAATTCTCTGGAATCTATATACATTGTATTCTTGAAACATTAGACTTTCAAAATTAAAATTTGGTCTTCTGCATGGAAACTATACTTGTTCTCCAATCCAAACCACTAACGTTTACGAATAAAAATGCATTCTAAAGCCATTATTTTGATATACAGATTAGATGTCCAAAGAAAAAAAGAGAATTGCAAATTCTAATATTAGGAGTATGAAATAAACCGTAACCAATTTCCACAAGATATGCTCTTTTGTTCGTGAAACTGAGCTTAAAACTGTCAAGGTCTCTGCCAAGAAGATGAAAATGAGGGCTTATGTGAAATATGTGGTTCATTTCAAAAATCGCCGAAGAACCTTCATGAAGATAGGATTTTGATATCTGGAAAGACTAGTCTTTCGCGCAGTACGGCGTTCATGTGGATTTGAAAGTTCAAAAGTGGAAAGGGGGACTAAATTAAAAGACCACAGTCAAACGGGTCGATCGAGATCTGTAGGAACACCAAAAAATATCGATGCTTTGAGCAATGCCAGATTAACAGTGAGAGACGTTGCTAAGACAGTAAACATTTCATCATCACAACAGTCATAATAGAATGTGGAATAAGGCAGGAATTAAACTGTCGTCCTATTATTACAATGAGAAGCCACAGCTCCAAACAGGTTATATAAGGGTTTTTCTTTTTATTCGAGAAGTCAAGTAATACAAGTACCTACACCCAAAAAAGGACCATCAATGGTAGCTTTTATATTAAAATTGCATTGAGGTAAGGCTGCTGTAAATGGGCATAGGTAATTTTGGAGAAAGGAACGTTTACAGAGCTTAGCTATCCCCCGTATTTGCTAGATCTCATTGTGACATTATTATTTCAACAAGAGGCCCATGGGCCACAACGCTCACCTGAGTCAATATGGCCCTGCTGTTCTTCGTCAGTAGATTTCTTCTCCTATATATTCATATGTAAAGCTTTGATCTCCTGTTCTAGGCATACCCTACCCCCAGGTGCCATGTTCTGAATGAAACTGAATCTAAACTTTCTGAGGATGCTTCTATATTCATATAACTAATCATGCATGGCTTTGCTGTTCTTGAAAACGGAATTATAAAGATGTCTGCCACCCTACCCGGGGGGGGGGGGGGGGGGGGGGTGTCATGATTTGAACAAACTTGAATCTACACTACCTGAGGATGCTTCCATATCAATATGACTAATCATGGCTTTGTTGTTCTTGAGAATAAGATTTTTTAAAGATAATCCCTATTCATGTATATGTTCCTATGTAAAACTTTGATCCCCCATTATGGCCCCACCCTACTACTGGAGGATGCCTTGGACAAACTTGAATCTACACTACCCGAGGATGATTCCATATCAATATGACTAATTGTGGCTTTGTTCTTGAGAAGAAGATTTTTCAAGATATTTGATCCCCCAAACTTGAATCTACACTACCTGAGGATGCTTCCATATTAATATTACTAATCATGGCTTTGTTGTTCTTGAGAAGAAGATTTTTAAAGATTTTTTTTTCTATATATTCCAATGTTAAACTTTGATCCCCCATTGTGTCCCCACCCTACCCCCAGGGGTCATGATTTGAACAAATCTGAATCTACACTACCTGAGGATGATTCCACATCAATATGACTAATTCTGGCTTTGTTGTTCTTGAGAAGAAGTTTTTTAAACATTTTTCTTATATATTCCTATGTAAAACTTTGATCCCCCATTGTGGCCCCACCCTACCCCCGGGGGACATGATTTGAACAAATCTGAATCTACACTACCTGAAGATGATTCCACATCAATATGACTAATTCTGGCTTTGTTGTTCATGAGAAGAAGTTTTTTAAAGATTTTTTCTTATATATTCCTATGTAAAACTTTTATCCCCCATTGTGGCCCCACCCTACCCCCGGGGGTTCATGATTTGAACAAAATTGAATATACACTATGTAATGAAGATTTCACATAAGTTTCAACTTTTTCAGCCCAGTGGTTCTTGAGAAGAAGATTTTTAAAAGATACCACCAAATTTTCACTAATTCTTAATTATCTCTCCTTGAAAGATGGCGTGGCCTTTCATTTGAACAAACTTGAATCCCCTTTACCCAATGCTTTGTGGCAAGTTTGGTTGAAATTGGCCCAGTGATTCTGGAGAAGAAGTCGAAAATGTGATAAGTTTACAGACGGACGGACAACTAGACAGACGAACGACGGACAAAATGTGATCAGAAAAGCTCACTTGAGCTTTCAGCTCAGGTGAGCTAAAAACTCAAGAAAATCATCAAAGGAAGACGCTATACTATTTTAGATCTGTCGCTATCCATCAGTGTCTTTTGGGTTACCCAAAGAAAGAGTATGCTGAGGTGTTCTGGTTATGGCATCCTCACAACGTCAGGGGTCCTGTGTCAACTCAATGCCGTTGGACCCCGTTCGAGAATTTTTCAATATAGAGACGTCACCATAAACTGGTGAAGGGCTTCAAATTTAGACCTTTACTCGGCACTCAGGGCCATTGAGCAGTGAGGAATCTTTATCATGCCAACGCCTGCCGGGACGCTGGGCCTCGGTTTTTTAGGTCTCACCCGAAGAACCTGCAACTTTCACTTCAAAGTGTGCCGAGCGCTTGGCGAAGGAACAGTTGCTACCTATATTTTGTCGACTTAGTTCAGTCGCGGCCGAAATTCGAACTCACGGCCTACCGATCACGGAGCGAGCGCTATACAGACTGAGCTACCGTGAAGGTAGAAGAACTGAAGTACCATATATAAGTACAAAAAAATGCAATTTTCTCCAAATGCCTGGATACCTATAATTCTTTATCTTACAATTTATTAATTGATCAATTTTCAATTTGAGATTTGATAATTTTCCCTATATAATATGAACTATAATGATGAACTTTGAAGAAATACTATGGGTAAATACACATTACTTTGAGAATTCAGAAACATATTTGTGAGCATTTTTAATTACCCAACATCTGATTTTCAGAACTACCTTAAACACAGTTGTGACGATTCTTGTATGAAAGTAAGTGATACTGTCATATTCTTGCATCACACTTTGTTATTCATGGATCAACTCTATTATTAAAGATGATGAATTCATTTGTAGAAGTTTGTTGGAATATCCTATTCGACGATATATCATAGCCAAACGTTTAAGTATACTCTGACACACCAAGCAATTGAAAGAAAATCCATCTATAGGGAATGGTGCATAGCTTTCTAAAGACATCAACAAAAGTTCATGATAAGGGTGATGACTTCAACTTTTATATCATCAACTTCCCATATTTATGTAGCAATATACCATTATCACCTGCGTATGGAGTTGATTCGATACGCAAGAACACGCCTTACATACAAACAATTTCTAAAACGAGGCAAGCTACGGACAAATAAGTTGATGATATAAGCTAGGATATCAGCAGTCCCGTTTACACTCAACATTTCGCAAAAATATGGTCGATAAAATGACCTTCTTAGCAAACACAATCTAGATTTAAATCGAAGGTTGACTGACGTTTTTCGTACAATTTTTAGGCCATTATTTTCAAAATGAATAGTGCACGGACTTTTCCGTTAGCCTGATCATGACAAGGAGCTCACCGGTCGACAAGGGATGCTTACTCCTCCAAGGTATCTGATCCCACCTCTGATGTTTTAAGAGGTCCGTGTTTCCTAATTTGTATCAATATATTGTCGCAATGGAATTTTGAGCTTGCCTGATTACCGTTCGTTATCTTCATATTTCATGAACAAACCTATAAATACTAAAAGACAGTACAAAGTTTGTTAAGAATAATCTTTCCATCATCAAGGTGGACAATTTTTTTTCTCCTAGTATCCTATTGTTTGTGTCTCTATTTGTCTGTCTGTCAAAGTGGTATATTAAAAATTCAATATAACTCCGGCTACTGAATGGAAGGAATTAAAACAGTGGTAATTTGTAAGACAAAATCTAGGTCATACTTAATGATGGGAGTCTTTGGGCACTAACTGAGATTTTGAAATCATATTCTATCTACAATGTTAATAAGAAACCTTATTGTTGGAATGACTTTATAGTTTAATATGTAGGTAAGCATGGTAAAAAGATATGTCGTGATCTTTATAAATGATTTTAGTCCGATACCGGTATCCCAAAGTTCAGCGCAACTGGCATAGACGAGATTTTGAAATACGGATGGGATGGGAAGCGTTGAAACCTTTTACTGTAAGAAATTCAAATTTTAGTTTGTCTTTTTCATCGTTTTGCTTGAAAGTCACATATTTTATGGTTCAGTTCACGATATGTTCACATTTACATTATAATGCATTTGTCATGTTTTTTTTTTTTCAATAAAAAATTCAATAAAATATCATAAGGGCCATACAGCGTGACCAGTGATGTGGTTTGGGGAGGGGGATATCCGTTTTCGTAAAACAAAAACATTAACAGATAAGGGGAAAAGACAGGTGAAAAATTTAGATAAAAAGTTTTTGGTGTCTTTTCGTAATGCAGTATATGACATAAAGTTTTCACAACGATTATTAAGTGTCATGTTATTCTTGTCCTTCTCATGTTTCGTCATTCTTTATTAATGCCATATCGTATGTTATAAATTTAGAATATCAATTTTAATGTTATCCACGAATTCTAATTGCAGATGTTGTAAACACGTTTGTTTTCATGACGCAAAAGCTCTTGGAATAATGTGGATATTTAGATCATCTCCCTGTGTGATACCTTTATAAAGTTCATTTAATGAACAGGTGTGGGTTACCTGCCTAATGTTTTGAAGTATTTTTATATAATAAAAATCGATATAAAATGTTATATATATATATAAAATTTTAAAAATACAGAGCCTTGAGTTAAAGGATACTACAAAATTTTGGTTTATTTTTATCCAGTTTATCCTCATTTATAATTTAAACAAATTATTTTTAAAATAACAAAATTAAAAGTACATGTAAGAGTACTATTGACACATATCGATCTCTATTTATAGTTTTAACCTTTGATAAATTTGATAAACAAAATCAAAATAGATCAGTTTAAGGGCTGCATCTTGATCAACCTTAATGGAGACAAAGGGCAGCATCCAAGAGAGTGGAACTAGATCAGTTTTGCGAGGGACGTCTAATTCTTCTTCATTTTGATGGTACATGTAAACCTTTGTCAGGTTTTGGAGTAGTTCAATGACATACTCTTTATAAACATTCATTCTGCATTTTATAATAATTCTGTGTTAATGATGGTGGCAATTGAGATATGTACCCGAATTACCGGTACACGGTAGAAAATGGCTGGAACTATGTAGTTATACCTCTATCCATTTAACATTTTTGCAATAAGAATAGTGTTTGTATTGTCTGCAGATCAGAAATATATTCCAAATAATAGACCTTTTTTCATGTATTCCTTTGTATACTTCCAGTTACGAACATTAAATTTTAATAATGTAATATACAATATGCTTTGAAACTATTATTGGTGAGAATAACCCTACATAAAATTAAAGATCACGCTAGGTCGAGAGTCCCACTAATTACATGTATATGTTTGAAGAAAGGAAGTTTTTCACTTTTATAAATTGGTAAATTTTACATGACCATTGCTTGCCTAAATTCATAATGACCAAATTTATCGCGCGGCTGATACTACCTTATGTAATGTGTCAAATAATGGAGCAATTTGACATGATTAAACCATCTGTTGGAAATACAGACAATATACAAACGAAGACAGGTGCATGAATACTGGCAAGTCAAACGAGTGTCTCAGGACTGATTAAAATTTATCATACTGTCCAATGGATAAGTTGACCGTTCAAGAACAGAAATTGACTCAGTTCAGTTAAATACATGTATTTTATCATAAGGTGCATTTGCTAACGAGAGACAACACGATGGTTTTGTATAGTAGCTATGTATTGCAAAATGAAGCATATAGATGTAACATTAATTGAAATACTGGAACAAGTAATACATTGATTATATAAACTGTTTTACAAGTTCTGTATAAGTATATTGGCTTTCAATGATGCCCTCAACCTATTTCATATTTTAGTAACAGGTGCAACAAGCCCGAGTGAAGATCGATCATTGCAAATCTGAAGTCTTTGTTAGATAATCGATAGATCGATTCTCTATTTTTATACTCTGACCTATATTTGCCTTCTCGACCTCATGAAATAGCCTGAAAAATGAACATATTGAAAATTTTCCTTGCATCGTTAGACCTCGTTGATGCTGAATTCAGGCGCCATCGACAAGAAGAAGCCCGCCATTCCCCCGAGAGAGGCAATTCCACAGTTTGTCGTTATTATGTTATAATATGCATATATCGACGGTTTGAAAGAATACGTTTGCTGGTTGTATACATTAAATAGAGTCTCAATGGACTACAGGCGCGATAAATGAACGGAAATCGATATCCACTCTCCAAGTAGTGCATCCACAGAACTCGCCAATATCTTGACGTCACAAACATTCTGCAAGATGATTGGCGGTCTTGACATAAATATTTAATAAGTGTCGCATAGCTAATGTCGCGAAATGGATTACCGATATTTCACAAATGATCTCAACTAACGTTTTTCATCTCGCTGGAGGTCATTTGACAAAATGAAAATTATTCAATATTGATAATGAGAATATCTCAAGCATGAGAGGGAGAAAAATGTAGAAAGTGAGGAGTAATATACGAAGACCAGTTTCTCTCTCATCTTTTATCCGGATTGGATATATATTAATGTTGAATCTAGTGTTTCGCAGCTTTACATTCATAGCATCTGTATCGGGAGTTGAATACACCGGAGGTTAGTTCAAACTCTGGAATGATGTCGACGACTAGCAGACGTCCCTCCCTGCCTCCGATGCCAGACCTCTCCCATCTTGATGAAGCAGAGAGGAAACAGATAGAGGAAGTCCTGAGGAGGCAACATGAAGAGGAGGAAAGAGAACAAGAAATGATAAGGTGAGGATAGACAAGCCGCCATTTTGTCTGCAGTCTCAGAATATAGACATTCGATGTCCTCAGATGGCATAAGCATCTCGGTTCATTTAGAACTCTGGAATGTATTAGTTAACTGAATACCGAAATTGTCTCCTTTGAAAAAAAATTTAAAAAATAGACTCAGGTAAAATTTACAGGAGTATGGTCCTAGGTCTAAATCAATACATACATGCAAGTCGGTGTAAACTTTCTTTTTTATGCTTGCATTAATAAATATGTTTACTCTGAAGAAAAAAAATGCGAAATAATAATTATATAATTAATTTTTATAATAGGCTGGTTAAAGAGCAGAAAATAAATTGTATATTTTTCATCAATACAACTGAGTTTTTAATGCATATATTAATATCTCAAAAAGGTTTTAATTCATAATAATTCTTGATGAAATATACTCATAGCTATTTGAAAGGAAATTTTTATTTTGATTATTGTCGTAAGAAATTATACTTATTGAAACAATTTCAAGGCGTCTTTGCGATTACTTCCCTTTCGTCAAACTCTTCAGCTTTGGGAAACTAGGAAAGGCCTCGAGGCGCTATATTCGCATGGAGAGAAGAACACAGATTATCTACCAGATCTGCATTTAATCTAATACATAACAGAAACATTCATTTATAATTTTCTACCGACTAACTGATCCAATGGATACACGAATAGTATCATTTAACTCCAAACTCGGTAACATGCATAGTCAAACATTTCACTTTAGCTATACACCTCGCTACAAAATTTGTTCTCTTTGGGAAGTACAGGTAAGCACGGGCGTCTTTACACCTTCCTACCTTTACCAACAAATACACACGGGGTAATTTTCTCACATTCTCTCCGTACCATATATGTTCTTAAATTATCCGATTCATTTTCCATCCCAAGAACGTGTAGAAAAGTAAGGCATAATATCTCTGCTTTTAAACGAACTCTACTGTAACGATAACAGTCGAATCGTAAAAATCGTTTCGCCTATGTCAGTCTAGACGAACTCCAAAAACAGCGTTTCCGGAAGTAAGAAATTGAGACTGAAAAAGACTCCGAAAATAGAGTCCGCGCATGCGCACACGCACAAAAAATGGCGATTTTTCGGCAAAAATGATGGGTCTACAAAAACTGTCTGTGCAAAGTTTTGGAAAGCATGGCAATTATGCCAGTACTCAAAAATGCTAAATAAAAGACTTCGGAAGAGATCATATTTGTCAGATTTTTGATTTTATTTGCAAAAAAGGAGATATTTACTTTCAAAGTTGAAGTTTGAAGTCAGGTCAATTACAGAGAAAATGATACGTTTGAGAAATAAATATGCATAATAAAAGGGATATATATGCAAAATGGGACAATATATATTGTAACTGTTAAAAACCTGACTAAATTTTACACATAAATTAGCATTCTGGTATTTTTATTTGTGTACGACATCTGAATTGAACGCGTAAGTTCTTACCATCGTTATTTACCGATTTTTTATCACATACGAACAGATATTATTCTAAAAACATTTTTAAAACTATTAGCTATCAATATGAAATCTTTAAAAACCACTCTTCTAGAAATTAAGGTCACAACATGTCTTCTAAAAATGAACCTGTGAATATCTCTCCTCCGTGGTGAGAAATACGCATTTTCTAATTAATTTAAAAATAAATACAAGCTGGGTGTCTTCAAAAACAAATAAAAGCACCTATATTGTAGGAACAACATAAAATTTAAATCAAGGAGACAATAAATCAAATAAGAAAATAATTCTTACCGGCAGTGTTGAATTCGATGTCGTATATCCAGTTTACTACTATGCAAGAATTTGAAGCAATAAATAAGTCAATATCCACAAAATAATTTAATAAATATAATTATCCATTCAACAAAAATTAAAATAAAGTCACAATGCACTAAATACAGCCATTATGCAGCCGTATATTTGGAGAAAGCGAACGACAATCCATCGTTTGTTTACATCGGACGCCATTTTGCCGCAATGCATGATGGAGCCAAAGACTTCGTTTTCGGAGTTCACGCCGTTTTTAGAGTTCGTCTAGACTGTATGTGCCACTATGTTAAACCGCTTTACTTTAAGATATGTTTACTGGTATGCTGGTTGTGTAAATAACACATTCCGAATAAAGTACATATTCTGAAGGGATTATTTTACCATATTTTATCTAAAAAATAAATATCAACTCGTCATGTGAGACGAAAGTACGGCATCAAGTTTCTTATTTTGCACCGGAAACATGAAAATATGAAGGTTGCCATTACGAATCAAGCCACCTAGCGGTACACGAATTTTTCGATTTTCATCCTAAAAGAAAGAAGCATTGTACGTACAACTCATCTCAGGTTGAAGATAAGAAACTTCTCGAATAAAAGAGTTCATCCGGTGACAGAAGAGCCCAGCAATTTCAAATGTAAGCACTAATGAAAAATAGGGTTCAGACAAAATTTACATTATAAATTAATTATGCAATACGAATAAAATGGCATACATTATTTATATAGAATAGACATTCCTGAATCGAATATCATTTGTTACTCATCATATTATGCCTGCGCAAAAGAGCGCTTTTCATCTGATTCTTACGAAGCGACAATTTTTCGGAAGAAGTTATCCCCCTTAGTCACTCTTCAATGTTCAGGGAAACAGAGGAAATTCTACCTGTTTCCAAATAATGATTTTAAAGTGAAGTTTTAATTAATTAATTATCAAAAAAGGTTAAATTTGATCACAGATTATAATAAATCACATCAAATTTAATCTTTTTTTTGGGGGGGGGGGGGATTAAAAAAAAAAGAATATATTTTCTTCGCTAATTTTATAAGTGTACAGATCCTTTGCCAGAAACTAGAGAAAGTGAACATGGTGAAATATACCATATTATCAATGGAAAAATGGTTATGAAAATTCCATTTTAACTGTTAGATTACAATCAGCCCTTCTCACAGTTACTATAATAATTATTTAGTGAATGTCACTGTGATGTACCCAGCCACAGGACTGTCAGAAACTGAGGGATATTGAATAAAAGGCAATCGAGTGTTTTGTTTTTTCTTTATTTTTTCAATGTCAGATTTATTGGATGAATATAAATTCACTTTACAACTTCATTCCTTGACTAACATAAAAACCTTATAATTTTTATATTTTTACATATCTTAACAACCTGGAAATACAGAATGAAGTATTATTTACATATATAACTAGCTGAATTCATGTACATGTATATGCTTAATAGCATAGTGCCCTTGTTGAATATAGATTTCTCTTCAGAAGCATTTTATATTTTATTCATTAATACTTCTGATTTTAGCTCACAACAACACTATAAAAATCCTAACAGTATCTCTCCCTCTCTCTTTCCACAGGTATCCTTTTTTAGTACAGCATTGCATACATTGGAAATGAAGCTGTGTTCACCTGTAAACACTACTATAGAAGATTGGCAAAAGAAAATCTTAAAAAAACTGTTTCAAAAGAATAAAATTATTTCAAAGGTTTATTGCTTTGCTTTTAAACTAAAGAGAATGTGTTTTATTCTACGACACAAACCTCAGTTTTATCCTGTTCTCTAGGCTATATTATGTTTCATAAATTATAAAATTTTGACTTCAATAAAGTTTGACGGTAGGTGTCTTTTATATGCTGTAACTTTTTAACCACTCAAGATATTAAAATAATTTTTTCACCATGAAGCTGCATTTAAAAGAACCTTTCTAATGATATAAAACATGTAGTTATCAACTTCCTATTAAAAAATCACCTGTTTTCATTATCTACTGTACATTGCTGTACGGTGATCGCTGTTGCTGTTAATGAAATATGGATAAAAATAGTGATCTTTGAGGATCATACAGTTATCCTACTTGTTACTGAATCCCTTTTAAGCAAAGAAAAAAAAAGACATCGCTCATATTCTCATTACTGAACTATATCATAGGCACCTATGAACTATATATATACCTGGGTGTCTGTTTCTCTCATATTTTGTGCTGATCAGGGTGCAATCGGTTGAGGTTGGAAATGTTTTCAGTCTAAAAAAATATGAGGCCACATTCTTGAGAAATTTATGTGTCTAGACAGAATGGATGGTTGACTAAGTAGGGAATAATTGTTTTTATTCATGAATGGGGCCAATTCTTCAATAGGGAATTACACACTTTTTTCTTTTTTAATTTTTTTGTATGCATTGCATATTAATGATATTGGTATAATATTTTTTTTCCTTAGGAAAATGCAACATGATTTTGATGCCTATCGCCAATCTGTTGACAAAATCAACTTGGAAGCAAAAAAACTTGGTCCACAAGGTCAGCTAGACACAGGAGCAGTGTGCCAGATTTGCCATAAGACAAAGTTTGCAGATGGTGTTGGACATGTTTGTCACTACTGCCAACTTAAATCTTGTGCTAGATGTGGGGGAAGAATGACAGTCAAACAAAATAAGGTACTACTACATGTACTTAGCACTCAACTAGTGAACTGTGAAAATTCATAAACTCTTTAGGACATGTAACAATATTCTCTTTGGCAGTTTTACTTACTTGTACCATACTTAGGGAGGCACATCATGATGCTGATTGAGACCTACTTTATGAAGCATTCATTTTCAGTAGGGACCTTCAAGATATTAACTAAGTATATGCAGAAATGTAGTGATAATTTAAGTCTTTGAAAGTACCTAAAATATTTCACGAATCAGAATTACCTAGAAAATCATTAGGTGCTGGCTCCTTTTAAGGAACCAATGCATCTTCTATGCAAAGTGTGGAAGTAAGAATTAATTTTAAAACATTGGTTTAAATGCATTTTTAAGATTTTATATTAAGCATTCTGAATTGTATAAAATACATATAAACAGGTACTTGTCACTTGGAAACTTCATTAACTTTTTTCTTGCTATAATAATTTTGAGGAATTACTTCAACTGAATTGATATGAGTTTGAACCTAAAACATATCTTGGATATTTATGTTGAGTTTTGCTGAAAGGAACAAGCTTTTTAAACTTATTTGCTTCTAAAAGAATTTCTTGATAATTCAGAATTTATTAGTCATCTACAGGTGAAACTGGAGACGACTATTGTTTTCCTCTCTGAAACTATTCAAGATATCTTTATCAAACTTCTTATGCTAATACACATTGATGAGAGCTATTCAAATCCATCAACATTTTTTGACCTTGTCCTTTCCTTTGACCTTGACCTCACTTTCCTTAAATTAGTGCTTAGCTCAGTGTCCAAGAAACTATTCAAGATATTTTTATCAAACCTTACATGTATTTGCTGATACATACTGATGAGAATTATTCATATATATCAACATTTTTTGACCTTGTCGTCACTTTTCTTTAATTTTTGTTTAGATAATTTATCAACAGTATCCAATTTGTTTTTTTTTTTGTTGTCTTGATTTTCCCAAAGACCTTTGACTTTACCATTTATTGTGTATTAAACTCAGCTTTAAAGAATCCATTCAAGGTATTTTCATTAAACTTCATACACTTATACAAATTTTCATGTTACATTACTAATGAACCCTGTGTGAGGCATTCATGTCCTATGGACATATTTCTAGTGTCTATGTGATTCAGTACAAAATATTCTTATACAATGAAAGGAAGCCTGTCAGTGATTTGTGAAGTTAGAGATGAATCTGCACCATGTATATTAGATCATTTGACAGAGGTGATCACTATTTGCAAGTCTGAACCTGAACCACATTTTACAAAAGAGTTTATGACTAAAACCCAAAAGTAGTTTTGGAAATAATATGAATAACTTTCATTTTTGAATTAATTTGAAAATGGTTTTAACCGTTTTTTTTTTTTAAATTAAAAATATATTTTTAAGGAAACATTTTTTTTTTATGAAAATCATATATTTTTTAAAAAAAAAAATATTACAATCAACTAAAGGTTTCTGGTTTTGGTCTTAGTGATTATGTAAAACAGGCCCCTGTATTCCAGGAAACCTATCCTAAAGTCACTGAAAAAAAGTCTCATAAAAATTAAAAAGTTGTATAAAAAAAGAAATAAAGGGCATGAATTTAATGTTTAGATTGTCTAATTCAGTGATTGTCAAAAACACTGAAAGTGATTAAAGAAATAACCCCCCTTCTTTTCCTCTTTTTCCATCTCTCTATCTCTCCATGACTCAGTGGTTCTTTGTGACGGAGTCTCTCTTTTTTTTTTTGGATCACATTTACAAAATGATCTGGATTTAGCAGTACATACATCTGTGACTAAGTTTTCTGTCAGTGTTTAAATGATACTGGACCTTTCATCACAACTGATCTTTTCCATTACTCACTGACAATGGAACAGTCAATCATGTACTGCACATAAGGGATAAAAAGCAATACACAATTCTATTGTTATCCCGTGTAATTGAACACTTGCTAGCTGGATCAGTCCGTTAATAATTTATCATAATATTGATAAGTGTACACTTCTAGCCAGAGCACTCAAGGAATTTATAACAAAAGTTATTGCAGATATATTTACACATGTCAAATGAACGTTTGATGCCAAAAGACCGTGAAGATTTTTATTTGTATTATGTCATTTCATGCAGTTTATAACCAAATTGATCTGTAAATTCAATGATTCTTATGATAAAACCAACAACAAAAAATCAGTTTGCAGATGATTTTAATATTGTTTTTCATTCTGTGTTTTATGAGATGCATTGTTAAAATGTTACAGCCTTTCCTGAGAAAGGAATGCAGTTTTTCCCCAGGTTAATTTCAAGAAAGTTGTTGTTTCACTCATTTCTCTTTGAGATAGTGAATTGTAGGGAACTTTTTGAAGCATGATGATCTTGAGGATCAAACTTTACGTTACAATTGATACAATAACATGTTTAAAATGGCAAAAGAGACGTAGTGAGGCCATTCCAACTTCCAAGTTTTTTCTCTGTTTAGGGTCCACCCATCTTTCATAAACCTACTTACCTATTCACAAAAAACACACAAGCTAAAAAATAAAACACAGACCTTGGAGTCATAAAAATGACGTCATTCAAAGAATTTGATTTCATTTATCTATTGTTCTTGTAGAAAAATCTATTCCTTAGCAAAATGAAGGTAATGAATGCTTAAAATATATCTAATATGACATATTGTAGACAGATATTTAGAGAAATTGACAGAATTCAAAGATTTCAACCAGAATAATCAATTTCAGGACTCCTGATTCTGTTTGTTTTTTCCAATATTGGGTGTCAAAAACCAAGGCGCACGCGGACGCTAAACATAGAAAAAATTTGGAATGGCCTGATTGTGAATTAAACATGAAAATGTTTTAGGGTTAATGAATCAAATCTCGTGTCTTACTGCATGGCATTGCAAGGATTTCAAAGCAAAGTTCTACAAGATACAAATATTACATGTACATCTATACATTGTATTGAATAACAATTTTTAGTGAATCATTAAAGATTTAGCCTAACAAACAAGGACAGGACCAATCCTATATTTTAATGGTAAAAAGGAAGTTAGCACTAGGGACCTAATATTTGCTCCCCTGAACTTACTGAGCCAGTCTGAATGCTGATTCTAAGCTTGGTAATATTTAACTGCTGTTATCTTTATTCAAGAAAATAATGCAATCAATATGGAGCTATTCCAGACTGGTGCTGAGAGGGTTCTGGAGGAGGATTTTGTGCATTGTTTGTGGTTATTTAAATATTCTGCAGTGTTTTTCAGAGCTTTGACCTTCTTATTTAGAGCTTAAAGCTTTATATTACTTCACAGTATTACATTATGCAGCATATATACCTAGCTATCAAAAGTTATCCCAACTTTTCTGTTTTTAATTTGTTTCTTTTTAGATGCATTTGATACCTGACTAAAACTATGCTAAAAATATGAATATCATTTTTTATTCCCAAGATATACATTTATATTGTATTTCCATGATATACATATATTGTATTCCCATGATATACATGTGAAATGATAATTTAAGAGTTATAACAAAAAAAATTTTAATTGGATAAATTGATAAATTAAGATACACCTTCCTTGAGCATAGAGCTAGACTCATGATTGGCAATACATACTTTCAGTTTCTAAATCACACTAGATCCTATAAAATAAAACTACGAACAACTTAAGGTTTACCTTCTGGTCAACAAAGTAATTGTTACATAGTGCCAATTACATAAATATGAATATTCATGTCACATGAATATTAAGAACAGTTGTGGTAGCCTAGAAGTTGGATGCTCGCTTCATGATTGGGAGATTTGGGTTCAATTCCCTTTCCTAGCATAGAACTATTTTTTTGATAGAATGGAGGCAAATGAAAAAATCTCCTATTCTGCTTCGCAAAATTACTACAGAATAACAGATATGGATTCTGGTGGGGACACTTCAAGTGTGCCCCCTCTACAACAAAAAAAAAATCAGATTTACATATATGTAGTTTTCACTGTCATACATGGATGTAACAAAATTAATACAGCCATCTATGTGTTGAAATAAGGTTCTCTAGTTGTTTATCTTACGAGTGTACAGAGGCTTTGCCTCCAGGCCCCCAACAGACACTGTCCTTGACCTGCTGGGAACTTGGACTTCCAAACCACCTTGCCATCCAATAGAGCCCCCTCTAACCCAAAATCCAGGATCCATGCCTGAATAATGAATTGAGTTAAACAATCAAAGGCTTAGAGGAATTTTCTGATGTAACAGAAATAAATAATTATGGACTAAAGTTTTTAAGATTTATCATATGAATATGATTTTTCAAACAAACTACAATATCATTAGCTTTTGAAATCTTCAAATCTAAGAACAAAGCTGAGCAAAATATCAGTGAAAATTGTTTTTCTCTCAATATATCGGGTAGATGGTCAAAACTTTTTTGTTTTTCTATCATTTTGTTTCTTTATATGACTGCTTCACCATATGTGAAAATAAGAAAATTTAAATATACAAAGGCTACAAAGCATATAAAAGTAACTAATATTCCATAAAAAATTAAGAAAAATAGAGGAAATTCAAGTTAGCCAATATTTGTTTTAGTTAGATTATTTATCTCAGTTTGATAGTATCACCTGATAAATCCTGTAACATAGGGCCCAAGTGGTATCATCTTTTTATGCAAAATGCATATAGAATATGTTTATTCACCAATCAAGGGCCCTCAGGGGGCATATACATAGTACATATAAATATTATTAAAGTATATTGTAATATGAAAGAATATAAACCATATCTATCATGAGGGTACAAATGAAAGATGTACAATACCACGAGTAGGATACTCATGAAAATGCAAGATTTGCAACATAATCACAATAGTCTGAAACTGGATCCAAAATATTGAGTAGGAAAAAAACTGAAGGAAGATAAAGATATTGACAATAATAGCAGTATGCTAATACATGTATATGGTGTGGCTTGAATACAGAGGGCACCAGGGGACTGACTATGCCTCTGCATAGTCAATCTTACTGACACACCTGTACCCTAAGTATTCAAGACACTCATTCAGAATCATTTAGGTGATGTTTTGAAATAGAAGTATGTACAAATATCATGACTGGCAACAGTAATTTTAAGCTCACCTCAACGAAGTTGGGGGAGCCTATGTAATACCCTCGGCGTTGGTGGCGGCGTCCCAGGTTAAAGTTTTTGGAACAGATTTTTTTTCAAGTACTTCTATGCCCTATATCAATCAGAGGTGCATGGAGGATGCCTCTAGTGTGTTTTTTTATTGTACCAGTCAAGGTTTCAGATGCTGCAATTTCAGCTAAAGAATGAAAGTTTTTGGAGTAGATCTCATTTCCGAGTAACTATAAGTCCTATATTGACCAAACTTGCATGGATGATAAAACTAAGATGCAGACTACCAGGCTTGCTTCAGATGCTGGATCTGACCTACATTTTCTGGATGAGTGACAAGGTTAAAGTTTTTGGAGCAGATCTCATTTCCGAGTAACTATAAGCCCTATATTGACCAAACTTGATTGGATGATACATCTAAGGATGCACACTACTGGACTTGCTTCAGATGCTGGATCTGACCTACATTTTATGGATGAATGACCAGGTTAAAGTTTTTGGAGCAGGTCCATTGCTAAGAAACTATAAGGCCTATCTGAACCAAACTTGCATGGATGATGCATCAAGAGATGAACACTTTCAAACTTGCTTTGGATGCTGGATTTGACCTGTATTTTCTGGATGAGTGACTTATTTAATGTTTTTAGACAAGTCCATTCCCAAGTAACTGCAAGCCCTATCAGACCAAAATTGCAAAAATGTTGCATCTATTGATGCACACTACTAGATTATTAGTTTAGTGTTGGACTTTGCCTTACTTAAAGACAACATTCGATGAGGTGAGGTCTGTAATCTCTGATTATCTATGTTTGATTCTTAACATCAAGGAAAAAATAATCACCTTGACCTGACCTTGCTCCTAATATAAAATGGTCAACTTTCATCTAATTGATACCATCACATAGTGATATTGTCTCTTGAATCTGTAGAAATTTCATTAATTTTTAAAAACAATAAATATGAGAAGAATCCCTCCTTAAACTATGTAACTCAATCTTATTGGGTGTTTTTTCATTCTTTGAAATTAGAGATATTTTAATTGATGGTAATAATTATAAATAGCAAATACGGGCTTGATTTTCTAGATTCTTCTGTGAGTTTTCTCCTTTGTTATATAGAACATGCTTTGTTTTGTTCCTTCCATGGTGATATGAACAGTTGCAGAAATTCATAACGAAACTTCTGCAAATTTGAGTTATTGGCTGTTTTCATAGAGTGCAGTTATTTACATTCACAATGACTGCTTGGTGTAGCTTTGGACATCGTCAGAAGAATTCAATCAATACTTGTCATGCTTATGCTGTATAGTTTACTGTGCAAACACTCAGAGGCACATGATCATATCTGGCATTGCTCCATCGCATTAAACTTATAATCGGCATATACGACTATATGATATAATTTTGGACTATTTATGTGACATTTGAATAATGTGAAATCAAGCAGAGACCACAATGTAGACTTATAATTTGACTACTTATTTGCAATTTTTAAAAGATCGGATTCGCTTAAAAATGTTGTTGTAACACAGGGGTCTGTTCCCCTAATAATAATATAATTTTCAATTAAGAGTATACGATTGTATGTAGGATCAGCATTCTTTTACAAATTACTAGGGTAGATAGACTTTAAATTGCATTAAAACATTGCAAGGAAGTTTTTGAATATATTGGGAGATTAAACATGCACTCAAAATCCATTTCCCTGTGTCATTTGCTGAAATTAAGTATATATATTGTGGAATTCCCAGTATTTTGCATCAACCATGAATTGTCATGGTTGAAATTTGTTTGAAACAGCTAATTCAAGGACAGATGATACAAACAAAATATGGATATCTGGATTGATATATATTTTTGGACCTAGCTATTTTGATTGTAAATGATGCAAATCTTAAATTTCTAAAATATTAAGAAATTGTAAACTTAATTTCTTTGATGTTCAAAATGCCACCTTTTTGGTATCATCCTTAGTTATAAATTTATACAACGTTAACTTTTTATCATTTGATATGACATTATTGTGATTTAACCTTGAATGAAAAATTAAATTCTATGAATTTAAATTATTCATTTTATACTTAAATATTTGCATCACCTAAATTGTTATTTTCATGATTTTTGAAAAAAAAGTTTGTTTGTATCATCTATTCTTAAATTAATCTTTGCTTACATCAAAATATATGTGAAAAAAATAATGCAACTGGATTTAGATAAAACTCACTGGGAAGTTCATATGTTTTTATATACAATATACATGCATATACGTTTACAATGTACATTTGTTTAAAGAGGCATCTATATATAATTTGTAATCTTGGAGAAATAGTTAACCATATTGAATGTTATCATGAATTGAGTGATTCATTTTTCATAGAAACAGTATAAGTTTATTGTGTTTTGATTTCAGTTTCCAGATTTGTTATGTCGAATTCAAATATCATTGAGATTGTTACTTGTAGTGTAACATTTGGTGGTGTTTGTTAGGATTTTATTGGCAAGCTGTTCTTGTTTACTTAGATGCATTCCACAGAAAGTGCAGATAAACTAGTGTCACTGTGAATATCGAGGAGTGTAACAAAGACTAAAGATACTTCTGAATATTGACTGTATGTGCACTTGATATTTTAGTGGGACTTTCAAATATAGTATACATGATACAGTCAAACCTTGTTTTCTGGAACTTGATGGGACCGAGAAAAAAAAACCCATTGTCAACCGAGGCAAAGTTGAGGTTGACAATGATTTTCTTTGAATGTTACCCTCAACTACATGCAATATTAAAATGTTTGTTACAAATACATATCAAAATTAAATTTACTCACATAGATTTGACTCGGTCAAAATTTTTTTTTTTTATTTTACCCGTCATCAGGTAATGTTGACAGTTGCTACATTTTCTCATGCTGGATCAGGGCTTGGTTTCATGATCCAAATGTTTCTAGGGTATCAGATTCAACTAATTTACATGAAAGTATATGATTATTTTTCACTAATACACTAATACTATAGTTAAATTAGTATGAAGCTCCACCCAACTGTTGACAGCTAGGTGATACAATAGTAGTATGCCAGCAAACTATATTAACTCCCCCCAAAACTTCTCTAAGTGGCTGATGTCAAAAGTTAACCATATACAATGAAAAAAATTTTATTTTTAATTACATACCATAATCTCTTTTTTTTGTTGTTGTTGTTGGAAAGGGGGGGGGGGGGGCATTAATGCAAGTTAATTTTACTAGGAATTTTAAGCAAAAAATATGTTGTTTTTTTTTTTTTATGAAGTGGAAATCAGAGATAAAAAATTAAATATTAAACATATATAGTAATATTTAGTATTTTGTGAATGTGCCATACAATGTTTGACATATGTTTATGCTAAACTATTTTGAAAATAATCACTCTCTCAGTACCCAAACAGTACACAACACCAAATAGGGCCTGTACAAGTCAATTTACAGTGAATTGGCTGTTTGACTAAATCAAATAAATGGCTTTTTCTCTGATTTATCTAAGTGTCCACTTTGATAATATTTCCTTTTAGTGATAGATGTTTGGGAAAAACATACCTGGAAATAATTAGCTATAATGTAAAAATATGAAAGATGCATAATGTATTTAGCTCATTTTTGAAGTTTGAAGTTTTGATTGTTATGAAATTGCCATTTTTTTTGTTTTGTTTTAACATAGGTGAATAGTTTTGAGACAATATTTCTCTCTCATCTCACAAGTTATTGAATATGAATTTATTTTATTATGCAATTGATAAGCTTAAACCTGGTGCACATTTTAGAAATTTACCAAGTGACTTGTGGTTGCATATCTCTTAATTATGGCATCTCTGAGTGGTATGGTCTGTCAGAAAGAACAGATCAATAGCTTATATGTAGATAACAAAGGGAAACGGAATTACGTGCTTTACTGGGTCGATGGCGATACCATGCTTCTTATTGATCAGTGCGGGGGAAGATCATCGGAAAATTGAGAGCAATATGGCCTTAGAGGCTCTTCTTCTTTTAATTCTCATGTTGCATCGCTTGCACACCCCCACGTAGATAAATGCACTGGCTATCATTAAACTGTAGACTGATGCAGTTTTTTTTTAAGGATCAAATTATGTATGCATGTATACCTGCATTATCTATTTTATGATATATTTCTGCATAACTAGATATGTTGTGTTAATTTATGAAAGACTCGATATTCAAAGTTTAGATAATAATTAAAATCAACTCAGCTATTTGCTTTCAACTTGACCATGTTTTCTTTTCCTGTCTGTTAGAAATTGGATGATAAAACTGCACCCCCTGTCAACAATCCACCAACTGTAAGTGTCGATTGGCTGTTGTATTTACTGAAGTCAATTCTCATTGGTCATTGTGATCATCATAACCTTTCATGCCCATCAACATTTAACAAAAGTGAAATATTTAATTCAATTAAAAAAAAAAAAGAAATAATGTAATGCTAACATTCATGTAGAGTGTATAATATATCTTATCAAACTTAGATTTAAGGTTACATGTATTTTTGAGTTTGCAATTCTATTGTAGCATTTTTTTTTTTTGGAGCTGAAACTAATCCAAAAGTAGATGTTATTTCATTTCCATTTAAACATTTAACACATCCAGTTATCAACTGCATGCATATTTTTTTATAACATTTATGCTTTCTTTATAAACATGGGTACATGATTGTGTGTTTGTTTGTCTGATGTGGCATGTTCAAGTTCTAATGAAACTTTTGTGTTCAGCTGTTTGAGTCAGGGATGTAAAAACTCAGCTATCCATGGACAGGATGCATTATAGATACTTCATCATGTAAAACCACATGCTCTGCTAAAGTTTTTGCTTTGGGAACAAAGCAGTGAAATGTGTGACATTTAGAATTAAGAAATTGGGGTGAAAATTCTTACATCAATTTTGAGGGAACAAATGTTGTAATTGTTGTCAGTTCTATGCATGAAACTTAAGATAAATTAAAGTTCAGTGGGAGATATGTCACAGGTAAAAGTCATTAGATGCAAAGACAATTAGGAGAATGACATATAGTTTTATGTGTGATTTGTAGTGAAGTGCAAATAGTTTTTTGGTAATTTTTTTCTGTGCATGAGAAGGGTTTCTTCAATGTTTTGCAGTACAGTGTATTTGTGTTTGATGTAAAGTTAGGTATATGCATTTGTTATAGGGAATTGGGATTCTTACTTAAGTTTCTTTGATATAGAACATGTAAAGTTAATTCTTTGATTATTCTTATTTTGAAAATATCTGATCTGTGAAAATATCTACCATATTGTCATGTCAAGACTTTAAAAAATCCTTCAATGATTAGAGTGTAATTTATGAGAAAGCTTCTAGGTAGTATGGTAATAAACTTGATTATTGCAAATATGGATGTAAAGTAATGGCATCCCTGTTTTTCATGAAGTCATTCTGTGTACCCCAAAATAAGGAAATACCTGTATTATTAAAGGTAATTTGGTTGTCATTAGTAGTTTATTAACCATTTTATTCTGTAACACATATTAGAGATTCGGATTGAAATGTGAAACAATTAAGCTAGGAAGTAAATATTTATTCACTGTTGAAGAAAGGCATTCAAATTTACTTTAAAAGATGGACACAAATTTGAGACACTTAACAAAATTGTCAGCCATATCAATTGAAAAGTACTAATTATATGATGTGTAACTTATGTAAACATTAACTATCTAATAGAAAGTTAGGATTTGAGTGGGAATTAGGATCACCAAGGGAATAGTAGGTGGGGGAGGATGACAGTTTATTAACTTGTCCCTAATAAAATATTCACTGTCACATAAAAGCTGAAGCACTTATCACCTCCCACACTGAATGTCAGGCACTGAACAGACACATAATACCAGAATCGTGAAGGTAAAAGTACCAATAAAGTGTACAGAAGTAATCGTTTTACAAGCCAAGTGACATTTCATGGAAAGTAGCCTTCTGAGTTCTGAAGATGTTCAAGTGCTTGAATATTGATTGAGGAAATTAAGATTGTCCCATCTGCTTTCCTTTTTTTTTTTGGTGGAATTGAACTTATTTGGAAAGTCTATTGACATTACCTAGAATTTATCAACATTATTTTGTTATATGATGAGTATAATAGAAATGTGTTTTATCTATTAATTTACAGAATTTATAAAAACACACAAATGTTCACATTTACAGTACATTATATTAAAGCAATTCATTTGATTCTCTTCATGTTGGAGTCTAATACTTTGTATTTCACATTCATGCATTTATTTATAAAATCCATGGTCAGAGAGTTTGATTATTAATAATTACGTCTGTTGCATCATATCAAATTTTGTTTACTTTCCAGCTGATGCAAAACGGTTGACTTTTATGCAATAGAAAATATTTTGATGTCAATTCAGTTACACACATTTACCAATTCTGTATTTACAGACTGTGTGGTCCTGTAATCTTTGTCGCAAGAAGCAGGATCTTCTAGCAAAAACGGGAGCTTGGTACCATGGGGGGATGGCTAAACCAGTCCAACTTGGCCTAGACACCCAAACAGAAAGCGACACAGCCTCCATCAAGGCAGAAATTAGTCCTCCAAATGAAAAACGACCAAAAATCTATGAAAAGAAAGCAGATGGTACCATATCTGGATCCGACAAAGAAAATATAAAATCAGGACCCAGAGGACCACACCCTCATCCAAAGGAGGGCATTAGGAGACAGACATCATTGGATACAGGAAGTTCACAACATAGTCGTGGAAGACTTAATGAACAGTATGCCTTGACTCCGGAAGATGGTGAGAAGTTTCGTGAACATGGACAAGTGACAGAGCGTGGAAGAAATCGTGATCGCTCTCCTGCTTCTAGAAGACATTATAGTGAAACAAGGCTGTCAGAGACAGATAGAAGATTTGCTCAAGAATTCCGACATGGTGATAGACTTGGTAGGGGGGAGGGTACATCACGCTCCAGGGATCCGTCGAGGGAACGGGGACCACGAGATGACATGAAGAGGGGACGTGATACTCACCCTGATAAACGAGTACGAGATGGACCCAGAGATCTAAGGTGGTAGACAGATTACATATTTTTATAATGATTTTTACATCAAAGCTTAATGAGAATTTAAAAAGTTAAAGAAGTTTCCTCTATTAACAAGTGCTCCAATTATTTACGAGTGAAATGAATCCATTTCCTCTTTTAAATTAATTTATTTTAAAACATATCATTTCATATTTAAATGATTATCAGGGGAAAAAAAATAAAATTGTAATTTAAAAAATCATTTACCAAAATGAAGTCTCCTTTTCCAAACATGCTGTAAACCAACTATTATTCAAGTCATCTTTTGTTAGCGAATCTTCAGTTTGAAATCAATCCGCGACGATTAATTTTCACGACTGATGAAACATTTTCAATCTGTGAATGCAAAGCAAAATTAACAAAGCAGCAATTGATATTTGTGGGTTAAAGAAGATTGCGAAATTCATGGATTTTTCTCGCATGCGAATAAAAGTTGGTTTTCAGTATTCTGTAGTTTTCTTTAAAAAAGATTTTGGGTCAAAGTGATGATTCTGTTCCGATATTTAGCAGAATTCTGCTAATTTAAATCCAAGAATCTGATAACAAGTATTTCCAATTTCTTTGTACTTTCTATTTTTGCAGTGATCCGTTTCCATTTTTGTCTGGGTGAAAATTCAAATTGTTTAGTCCTTGTTTTGATCTAGTCAGCATCATCCAGACATTTGCTTTTATCTCCAAGTAAGGTTACCACAAACGTATGGATGATTCAGACTTCCTTACAATGGCTTGGCGGTTTATTCAGCCAGGTCAGGAAGTAAAATTAGAAGAAACTGTCACACTTTAATTCTTGACACTCATTTAATTAAACCTACTTAAGGCTCGCTAAAGTCAATATTTCGGCAGCCCCTAGACCCCAACCTATATTTCAGATATTTTGGACAATTCACAGAATCATCACTGGGGTCAGAATAAATGTGACTGAAGTACAAATCCTAATGGAATAGGAGTTCAGTAATTTCTGCAGCTTGAAATTTTTGGCTTAAATTTTCATACTTTCAATTTTTGTGGCAATCAATACATCTGTTTTAATGAAGATACAGGATTTAATATTTTTGTTTTATACCCCCTTTGAGATAGGGGGCATATTGCTTTACATCTGTCATAGGTCAGTCTTTTGGTATGTTGGTCAGTCGGAAGACCAAGTGTTGTTTGTTCAATATCGAGAGAACTTTTATTTGACAGACATCAAACTTTGTACACTGGTACCCCCCTGAAGAGTAGATGATCCCTTTTGATTTTGAGGTCACAAGGACAAAGGGTCAAACTACTCAGTTCAATCTCTTGAGAACCCTTTGTTTGATAGAGATCAAACTTGGTACAATTGAACATAAATATTTCAAATACCATGGATATGTCAAGGTCACTTGGAAGTCTTAACTATTCTGTCTTTTAATGTATTTTAACCTCATTATCTCGATTTGTCGGATATCTCAAAGTTTAAATTCCATCCCATTGAGTTTTGGATAACGAAGGTTGACTGTACATGTACTTGGTTCCCCTTAAGGAGTACATGTAGATAACCCCTATTGAGTTTGAGGTCACAAGGTTAAGGGTCAAACAAGACATTAGAATCTATTAACTGTTCAATATATTCTGAACACTTTGCTTGACAGGCATGTAACTTGATACACTAGTTGTCCTTTAGGAGAAGATGACCCCTATATTTTTTAAGCCACAAGGTCAAAGAGGACAAAAGGAAATTGTTGGCCACTCGTATCTTGAGAACTCTAAGCTTCAAAGACATCATACTTGGTACACCCAAGTGTCCCCCATTGCTATGTAACTTGTTTCAACTATGGCTTAGCACTGATATATAGCACATTATGGTGTAAATCATTGACCAAACAGATAGTTATAAACCCAGTTGTGGCAGATCAAGTGCGAGAGTGTGAGTAAAAATAGCCAAATCAATATAATGCTGCACTTATAATGACCAAGTCTTATGATTTCCCTTGATGCAGTTTATAGCTCCATGGCTTCTTTCTAAGAATGGAGTCAATCCCAAACATTGATTATAGTCTTGCAAGAAAAAAATATATATCACGATCATTTCATTTTCGTGTGGTTTATTTATTTACAAAGACACCTTGGGGAAAGGAGGGGCAGGAGTGTTTACATTATATGGTTTGGATTTTGTGTCTCATTAAATCCTAAAATATATTATTTCAAAAAAAAAAAAAAAAAAAAAAAAATCGTGGAAAATTTTCTTGTACATGTAATTAAAGGAGACTGATTAGAAAGACACACAATATTTAGGATTGGCAGGTTTCATATTTGGCTACTAAAGAAAAGCACTGAGAAGATGAAATAGAGTCTTTTGATTATGTATGTTGATGAGAACAGATCCCTTGTGGTTTTTTATCACATCAATGAATGGAAAAATAGTTTGAAGAAAAAAATTTAAATAGACTAGTAATGTGCTGCCTTTTATACCTGTGCAATTCTGTGTGCAGTCTGTAATAAGATTGATTTTTAAGGTTAAAGCAACTGTTTCTCCTGGCACCTTTTTCCCTCAGATCAATATTCAGCATTTGTCTAATGCCACTGAAAAAAACTGCAGCAAAAACAAATTACAGAACATTGGGGAATTATGATCAAACATTCTGTGTATTTCCTACCATAAACTAATGTCTAAATGTGGTCAAAAAGTGGAAATGATAATACAGATATGTGTATATATTTTGCATTCAATTCTTTAGAACTAAAAAAACCCACCCATTTCAGTATAAGTTTTATTCAAATGCATTAGACAGTAATTTAATGTACATGCACTTTTTAATTTGTCCATGTTCAGTTTACTACTTTCAAGCTATGCATACATTTGTTTAAAATGACCCTGTTTTGAAGATTTTAGAAGAAAAATAGAAAGATAAATGATAGAAAGAAAACATAAGATAGACAAGATTTTATTGATGAAAATGCCATTATATACATTAGAGTGAACATCCTTAACAATAACAATTCAATGTTATATACATGTAAAGAAACACAGATATGGTTAATACTTACAAGTATAGTTTCAGTGACTGCTTAGGAAAAGTAGCTGGATGGTGACACTTGTGAGCGTGAAACATACATGTTTTTAAACCTGTTTCTACCCAAGGGAATCTCTGCAATGGTGTTGTCCTTACTTTCTGACAATTTGTTTAGCTTCTACATATAGCTAGGGATCATGATGCCACTAAACTGCTTCTTAATTTTCCTTTTTCCAGTGATCACCAGTACTTTGGCTTGGACAGAAAAAATACATTATCTACCAAATATTTTTCTCTGGACCACACTATATGCAAAGTTGCAGACCATACTACCGGTACTTTTTTCTTTTTTAATGATTTTCAACATAGTATATATACATTTACAGAGATGAAAGACATCGTGACCCTCATCGAAGTGAGCATGACATAGTCTATAAACGTAGCAAAGACCCTGATCACTACAGACAGTCTCCGGTGGAAGGCATAAAAGGCCATGACTATGCAGACAAAGAGACAATACGTGGCTCACGAGAGCATGTAGACATGTTAGATGGTGAAAAAAGACGAACAAGGGATTCTTCTCTCTCAAAAGTCAACAATATGCAAGCTCCCTCGTCAGGGAAACTGGATAGAAGTGGAAGTGGCCGATTGTCACGACCAGAGCGAACTCCCAATGTTAGTTCTAGTCGTAGATCCCCAACTACATCTGAAAGAGAGAAGGGGAAGGAGGGACTAGACATGTATCACGGAGAGTCTCCTTCACCGCGATCACCAAGTGTATCCTCGCGTCACAAAATGAGAAATGTGTCCCCTACAGTGAAGGATGAGAGTGGGCGTGCAAACAATGGAGCCTACAGTTACAGTGTCTCCTCACACCTGGACCCCAGTGCTGCCGCGGGAAGAAACTTAACCAAGAACAATAACAATAATAGTCGCAAGAAAATGGAGAACCTGAGGGCAGACTCCCTCAGCTCTGACCCCTCAGACTGTGCAAGGCCTCCCCCACCTAAACCCCACAAACATCGCAAGGGGAACAAAAAACAGAGACAGCACTCACTCAGTAGCTCCGACGATGAAATTAGATCCACCCCTGAGAATTCCAGTTATGAAGGAGAGGAGGAGAGTGAAAGCATTGTTAGTGAAAAAGGTGGGTACTCTGTAGTTTTCTAGTTGAGTTTAATGAAAGATCAAATTAATTTGTTTAAATTTCGTGATTTGATTTACACCCTCAACATGATTATTCACAAGCCGATTACTTTTCCTGGGTACTTAAATGGATACAGTATAAAATACATAATTTACATTATTCAGTAATTCTATATTTAATGAGAATTTTTATAGAAGTTCTTTAGAATGTTCATGATTATTTATTTAAACAATATTTTATTATGAATTTAATTAAACATAAAAGGATTGGACAGAAGGCACTGCCTATATAAGTCCTCTCCATATTCATATCCATGTAGGTTTACTATCATAATATTTAAAGCATAAATATACAGTGCAGTAATTTTAGCAATTTTATTTAAGAATATGATATTCTTTCAAAAGATTTCTTTCTTAATTGATTCAGTGTAATTTTTTTTTTATTGTCAAAAATTTTTGTTCTGTCTCAAAATGGTATAAATGGTTTTGGTTTTGCACTTTTTAGGTCACCTGAGTAAACTCAGGTGACCTATTGCTATCCGTTTTTGTCCGTCGTCGTACGTCGGTCGTAAACTTTTGAACATTTTCAGCTTCTTCTCTGGAACCAGCAAACCAATTTCAACCAATTTTGGCATATAGCATCTATGGGTGAAGGGGAACAAAAATTGTGAAATTTGTGGCCCCTGCCCCCCAGGGGCCTGAGGGGTGGGGCCAAAACCATCAAAATTAATGCAATCTTTAAAAATCTTCTTCTTTGCTCCTAGACATCAAGCAGTCAAACTGTTGGCATGATTGTAATAAGCATTGAGACCTCTACCAAAATTATGAAATTCATGGCCCCAGGGTTAGGGGTTCTGGTGCTAGGGCGGGGCTTTATCTCTTTTCCCCCTGTTGCCACCATTTGACGCACTTGCCATTTCCCTAGAGTGTTTGTGCTAGGGCGGGGCTATAAAGATCATATAGTGAAAGTGCATTATTTCTTTGAAAATCTTCTTCTCTACTCCTGGGTATTATTGAAACAAATTGAATACATAGTTATGATAAGCAAGGTTGACTCTACCAAAATTGTGAAATTCATAGCCCCAGGGTCAGGGGTTCTGGTGCTAGGGCTGGGCTATAAAGATCATATAGTGAAAGTGCATTATTTCTTTGAAAATCTTCTTCTCTACTCCTGGGTATTATTGAAACAAATTGAATACATAGTTATGATAAGCAAGGGTGACTCTACCAAAATTGTGAAATTCATGACCCCAGGGTCAGGGGTTCTGGTGCTAGAGCGGGGCTATATAGATCATATAGTGAAAGTTCATTATTTCTTTGAAAATCTTCTTCTCTACTCCTGGGTATTATTGAAACAAATTGAATATATAGTTATGATAAGCAAGGGTGACTTTACCAAAATTTTGAAATTCATGACCCCAGGGTCAGGGGTTCTGGTGCTAGGGCGGGGCTATATAGATCATATAGTGAAAGTGCATTATTTCTTTGAAAATCTTCTTATCTACTCCTGGGTATTATTGAAACAAATTGAATACATAGTTATGATAAGCAAGGGTGACTCTACCAGAATTGTGAAATTCATAGCCCCAGGGTCAGGGGTTCTTGTGCTAGGGCAGGGCTATATAGATCATATAGTGAAAGTGCATTATTTCTTTAAAAATCTTCTTCTCTTCTCTTAGGTATTATTTAAACAAATACATATAGTTATGATAAGCAAGGATGCCTCTTCCAAAATTGTGAATTTCATGACCCCTGGATCAGAGGTTCTGATGTTAGGGCGGGGCTCTTTTTATTATATAGTGAAAATGCATTAATGCTTTAAAAATCTTCTCTGCACCTGGGCATATCAGAGGCAAAAAGAGTAAAAGTTTTAATAAGGAAGAGTATTTTTACCAGATTTTTGAACATCAGAACCATTTGGTCAAGTGTTCTGGTCCAGGCCAGGGCTCTATTAATTTTTATTCTACTGAGAGGAGTTATTCCCCTTTGCCATTTACTTGTGATAATTAAACACTGTAAATATTGTACTTCAAAGGTTAATAGAATAAGAGAATTCTGCAAGAATTTTTATTGTATAATACAAAAAGTACTTTCATAGTTTTAATGATCAGGTAGACTTGTAAGTAATAGATAAATAAAAATGAGACAAAAATAACTTCTCTTATTAAATGTTCATCAAAGACCATGCAAGAGAGGCCAATGTTAGAGATTTCAACGAGGAATTAAAATAGTTCAGAAGCACTGATAGTTTGTTAATATACTGTATATTGAGAGTGATAAATGGGGAACAGATTAGAACCTAATTTATGATCTGTTAATGAATACTAGACTAATTATTTTGTTGATCCTGATCACCCTATTTTTCTTGCTTTTGGGCAACAAAGCTTCACCTTTCAGTTCATTTTCTACTCTATGGATCCTCTAAATTGTTGTATTATACTCAGGTGACCGTTAAGGCCCTTGGGCCTCTTGTTTCAAGTATAAATGACATCTGGTCAGTACCGGTACATAGCACAAATATTAACTTTTGTGGACAATAAAAATGAACTGACCATATGAAAGTATGCTTGTTGATTTTGCCGAATAATTTCTAAGAAATACTTCCTAAAATTCTATTTTTCAAACATAATCCAAAAAATTGGCTCAACTGATATAAAAAAGAAAATATTGTAGAAGTATGTATTTAACATTTCTTACTAATATATGGCCGTTATATGTATATCCCCGGCATCAGCTAATGTATGCTTGGGGGAATTAGAAATGGGAGAAGAGAGATGGAGAAAGGATGAGATATTAGCTGCTAAGATTAAAAAGTTTCTGTCGGTGAGTTTGCATGCTGTCCATGTGTCTGTAAGTAGACTGGCAGGGGTAGAGTACAACTGTCTCTTTTGCCATGCATTATCACATATATATTACAGCTTTTGAATATTGCTCTTGACTGCAGAATGATAGCTTTATCAAAGCTGAGCCAGTCAAAATCTGCATAAAGAGACATATGTAGTTATTGATTTCTGTGTACTCCTAAAAAATTCATCATATTGCCTCCTTTGGGGGAAAAACAGATACATGTCTGTAATATCCTGGGCCCAATGTCTCAAAGATGTCTATCTGTCACCTTTCATTGGTTAATGAGGTTGAAACATTATCTGTAAAGTATACTATACTGGGGAGTCATGTTTCTGATGACTTAAGATTAAAAGTTTATGAAAGACCTGCTAGTCCTCTTGTCGCACGTCCTGGTATTACTGTTTCAATAGTGATTAAAACTGCTGTTTTTATTTGTAATTTGAATGTACTTTGTGATTGTTTATTGTCTAGACACTTGAGATGATTTACGCTGGAGAACTTGCTCTGCATTGATTGGTCAATATTGTGTACTTTGATGCTAGGTTTTCCTGTTCAGCCCCCCTGAAGAAATAATTAACATTACAAATGTGTTTTGCAATTAGATTTTAATTACCTTAAATGTTTTTAGGTTAATTAAAGTGTTTTGATAAAAAAGAAATTGTAAACAACACACCCAGTTTTCCTGCCCAGTAGGAAAAATTTGTTTAGGAGTTTGGTACTTTTTTTCCATTTAAAAATTCAAATTCTATATGCAAGTATGAAATGGTATAGGGAGCTCTGTAATATTTGGGTATCTTGCAGCTTTTTGATGTATTCTGTTGGAACTTCTCATTCTTAAAATACTCTTTTAGTTCATTATTTAGTTAATTTTACTTTCATCACGAGATTCAAAATTTAGACTTGCTATTTGTTTTCTAATTGTTAAGTAAGTACAGTGGTACTTATAGTTAGGCAAATACATGTAATGTGAACAAGGTTAGATTTGAGTACAAACATTCAATAAAAGATTTTTAAGCTCTTACTTTCATGAAATATTACACAACAACAGTTATGGAAGACTTGTTTTAAAGAAAACCTCAATCCACAGTGTAAAATGGCATGTAATTAAGTCATTGGACCAAAAAGACTGTACACATTGTGCAATCTATTGTCGAGGAATTTTGATAACAATATTTGAACAACTGTTTAATTATTGATGGCGATTCACGAGAACATTATTGATTTGAACATTAAATAGCAGAGACATCTTTGAAGCATGCATACCATTGGGTTTTGTTTTGCATCACTTGTAATGCATATTGTTATAAAGAGTATGGGACATTGTTTTCACAAATTAGCCCCTTCCCATTGAACTGTCTCATCTGAAAGTAAACTAAATGATAAGTTAGAAAGTTCAAAATGGATTGTAATAAAGAGTGGTATAATAAGGTTGCACTGTTCCTTGTTCCAAGATTAAGACCTGCAACTTAAAATATATCTTATGGCCCTCCAGTTCAGGGTGCCATAGTTTACATGATATAATTACCATTAACACTTAAATGTAAAGTGATGATTTAGTATTTTTCACTTTGTATCATAGCAATCACAAGAATTCAGTGATGACCCCTACAGATGTTGAACACAAAAGAGGCTATAAATTTATATGTGGATGTAAATTTAACACTTTCATGAGAAGTTATTTATGGTATAAAATGTTTTAAAAAACTTTTAAATGTAAGAATGTTTAATATGTTAGCTACTGAATTGGAGGATATTTGAAGGAAAAGTATTATTGTAGCTTTTCAGGTCACCGAACTGGCCAAAGGTCGTGGTCAATAGGTTAAAATGTTTGATACGGTTAAATAGTGGGGCCTCGAATGACTTTGTTAGTTGTATAGATTTGATGTACTAAAATCTTATCAAAATGCCAAGTAAATTTTGGGCCAAAACTTGCTCAGTTAATCTACATGCAGCTGAAGTCAGTTAACTGTCAGTGATTGCTATTTAAAATGCAATCTTTTTTCTTGAAAAGTTTCAGTTCAATTTTGAAACAAGCATTGGAGTGCATAATGTCTACAAATACTGAATTTTTCTTTCAATCCTAATGCACATAAAAAAAGTTGCTTTCATTAAAAAAGAGGAAGATTGATACTGGAGACTGTGTGATTTGAAAACAGCTCTGTGGGATAAGTTATATTCTTTATTTAGTCATCCATTCTCGTTTGATAGACAGATTTGGTCAATTCTGCATTCTTATGATCATCCATCATCTCCGACTGTCAGGAAAATCCTGACATTAAGGAATATTGTGTAAATAGACTGGAATAAGATACCGGATATAGGGGGATTGATTTACCTCAATCTTCAGGCTCTTCCTTTAGTGCAAAAAAGAAATCCAAGTTCTGTATTCTCTTAGACAGCTTCCTTGTTTAAGAAAAAATGAATTGACAAGCTAGTGACACATTTTCAGGATGAATATGATGAATTTTTTTGCTGGTGTTGGAATATATAACTGTGGTTGCTTTATTGTTTATACATGTTTTTTTTTAATTTTACTGGGCAGTAGTGGATTTTTTTGGTATTTTTGTGTTTTCTCTCGCCCTTTGTTTCTCCATTTTTAGAGCTTGCCATTTTTATGTTTCCAGGGGGAAATGAAAGCAGTTTAAGGCAAACTATTTCCGCTGGTAGGCCCGACACCTATAATGGCTGTCAAAAATGTTGCCATGGCAATGTTTGCTGCAAGAACGCTGCTTATGAGACTGAGACACATGTTTTGAAAGACTCTGGAATTGATACAGGTCACTCCAGTAGTAGCCAAACATTAAACGAAGACAGTTCCAAGGTACCTCCAAATGTTCCTAAAGCCAAAAAGCTTCCTCCTGTACTGGAAAGCCTCTTTTACATGCATTGTATTTAGGCATGCAATTTCAAGATTTTATAAACATAACTTGTTGTCATATGAACTTGGAAAGTAGTAGAATGACAAGTGACAAAGACTTTTTAAACACCGTGGAACAATTCTGCATCATTTCTAATCTATTTTGTGAACAGTGCATTAAGTGATTTTGTAGAAAGAAGTTCTCAGAAAATTTCAATCTTTTAGATATAATTTACTTTGACCAGCTACCTATTTGACTTTTTAAAAAAAATCTTCCATTCATGCATGATAAGCCATACTAATTATCTTTGATTTTAAAAAAAGAAATAAAAAAATATCTAAAAGGCCAGTATTTTGGATGACAAGAAGTTATGTTTAACAATTCCCTGTTTTGAAATTGTGGTGTCTGTCCAATGTTCATGTTAGACAGTATTTTTCTAAATAGCATTTGTCACAATTTTTTGAAATTTTCAATATTAACTCTTTTTCTTTATGCACTATTTACAGCAAGTGCACAGTAGTTTTATTCCCTGATCTTTAGAATTACGCAATTAGATAATGCTACACAGAGGAAGAGTGATTAGATTTCTATAGACACTGTCAAAAGGGGGGTAACTTCATACGACTTGAACACCAACAGCTACGACATTTTGTTTTCCTTGTCTGTTGAGGTACCCTTTAGGATTCTGTATATAATGAAACCTAGATAACTCTTACAGATAATGGGAAAGTAGATTTAAAAATTTTCTGTCAAGATAATTGAAAATCAGTTACATATTTCATAATATCCTTTTTACATGAAGCTCCAAACTGCTTTCAGAGGACCCTGTTATTGTTTGGCTTTCAGTGACATATTCGTGTTTACATATTCTATCTTGGCAATTTTCCTTCCTTCAATGGTATTCCTACTTTTGTGTGTTTTAAACTTTTTTGTATTAAATGATGCATGTGTCATTTTCTGCTATAGTTACTATATTGTGGTAGATATAGCCTGTTTGTTTGTGTGTACATTTTCAAAGTAATTTGATATTTATGAATAATTCTTTGATATAATTTGTGAATAATTCTCAAGTCTAACTAGTTTGTCATGTTTTGAGATCTACATCATGTACATTGTCTTGTATGGATGATGTTTAATTCATTTTATTGCAAAAAGTGAGATAATGAAATTTAAGAGCAGAAGCTTTGACATTCAAAGTAAATTTGTTTTCATCTGAGAATTTCAAATTTCTTATGTCTCAATTTCATTTGCTACTAGTTATAAAATGTCAAGGCAAAAAAAAAAAAACAAAACAAAAAAAAAAAACTTAATAGCATATGTTCTGCCTCCAATAAAATCATAAGTCATGATTGTGAACACCGTATAACTTTAAAGAATTCTCATAAGATCATGAAATGTCGATATTTTGTGTGACTGATTTAACAGTTAACATGATTGCTGTGACTGATTTAACGCTGGAATTGTAGCATCCCGTTACCTGGAAATTGTCATCAGATGGTTCTACCTACGTGGGTCACATGATTCTTAAAAAAACCATTGATGGAGCAAGACAGGATGACTGTGCAATTTTAGGTAGGTTGTAAACATGTAGGAAACATATTTCTAAAAGCCTTAAATTCTTTAGGAATAATATATGGTTCTAAAAGGGGGAAAAGTCCCATTTGTTTGGTTGAAATATGTCACCAAGAGCTACAAATTAAATTTCACTTGGATTAATTAATTAACCTATCCCTCCCCACTACACCCCCTCCCACTTCTGACTTGATTGAGAAAAAAGTCAACCACATGTTTATTGGCCATTTTTCATGTTGATATGTGATTAATGGAGCTTATAATAGTGATATATGTGGTTGGTAGCATTACACATGAAAGTCTTCAGAAATCTGTGACAAAACTGACCAATTTTAAATACACTGACAGACATACTGACAATGTATTTAAAAAATGGGTTTAAATATTTTTTGATGAAACCCATTGAGTGCTTATGATTACATGTATCTATATTTCCAGTTCAGAAGGAAGACTGTTACTATATGCACATATGTTTAGATATGAGACATCATATAGAAGCAAGATAATTTGATTGAAGCAAAAAACATGTAAAAGGAGCATTAATATTGTATGATAAAAGCCACAGTATAATTAAATTTTATAGAGATCATACAGATGTAATCAAAAAAGATATTTACACAGATGTTCAAATATTAGTCATCAAATTTAGATTCAACCATGGTCATTTGATCAGGGAACCAATAGCTTTCATTGATATGGTAAGTAATGTTAATATCTGCTGAATAATGGAGGACTTTTATTCTCTCTAGGGTTGAGCATTGTTGGAGGAAGAGAGACCCCTTTAGGCCAACACGGTGCATACATTACGAAAGTCAAAAAGGGCAGTATAGCAGACACTGTTGGCCATCTCAGACCAGGTATAGTTTAACCTTAATTTTCTCACCATCTCTCATATATCTTAAATTTAATAATGAAGAGGGTATGGGAAGGTTATAGGAAAATGTAGTATTGGATCGTAGCCAATTTGGTTATGATTTTGAAGATAGAGACCTCCTTTCTGGTCCCTGTTAAGTCTCATAATATTTGTCAGATAAGCAGGAAAGGCCAAAGGTCAAAAATGATTTAGCCTTTACCAAATTATTTGAATTTTATAAAGATATCTAATAAACTTTTCTGCATTGTCTTTTTCACCATGAAATCATACAATTTGCATACCTTTGTACAAGTTGTAAAGATTATTATCCTTTGACAGGATCGGAGTAATGGTATATTTAATAAATATGAAGTTTTAGATATATAATTTCCATCTTGATATTATGTGTTACTTTTATTACCCCCAGTTGGTTATATTCTATATTAAAACCTGCTAATTTGAGTTGTTCTGGACTATAAGCTATGGGATGTTTTCTGCTATTCATACATAATTCATTCATGTTTTGTCATAAGAGGATGCCTATACATCTTGTTGTTAACACGGCTCCTGAAATTATGCCAAGAAAGGAAAACTCACTTTTCAGAACTGCCTAGTTAATATAACTGTTTACAGAACTCCCGAGAGTAAGCTAGTTTTGATCGTTTAATTATTTTCATGCAGTTGCATGAAGCATCCACAAAACATTATACAAACACGAAAGACATGTATTAAGAACTGAAATAAATAGGGAAAATATAGTGTCAGTCGGTGCATAAGGGAGAATTGACTTGTTTTCAGAATAAATCAGTTTGACCAGATATTGTTTTTGGAAACAGTCACATGGAACAGATTGGGTTTCTTGTCATGTCTCCTCTCTGGGATTGATTTTTCCCCAGTGTTGATTGGAGAGTCCAATATCTAGGTCATTTAGTGATCTAGTTTCAAGTCACACAATTGGATGCATGAAATATTATGTGAAAAAAGTTTCTGGTTTTGACAGTTTACCTCTACAAGGTTGGGAAAGGCTTATTTGCTTTACCATCAATCTGTATTGGGATCCCAGGTTAATTTTTTTGAAGCAGGTTCATTGTCCAACTAATTATAAGCTATACAAGGACCAAATCACTATGAGACATGCTTTGGATATTGAACTTGCCTATATTCTCTGACTTGGTGACCATGTTAAAGATTTTGAAGCAGGTCAATTCCCACAGAATTATAAAACCTACATCACAGGACCAAACTTGCCGGGTCAATGCATCTAGAGAGCATACTAGAGTGCATACTAACTACTTTGCTTGAGATGCTGCAAGTGACGTGTATTGTTGTTTAATGAAGACTTGTAATGAGAAACTTATGTGTATAACTAATGGATCTGATGAACATTCATTTGACATAAAACTGCCATACTACTATAAATAACGATTGGTTGAGATGAGCTAAAAATCTTTATTACCTACGTTTATTTGATGAAAAATTTCTTGTACAATAACCATTTTAATTATATGATTTAATAATTCCTATTTCTCTGATTGGCTGAGATCCAGCAATGTAGAAAAAAAATACTACGTTATATTCACCTGCACGTGACTTTCCAGGTGAATATAAGGATTTATTTTCTCTACATTGGTCTAAAAATAGATCGGGAAATTCCAAATTGATACAAAAAGTTTTGGAAAGCTGTTTCACTTGCTATCGACTTCCACTCAGGTGAACACAAGAAAAGGGAATAAATAATTTGGGGTGGGGGTGGTTGGGGGATGCAGGGGACCCCCCAACACTTTTTTTTAACTTAAATTTTCACTTTTAATTTAGACTAAAAATATTCATTGAAAGGCTGGTCCCCCACTATTATAATATGGACCTTAATCCCCCACCCTAACCCAACCCAAACCCCAAACAAAATTTGAAGTTAAGAGAATTCTCTTTTTGTGGGGGCTAATCAAAGATTTTTATCATCTGTCAGTTTTCCCTGATAATGCCCCCCTTTTTTTCAAAATCGATCCTATAAAAGATCCTGAATATTTCTTTTTTTTTTCATAGTAAGTGATTTTAAAAAATCCAAATTAATACGACTAGTAATGTTTATTTAACCCTGTTTCTCTCATTGCATTTGGCTAGAACTTCAGCAAATGTAATCAAGTAAGGTAGTATGAACGGCTTAATGAGCTTGTATCATTTAATCATTGAATCATATAATAAAACAATTATTGCTGTTTGTTCAATCAATATGATGATCTATCCACCTTCAAAGTACAATATTCACCTCGCCCTTCGGGCTTGGTGAATATTGTACTCCTCAGGTGGCTAAATCATCGTATTGACCTCAAAAACAGCAATGATTGTATAATATTTTGCCACTAAATGATATTATTTTATATAAATTTTTCATGTAAATAACTTCAAGTTGAATTGTCGAGAAACTATTGTTAAAAAACACTGTTACCCTCTGAATGATGAAACGATAGAACTTAGCAACAGTCACCATTGCTTAGCGATGGGTCGTATTCAAAAAAAAATTGACTGCATGGAATCATGCACCCACTTCACCTTTATTTGTATAAAACATTTAGTATAATGTAATAAATAGTGCTTGTAGTTGATGGTAACATTGAAAATTTTAACCCCTTGAAAACCTTTGTCAACCTTGGTTGTGCCTCAGTTGACAATGGTTTTCTTGGGGTGAAAATTTTCAATGTACTCTCAAATACAAGAAGTATTTATATTGATAATAATATTAGGCTATCACAGAAGACAATATATGTAGCAGATATTTTGATTTTCCTTAAATTGTCTGATACAGAGGTTATAACTGAGTCGGTTTATTGTAGGTGATGAGGTCCTGGAGTTCAATGGGAGATGTCTACAGAGAGCCACTTTTGAGGAGGTTCGAGACATCATCATGGAGTCCAAGCAGGAACCACAGGTGGAGCTAATTGTCCATCGTAATGCCATGTAAGGGAACTGTTTGTGTGCGTGTATATATATATATATATATATATATATTCAAAAAATTATATGTCTTTTAAATGAAGATATCTCAAGATTTTGTAAGTATTCTCAAGTCTAAGATTTTGGAGTTTGATTGATGACTGCTCTTGTTGGGAAGCTAGAAATTTTGCACCACATTTTTATTCTTGCCTGCAGTTCTGGTGAAGTTCCACCAGGATTACAACAAAGTGACCATAATACTCGACGAAGTCCACTGGACCATGACCAAAGAGGTAAGAGGGTCAAAGGTCAGTACATATACATTGTATCAATTGTTAATGGAATTTATGTCAAATTTATCAAAGGAAGTATATGGGACAAAATGAATTGTCTAATTAGGGAAAAGAAATCAAATTTCTGAACCTTCGAATTTATTTGCAATGAAATTTTTAAATTCAGATTATACCAATGGCCACGGCAGAAGACCAAATCTATCAGAAACAACCCCTTTGCCCTCTAGTTCTAGGTCAAGAACGCAGACTTCCAAATCCATGGGCAAAATCCAGGTAAATGTTGCAGCTGCTCTGATTTCCAGACTTTCTAATTTTAGTTTGGCTAGACAGATAATTATGGAAAATCTGACTGGATTTAGGACATGCAAAGTAAAACTCAAGAAAATCAATGCTGTCTCAATGATATCAAAACAAAGAAGTTGTCTGAATGGTGAATGAGGCAATTGGTAGTAGCAGTCCTAAATCTTCATCAGTCTGGATATGACATAGTTTTAGAAACATAAAATTTATTTTGATAACTATAGACATGTATGTGGGTCCATCTGATTTAAGAAGATTTACTCAGGAAAAAAAAGTATTAAATTTCTATAATTTGCTTGCAGTAGATTACCCAATTTTTTTCAACACCTAGCTTATTATAGTTATTTGGTCAGGAATAGACATTAACTTTCAGATTTACTTGCCCTTCGGGCAAGTGATCTCAAACTTTGACTTGTCCGAACGCAAAACTTTGTTGCCCAAAATAAGGAAAGAACTTCAGAAGAAATGTTTTATTACTGTAAATGTTATGACAAGAAAAAATGTGACCAAATACACTACTGTCAATTTGGTAAGGTGAGGTACCTGAAAAAATTTTGATGCTGCACTTGCACATAAATGTATACAACTGTCCTTGTAAATTTAACCTGTGAACACACACTGCCATATAGCAATAACCCTCTGTTTTAATAAAATTCATATTTTTAAAAATTATTTTCGGTAGGATTCTTTCGTGGATTGTTATTTTCTTAGATAACTGTGAAACAACGCTGAAGGAAGATAGAATAAATAATCTAATTTGCAAATAAGAAGTTAACAAAGATATTAGACGAACAGCATATTTACCAGGGGAAAAAAACGGAAAAACGAACCCGATTTTCAAATGAAAGGTATAATCCAGAAATGCTGACACGGAATTCCGAATGCAAAAACAATGTCAGTCAGGTACCTGGCGGAAATCAAGTCTTCAATTTATTGGGGGTTTTTTTAATATAAATTAATGTAAACTAAATAAATACGTACGTTTCTATGAGAAAAATTCACTTGCCCGATCGGGCAAGTACGTCGTAAGATTCACTTGCCCGAACTGAGAATTTACTTGTCCCGGGCAATCGGGCAACCGATAATGTCGACCCCTGTTGGCATTCATAAACAAGATCAAATTTTCATAAAAGATCAAATTTTCATAAATGATGGTTATTGTTGTAAATAATCTTAAATTATAATAAAAATGTACTGTATGTGTACTTAAAAAAGCGGGCTTCATATTTTAGCGGTTTTGGCACAGTCAACCATGCGTTAAGTTATGAATACCGCTAAGAAATCATTTAAATATACAATACACGGCACGTACATGTGTAGCGCTAATTCATGATTACGCCAACTCCTCCAAACCCAGTGATTGCGCTAAATTTTAAATATGCCAATTTTGTACACGTACAATATGTGAGAATAAAATTTTCAAGAGGAGACAGTTTTAAGTAAATACACAACAAATAAAGTTCTTGCAAATAAAAAGTAAATGACAATATTTTTTGTCTGGGGTGAGTCCAGTTTTACTATGAAAAAATTGGTTTGCTTTCAGTTAAAGTTGTGGTATAATGTGAAAGGACAGGAGTTGATTTTGACCATCATTAGTGCTACAAACTTGCCTCCTACAACTAAAGGCCAGTTCAGACACCCTTACTGCAAAGTCTATCTGCTTCCAGATAGGAGGTTTGTTTGTTTTTTTTTTCTTTCCTTGATAAGTGAAACAATTTTGAGATTTTGAAACTTCAGTAGGTAGTTTTATCAGTAGGCAAGAGCTATCTATAATTTTACATTATCTGTTATGTTTAATATTGTGTAATGAATACAAATATGTATGTAGAAACTATGTCTAATTTTAGTGAAAAAAGTAGGAGGCGAACTAAGACAGTGATGAATAGCAATGAGCCCACCTGGAACCAGACCTTTATGTATGATGGGGTCACGATAGCTGACCTCCGTAACTCACTGCTGGAGATAACAGTCTGGGACTACGATAGGATGGGACCAAGTGAATTTCTCGGAGAGGTTTGTACTTTTTTTTAATAAAGCACACTGTACAGGTTTATATTTCATTTAAACTATCAAACTACAGTCAAACCTCATTATCTCAAACTCCAAGGACCGCGGAAAAACTTTGAGATATCTGAAGATTCAAGATATCGAGGGTAAAATACATAAAGAATAAGTGGTTGGGATCTCCAAATCACTTCAACATATCCATGGTATTTGAGATATCTGTGTTTGAGATATCGAAGTTCAACTGTATCAATTTGACATGTAAAATTTAAAATAAATATATATTACTACTTGTCTGTTGACAGGTCCTGCTTGACTTACACAGTGCTAACTTAGAGGATGACCCTTTCTGGTACCCCCTATCACAACATGATGAGAGCAGTTTACCCCTTCCTCAGTCCTCACCCAGAACTGTAAGTCTTAATCCTTCCATGTAATTTAGCTCACGTGTGTAATTTCTCAGGTTAGCTTTGCAGACCCCCATTATTTGTTTAACTACTCAACTGTTTGTTTTTTTTTGTTTTGTTTTTTTTTTAAAGGTAAACTTTATTCACAATTTGACAACTTATTAGAAATAATATATAGAGTTTGATATTTGTATTTGTGCTTTTATTTTGGTAACTTTCTTTTAATAACTTAATTTTATATCCATAAATATTTTAACATATATGGAACTTGCTATGGAAGATAATCTCATTGCAGGTACCTGCACATATGAATGAATGTAAAACATTATATCTTTAAAGGTTTTAATTGTCAATAATTTTGGTTCTCCAGAAAACTCACCAGGAGGCATATTATGGAAGAAAAGATCACCTATCCCCCCCTGTTAGCTCTCGTGGTCACAGTGACAGTGACATGTCCGAGTTTGATATGGACGAAAGGTTCATGGGAAATATCCCAGGTATTCTTGTGCATTCTTGTTTAGTTGCATATTGTGTATCTATGATGATGAGACAGGAAATTATTTTATAATGCACATAGGTGGAGTTTTGATATATTTTTGGCAGGTTTTGATCAATGCACAATATGATAAGGTAGAATACACCAAATATCTCAGATATTGTTTCCTACTTTTGTTTCTTTACGTACTTTTTCAATCTATGGAGTTTGAGTAAGACAACAGGTTATATTGTGTAACAGCTGAAGTTTGTCGTCTGGATAAAACTAGTTCCTGCAGTTCATATGGTAGTTCAGTAGGAAGTGATGAATACTCCGACCCAACAGATTACAGATACTCACATATACGCACAAGGCCCATACCCATTCTTAAGAGCCAATTCCGCCCAGCTATTTCCCCCCTAGCTCTGGAAGTTCCCATTGCTAAGGAGGACCCTGTAACCAGGTTAAGAGAAGCTATAGGTATTGTTAGATACACTTTAAGAATGCATCCTAACTAAGCAAATGGTGATGGGTAGAAACTTTCTTCCTCCTCTGAGAATTGTGGATAATAGTCTCTGTAGAAAAAATCTCAAGAGAGCTGCTCTTTATAGAGGTTGATAAACTTATCTCTCCATGATTATATAGTACTTTATTTATACACATGGTGATGGGTATATTTCTTTCACTTAGCTTAGAATTGTTTATGGTAAACTGTGAAAAACTCTCCTCTAGTATTTGACCATACTGAAAAACTTTTTTCCATGGCTTTCCCTAACCTTACATCATAATTAACCTTACATCATAATTACTGTAGAAATATTGATTTTTTTGATAAGTACAAAGGAAATTACTGGGCAGATTTCTTTATGTAAGTAAAACTGTTTTGCATGTCAGTATAAGAAATGTACAGTGGAGCCTTGTTGATCCGGACACTTGTGTTCATGAGCAAATCTGAAACTGTTTTGCATGTCAGTATAAGAAATGTACAGTGGAGCCTTGTTGATCCGGACACTTGTGTTCATGAGCAAATCTGAAGGTGAAGCTTCTGAATATTTGCCGTTCAGATGAACAAGGTTCTCTGTATGGATAAAGTGTTTAAGATGCGAATTATTTCTTTAAATTGAAAAGTATGAATTTTTTTAAAAAGTGCGATGTACAATTTTTATTGATGCTCTTTGTATTAATGATTTTATGCTATTTATTCTGAATATTTTCTGATTATTTCAGTATCTAGTCGAGAGGAACATGAACGTTCTCATCGACACCCAAAGACTGCTGTAGAGAAGTTGTCTGTCCCTGGGGAACAGAGCCCCCATCAGAGGTCAACTTCCCCTAAACCGCCTGATATTCACACCAGAAATAGGTCAAGGACACCTTCCTCCTCCTACCATCGTGTGCCTGAAACTGTAACTCGCTCACTCTCCCCACCGGATCTAAGGTATTTACTTATGTTTATATATGTTCTTGGTGAGACATCATGATAAAAAAATAATTGTATAATACCAATTCATTATACCTACTCAGTGGGACCTATGATACTCAAGTATTGCAAAGTATGGCCTCTCTATACACCTTTTATACTTGGCCAGTAGTCATTTAAATGCTGATCTTTAACTGAAACCTGACCAAAAAAGTATTCTTAATGTATGTATGATATGATCAGATGAGCATGATTGCTCAATTTTTAAAAGTCCCATTTATAATTGTCAAAGAGGATGCAGTACCATGTAAAATTCTTTGTCAAAAAGTTGTTTTTGGCTTATGTACTAAAATTTCACAAAGAATTAAGAAAATTTGTTAATCAGCATTCAAAATATTTTCACTGTAGCTCATCCCCCTCCCGACTGATGGCAAATTCCCCCTCCAACACTCCCTCACCCAAGAAGAGACAGTTGCCTGCAATTCCTACGGATGCTCAGAGAGAAAGCAGAGATCGAGGTTAGTAATGCTTACAGTGTTATCTGGGTATTTTGCTTCATTATAAATGTAATTTGTTATATTTGTTAAGTTTACAATATATATTATAAAGCCATGGGGAATAAAAATCACTTCACCAAGCGCCAATTCATTATAAGTATGTTCACTATAAGCATGTTTTACTGTATTTGTTGACTCAATATTTATTCATCAGTAGTGAGAGATTTAGAAGAGAGAGCTCGTCAGATCAAGAGTCGAATGCGACCAGGCAGTGTGACCCCAAATCTCTCAGACAGTGAAGCAATGAGAGGTCGTCATAGCAGGACTTACGACAGATCTATATCCCGAGAACGGGGATATCCCCAATACGACAGAGACCTGTCACGTGGGCGTAGAAAAGGTAAAGATTTAATTACAGCCTTAGGACATTGGACTTCTGAGTGTCGCAAACAAAAAAAAATTGAGATGGTGCAAGTCTTAACTTTCTGATTGTAGAAAACATTACATGTAATGATTGATCTAGGTGAAATTTGCTCGACTTCACCTATGCTTACGCTGGCTCTAATGTGAATATACATATTACATAGTATAGTATGCATTTTTTTTGGACACTTGAAGACAAGCATGTCACTGCCAACTGAAAGTCAAAACTATCAATGACTTTGTAATAGTGTGTATATTTCATTTGTCAAATCTGCATAGAAAAGCAAAAATGTATATACAGTTGAACTTCTGTATCTCGAACATTGATAGTTTAAATACCATAGATTTGTCAAAGTGATTTGGAAGCTTCGGCCACTTTTTCTTTAAAATATTATACCCTCAATATCTTGAATTTTTTGAAATCTCCTGAAAGTTTTTTCTCAGTCCCATCAAGTTTGAAATAACAAGGTTTGACTGTATGAAGATTAAAAAAAAAAAAAAAAAAATTGAATTGGTTGTCACAGTTTATTGCATTGGTTGATCTAGATTATAGGATAAAAAATTCTCTTGAAAGAAGAAGCAAATGAAACAATTTATGCTTGCTCTTTGAATTTGACTCGAGCATTGACCTTTGAATGGTTTTAGATTTGGGCAATGAATATGATATTCCAAGTGATGGCGATAGCGACATCTCCGAAATCTCCAAAGTCAGCACCATAAGTGTTCGCTCCACCCAGTCCGAGAAACCTCACAGAAAATTTAGGTCAGTTAATTATTGACAAGAGTTATCACATTCAGCAAAAAATAATAGAATCCATTGAATGTTTCTGAAAATACAGTGAGTTGGGTGAAGCTATGTATCCATCTTCACTAGGGGTGAAGTGGATGTATTTGTGATATCTTTGTAGTGTGAACACAACATTTTCTGAAGGTTGAAAGCTCCTTCTTCTTTGCTCTCATTTCCATTTCTTTGTCATTTATTTCAGCCAATTTAAAGAAAAAATAAATACCAAGTCTACCATACCCAGACAACAGCAACCTTCTGTACGCACTCCCACAGGTGATAGTCAAGGCTTCCAGAAACAGAGCAGTAGTGGTAGTATGTCCGACTCAGAGGTCGGGTCATGTGTCACTGAGGGTCGTCGAAGGCGACCAAGTCTGGGTCACAAGATTGGGTCACTGATTGGTCTCCAGCGCAGAAGTAGCAGTGCTTCACAGCTATCTGATGGGAAGAAGAAGAGCTCGATCCAGCGAAGTGAGGAAGTGTTGTCAGGAAGAGGTCTGGTGAAGCAGCCAAGTAAAGACTCCACTGATGGCAGTATTGGGAGCATTAGTAGTGACTCTGGGAGTGTGTGAGTAATACTTCAAACTTCTATTTAAATTCAATTTAAAATACAAAATTTTCAGCCCAATTCATTTAACACTGAATATAACTTGGTTTACAATATATATATTATACAATTTATTTTTCCGTCCTAGTCTCTGGCTGAATCCTGCAGGAATGAGACTGGGACCAGAAGGACAGTTTGGGGATTTTATTGATGGACTAGGTCCAGCTCAGCTTGTGGGACGCCAGGTTCTGGGCTCAGCCTGTCTAGGGGAGATCCAGCTCAGTCTGTATGACAGAAAGCACCATCTTGAGGTGGAGGTCATCAGGGCCCGTGGCCTTATTCCTAAAGCAGGAGCCAAAATTCTTCCAGGTTTGTACCCAACGGTCAGCTAGAAATTGGATGCTTTTATATATCTTGCTGAATTTAATGTAGAGATTTCTTCATAAAAATAATAATATCTATGCTAAATAATTATGTCATCCTCAAGCAAAATATTGAATAAACAATCATGTAAATCAACATGAAACTATATCTTCTTTTTAAAATTTATATGCATATATATTCTGCAAATATAACCAAGTAGTTGTCTTTTGCAGCTCCTTATGTGAAGGTGTACTTAATTGATGGGAAACACTGTGTGGAGAAACAGAAGACAACTGTGGCTAGACGGACATTAGATCCTCTGTATCAACAACAGCTGGCCTTCACCGAGGACTACAGGGGCAAAATATTACAAGTAAACTGCAAGACATTTCTTAAATAATTTACATAGTTGTATCATAATATGTTGTGACAGAGGCATAGGATTTCTATAAGATGTAAAAAATATTTTTCATAATGAACAGTACTCCAGGGTTGCACAAGAATAGAATGGTTTGAAATACAGTTGAACTTTGATATCTCGAACAGTGATATCCTGAATACCATGGATATATTGAAGTGATTTGGAAGTCCAACTACTTATTCTTTGAGTATTTTACCCTCCATATCTCAAATCCTTGGAAATTTCTCAGTTTTTAGATCACATGAGAATCACTTGGCCAATTTCAACCAAACTTGCCACAAAGCATCCTTGGGTGAGGGGGATTTGAAGGGCCATGCCCTCTTTTAAGGGGAGATAACTAAGAATTAGTGAAAATTTAATGGCATCTTTTAAAATCTTTTCAAGAACCACAGCCAGAAAAGATGAAATTTATGTGAAACCTATTGCCACAATAGGCAATCAAAGTCTTAGATAGGAATATATAGGAAAAATCTTTCAAAGTCTTCTTCTCAAGAACAGCAAAGTTTTGATTAGCCATATTTAAATGGAAGCATTTTCAGGTAATGTAGATTCAAATTTGTTCAAATCAAAACCCCGGTGCTAAGGTTGGGCCATAATGGGCAATCATAGTTTTATATAGGAATATATAGGGGAAAACATCTTTAAAAATCTTCTCTTTAGAACAGCAAAGCCATGATTAGTCATATTTATGTGGCAGCATCCTCAGGTAGTGTAGATTCAAGTTTGTTCATGTTCAATTCATGACCCCTGGGGGTAGGGTGGGATCACAATATGTGATCAAAGTTTTACATAGGAATTCATTGGGGAAAAAATCTGCTGATGGAAAACAGCAGGGCCATTGCTTCATTTGTAAACCTGAGTAGAGCTGCAGTCTCACCAGAAATCTTTAGTTTAAACTGAGTTAAGACATCAGATTAACAGATTATTTAGGATCTATTATATAGGATTTTGTTATAAAATCAAAATCATTCAGAGTAATTAGCTTGCTGATTACTAAGCTTATCTTTTTCTGTTTTAGGTTACAGTATGGGGAGATTATGGAAGAATGGATCGTAAAGTATTTATGGGTGTGGCACAAATACTCCTAGATCACTTAGACCTTTCAAACATTGTTATTGGCTGGTACAAATTATTCACTAGCTCTTCATTGGCTGGTCATCATTCATCGTCATCGACGATTGGTCACTCTCGCAAAGGCTCAACAACATCTCTAGATAGTGGTTACAATAACAACAGCCCCAGAACGTAGCATTAGTTATATTTTAGCTTGTTTACTGTCTTATCATAATTAACCTTTTCCAATTTTGTAGTAGAGTATGCAATTTAAATTAAGGACTTTAAGATAGCATAAAGGGCACATAACTCATGCATAAAGTGGCCTGCTGCATTTAGTAAATAAGATCTTAATATCTTTTCATGGAATATTTATTGATTATCATGTATATCATCATTAATACACAAAAACTTTCATTGACATTCATGGTATCATGTTAGCAAAGATGCAGTCTTTCTAATGATGTACTGTACGTTCCATGTAAAACAGCTTTCAAGAAAAATAATAGAAAGTTTGTGTGTGTGATTTCCTCCCTTGAAGACATGTACTGTAGTTTCACTTATTTCCAAGGGGTTTGATCTAAGGGATTCCATTTCATTGTTGGTGGAAGAATATGATACTGTTGTTTAAAATTTAACATTTCATGGTGGGCATAACTTCCTGGGTGTTTTTATACCATGAAAACACTGAAAATTAAACCCCTAAGAAAATTAGTGATTTCACAGAATACATTCATAAGAACATTCAATTGATATTTGCATGTATCATGCAAAATGTCTTAAAGGATATTTATTTGATATCAGATTGCTTAATTTATGCATGTATCATGCAGAGTATGCAACTCATTGATAATGGTATTGTAAGAACAGGTCTGGAATGTCTTTGTATGAGAGGAAAATTAGTATTCCAGTTTGGGGCAATTGATCCCACTTAAAGAAAGAAACAGCCAGTTTTTTAATTGCATGCAACATTAGGTACATGTAACATTGAAAATCATCAGTACTTCAAAAAAGCAAAGTTTGTGTTAAAAAGTGTTCAATGAAAACAACCCTCTAGGGCTTACAGTGGTGAAATGTCGACTATAGTTCATATGCATTGTTCCATTTTCCCCATGGCACATACCACCTTTTGTACATAAACTGCAAAACTTGATCAGTTGAAAATGTTGTTTAAGGATGAAAACTGTTGAAATCAGAAGTTGGTATACAGAGTATCTGAATTAGTTTGATGATAGTTTTTATTGATATTTTTATTTACTTATTTGTGAACATTTTTATGTGAAAAGTAGTTGCATTTGTTGAAGATTATGCATAGGGTATAAATGTCATTGTTGTAAACTTGTGTAGTTAAAAGTTATGTGTTATGCACATGAGTTTTTGTTGAGTTTCTAGTTAAAAAATCAGGTGTCAATTGAAGTTTGAGTTGAATTTTTATATTATGACTGTTTTTCCTTGTTATTGAAACAAAAATCTGTGATCATTTTGTTTTTCCTCTTTAATTAAGATATATACATTACATATGGATAATATTTCTATATATTTCTTATGATACATTTACATGTATGTTGCATATTTTAGAATAGGTGTGTATTTAATTTCCCCTTAGAAGTTATGATTATAAAAACATGTAAATAAGTTTGTTGTTACATAGAGACTTTCTTAATGAACAGCTGGAGCATGACTGTGTGTTGAAAATGACAGTGTTAACATGAGTTTAACATTGAGGTTTTGATCAAGTCAGCTGTCAATGTGTACTTGTATTCATTTAATTATCTCCAGGTCCATAACAGCAATTTCTCTTGGGGAAAAGATTTAATAAATAACCATATAATACATAACTTAACACCAGATATTAGTTGGGGTTGAAATGGCTGAATGAAATGATCTACATACAATATATAACACCCCCCCCCCTCCAACAACTCTTTTTTCAAATCCAATTGTGTCATTGCTATTACTGTAGCATTCTTATCTCCTAAAAGTAAAGAGTTTCGTTTGAAATCTCTTCAAATGCCAGTTTTTCTAAAGCAAGCACAAATTTTACTCTACTTAATTATATATGAACAGGGTAAATCAAATCTAGATTATGAAGAATGATATATATGAAAGATAACCTGTCATAAAAATTTTTCCCAAGGTCTTTGAGGACAAATTTCAGAACTGTAAAGTATTGTTTCTTTTTTGTCAAAACCTGTATGGTGTGAATTTGACCCAAAAAAATCATTGTTTACAAACTGTATTAACAATTTAATATGACTGTAGCTTAATTAGTACAGATCTTATTTACCTGCATTTACTTACTCGGTTTTGCACATGCGTTATCAGATGGAAATCCAGTTTTTTCTTCATATATTCACAAGGTGTATGTATGTAAACCATATCCATATTCCTATACTTACATCAATTTTATACAATGAGGAAGTTTGCATTGATTCTAAAAAGATTTTTACACTATATTGTTACTTAGATTGTCACATGACTAACTCACATGGGGGAGCAGATTTTGGTCATGTAGTGCCCAATATTCCCACCAAAGAGTGCTTTATGGTTTTATTTAAAAGGAACAGGATGGATTTAATGAGAAGAAAATCTTTTTGCTTACATAAATATATATAAATCTGTAAAATGAGTTTTGTTTAGCTGAAAATTTTGTCTGCAGTAGACTTGGCAATTTTCCATATTCTGACCAGTTTGTTTTAACTTTGTTGAATCTTTCATCATGACAGCACCATTTTGTTGAAATTTAGGAAAGGAATCAACTTTACACTGTTACAATCAAATAAAGTCAATATGAAATCTTGATTTTGTTCTTTTTTAAGTCAGTATATTTTGAGGGGAAAAGAGCTGTGGATTTCCAAAAATGAGTTACTTCAATACAGAAACATTTTCAAGCATATTTTCATTATTTTTGCTCTAAGGTATGTCACTTGTCAGCTTTTAGGAAAAGCTCAGTCAGAACCTCTAACTTCAAAACTATTTATTACAATTTAATTTTTATAACATTTGAAGTTATGCAAATTATACAGGATTCAATTTAAAAATGCTCTTAAAATAATAAAGAAGAATAAAGATGAGGGACTATTACTTGTGGAAGGATAAGGAAATTCTTCAAATATACACATTTCTTAAATTTAATATCTTGGAACTTTAGCCCTATATATTTTTACCTGGGGAATTTTTTTTTCCGTTATCATATGCTGGGAATATTACATACAGGTTTCAATTCATATTTTTAGAACGAATTTTACACATTCACTCAACAAAATTTGCCAGGAAATGAAGGTATATTGAAGAAGTCCAGATAAAATTTACACTTTTCCTGAAAATCGCATATTTTGACCAATAAATTCACATCGCTGTCCCCAACTTTTTTCTTTCATTATTTTAGACTACGCGATACTTCCAACCAATCAGCACTAAGTTATAAAAAGTTTGATACAAGAATATGTTTTATTATATACCCAACTGTTTGTCACTCAGTTTTACTGTTGAATTTACGCAATCACGAGACGATGTGATCCGACGTTCCGGATCACCACACTGTGGTTTTCTGAATCCATATCACCCCTCTCTGTAACTGATGACGTAGTACACAGATAAATGACGTTTTTATTCTCGCCAGAGACATATAAAAACCATAGACCGTTTCACGGTAACTGCGAGCCTGCTCTTCGCACATGCGCGTAACGACTTCCGCAGGGCAAACTTTCACTTTAATGAAACTTGCGCTTTCGGTTTACTCGATAAACATTAGGCATGGTAAGAACGTGTTGCGTGTTTGGATGTACAAATCGTGATGACACAAAGGGAAAGGAGAAGGGACTTCACTTTTTTAGGTATGTTATCATTTTTTTTCTTCCAAATAATTCATGATAAAATGATCTCAAACATACCTTTGTACAGTGTACATGTATATATAACATAAGGGTACGCCACTAATTTTCACATTTATGTAATAATATTATACTATTTCCTTTGTTGAGATGCAAAGTAGTTGCGACCTATATAAATGGTTGACTATATATTTCTATATATTTACTTAATTATTTACATAATTACAGTTCATCACAGGATAAATATACAGTTCATCACAGGATAAATATGTAGATCTAGAATCAAACAGTCTTTCTATTGCACATTTTGGAAATTAACGTAATTCTACACAAAATATAATTATACTGGTGTTTCTGTGTGTGTGTGTTTTAGAGATTTACAGTACTAAATACATGTATTTATTTCGAGCTTTTTATCAATAAAGATTCCCAAAGGATACCAGAAAACGGCGTCTGTGGATTAAGGCCATCAACAGAAAGGATTTCACACCCAGTGACCACACATGCATATGCTCTGAGCATTTTGTTTTAGGGTGGCATAGTGATGATCCAGAAGATACTAATTATGTCCCAACACTTTTTTCTTACAAGGAGAAGGCTGTGGATGTAAAAAGAGTTGAGAGGATGACAAAAAGAAATTTACAGAGGGTATATCAAAAATCAGTTTTTAATATTTACATTTGCTGTGTTTTTCTACTAAGCCAACTGTGAAATTGATATGAATACCATTTTAGTGTATACTCACGCGTAGAAATATGCACTGAGAAACTCGTGCTAAAGTGACGTCACAATGAGGATACAGAGACATTAATAAAAAATGTAACGATATAGGACAGCGAGAAATTCAAACAATGAGTATATTGTTGGTGATTTTGAACATGTAAAATGTAAATATAAGGAATGTTTTTAAGTTTTGTGTGAATTATTGGTGTGTAGATCACACAGACTAGCACGTAGGCATATTTTTCATGAAGTGCTAGCTCGCTTCATGAAATATGCCTACGTGACAAGTCATTCCTTAATTTCATCAATGTAAAAAAGACATATGATATGATAATTGGTCAACCCTTTTTTCCTATAAAGTATATGTACATGTCATGAAAAAAATATTAAATATTCTTCTCATTGTAAAGTACATGTATTGGAACACTTGTTCCAAATTAGATTTTTCCTTTAGTTATCTTTACTATAATTTTTGTTTTGAACAGGATTTCCAGGAGGCTAGAGAGAGAGAAGAAGCACTGGAGAAGAAAAGTGTGAGCTTTTCTCTTTTTGCTCACTCATACTGCAAAGGTGAGAGTCTAGTCAGACTTGTATTGCACAGTTGAAGTTTAGCTGTGTGAAGAAGATTTAAGTAAAATCAGTAACTTTAACTTAAAACATGATTTAATTAATATTTTGTTGTACCAGGGTTTGACATTAACTTTTACGAGTACTAGACCAGTCGGGCTACTTCCCATAATTTTTACTAGCCCCAACCATAAAATCACTAGCCCTGACCAAACTTGAAAATTTTCTTTTTATAACCTGCTATTATGATGGAAAAGAAGTTTCGAAACCATACTGCAGTGTATCTCTCGCATGTATACATTTTGACAGACTGTTCCATAGGTAGCAGCCCATTGAGCCCATAGGGAGCAGCCCAATGAGTCAACATGCGAATATTATAAGCTTTAAAGAACATTAATTCAAGGAACTTAAATAAAATTATTACCATTAATATACATGTAAATAAATCAAAAACTATATTATTCAATGACTATTCATACCAAATGATACTGAACGAAGCTAGTTTCGACTGTGACTTGTCTATTACAGCCGGGCTCAAAAATAGCGATTGTGGCATGCAAGGAAGTTTTCTTTTTCAGAGCAATGGCTGTGTTTGCAATCGGAAAATTAGGAAAATTTCTTTAAAAAGATTTTAGAGCATTTATTTGAAAAACTGAAATGAGGGTTAACATTTATTTCATCCACACGACCAGTCGGTCTAGTTCATGAAAATTTAACACGACCGGACCACGCATTTACTAGACTGGGTCGGTCAGACGTGCCTTAGCGTCAAACCCTGTGTACCCATAATTTATGATGCAATAATGCCAATCAGAATTGGATTGTTTGGCTTTAGAATTGTCTATGAATGTGTTTATGTTTACAGATGATGAGGAAGTTGATTCACTTTGTTCAGCTACAGGCAGTATATTAGAGGAGGAGGAGGATGTGGACACTGGTGTCAAACTGACAAGAGATATTGGTATATTCTTACAAAATAAATTATATGTGCATCTTAAAGGTATATCGTACATCTGGCATGTGATCTCAAATATTATGCCTGCCATAACTTATTAGACTTATTAGTCTAATCATTGTTTTCATAATATACAATGTAATTAACATAATCAGAATCAATAAGAACTGAATTTCAGAAGCATGTTACAGATTCTTTTTATGTAACCACCACAAGTTGTAATTTTTTACTTTAGATTTATAGTTATGATTCATATAATATACATGTATTGTCTATTCAAGGGTAAACATTCATTAAATGATTGTAGGTGTACAATGTGATCCAGATCCCTTGTTACTTGAGAACAGGAAGCTCCAGTCTGAGTTGAGAAGACTGCAAGATAGTAAATGGTCTGTGGCAAAGATCAAGGATGATGATGCCATGACAAAGTTTTATACGGGACTGCCAACCTTTGCAGTTTTTTTATGGCTCTTCAAGTATGTATATAGGAACATCCAGTCAATATTGACAAATATTATATAAGATTATTTCTGTAATTTTCATTGGCTGAAAGGATGTCAAATGATATTCGTCCTTTTGTGATATTGACGCAAAAGCACATTGGTGGAATATGACATCGCATGACTCACACTTTGGCTCCACCAAAGTTGTGTAGAATGTGACGTCATAATATAAGAAGCATGTCTTTACCATTGTGACTTAATGTCAGCCAAGTCTGTTCAGTTAGGACTTTGTCAGGATATTCATTTTGAGTGATTATATAATATAACTAATATAAATGAATGGTAAGTTTGGTTATAAGGAGCCATGTCAAGTGATGTTGACCTCAGACACAGAAAATGATAGCGACCTCGCAAGCTCGGTTGCTATCACTTTCTGGGTCTTTGGTCAATATCACTGGAGAGGAGTCCTTATAACCACATATCGACCTACACTAAAGTCCATAATTGTATATTGTTATCACCATGATTGTTTAATTTGCAGGATCATGTGATCAAGTTTAAGCCAATGAGATAGTTGGGAATGATATAGTAAAATATGATTTATTAATGTTCTTGAAACCACTTTAGCATCTAATTTATCTATCCATTCATTTACCCATCCCTTGATGTATTAAAAACTTAATTCTTTTATATTCAGTTATCTGGCTCCCAAATGTGAGAGAATGGTATACTGGAGAGGCAGTTCCTCAACCCCAGAAGAAAGGAGCAGAACTAGAAGGTGCATGGCTTTGGAGCCTATTGATCAATTCTTAGCAACCTTGATGAGACTTAAGGTAATCATAGGAGAAACACAATATTATATTAATTGTTCCATGCTTTTTGATTTAAGGGTTCATTTAATATTTAAATTTTTTATATGTGTCTTCAATATTTAAAGGTTGGCTTGTATGTCCAGGACATGGCAGAGAGATTTGGAGTGTCAACAGGGACCTTTTCGCAATACTTTGCAACTTGGGTGTGCCTTCTCTACAAGGAACTGAAAGAGCTTAATCCCTTTCCATCTAGGGATATTATACAGAGAAATATGCCATCATGCTTTCATTCTTTTTCAAATCTTAGAGTTATACTTGATTGTACAGAAATATTTATTCAGAGATCTAGCAGTTTGATTAATCAGAATCAGTCATTTTCACACTACAAGCATCATACCACTTTAAAGTTTCTTATTGGAATCACTCCCTCTGGTGTTATATCTTTTGTTTCAGAGAGCTTTGGTGGGAAGGTGTCAGATCGCCAGATGATAGAGCGATCCCTCTTTCTTGAACTTCTGGAGGAAGGGGATGGGGTGATGGCAGACAAGGGTTTTACTATACGAGATTTGCTAGAAAAAAAGGGCTGCACTTTGAATATCCCACCTTTTCGTTCTTCTTCTAACCAATTTTCTACTAAAGATGTTTTCGAAACTCAAGATATTGCTAAATTAAGAATTCATGTAGAAAGAGCTATAGGTCGTGTAAAGAATTTTCATATTTTTGATGGTATTCTTTCTCTTTCTTTAGTGCCATTAGCGTCACAGATGTTTGCTGTTTGCTGTTGGATTACAAACTTTGATGTCCCTTTGATTGAGAATTAGGTAAGTTAAAGAACAATTTAAAACTTCAAGTATTCCTTTAACGCCTGCATAATGGTATGATTTGAATAGGTGGGAAGACAGAAGTGGAAATGTTGAACACTACTTTTTGAATGTTTTCCTCTATAAAGTTAAAATGATAAGGTCCTCATTTGATCTGATGGCTAAAATTATCAGAAATATTATGCAAAGACAAATTGGTCAATCAACACAGGTTTCAATGAGGCATCATGGAGTTTTACTATTTAGTATAAGAAGGTGAAATATAACTAACAAAAAATTCTACAAGTTTGGGCATCATTGAAGTTACAAAGGTAACATCGAAATAAACTCTCTCGATAAAGCAATTGCTCTGAGAGGCAGCTGTCCAAACCACAAAATCTCCCCATGAGCAACCCATGATGGCCATCTCTCCCTGAATCTGGGCATAGTATTTGTGGGATCTTTTCAAGCGAGGGCCCTCATCAGTCATCTCCAGACAGAAACCACCTTGTCCAGCAAGTTCATGCACCTATAAATTAAATTTCTGTAGATCAGCAATTCAAAAAACAATTAAGCTGAATAAATGGAAAAAAAAAATACTACTGTTGTACCTCTCTGTCTGTGATGACTTCATTGGAAATAGAATAAGGACATTTAATTTCCAGCACCCCTTTCTGGTTACCCACTGGCATGGACTTATCATATATCCATCCATCACTAGAGGCACCTAAAAATGCATGAGATGGATATATGGTAAGTCCTGATGGTTCCACTGTTAGATTAGTAACGCAATTCTGGAGGCAGAGATAGTCCTGGAGGGCTTCCTTTTCATGGTCTATGCCCCACTGTATTGCTTTGGGCAGTGACTGGTATCTAAAATAAACATTCATGAATGTAATCAATAAGTGTTTTAATTCCAAAATGTTAAATTTTTTGCATGAAATGTACTGTACCTGTCTAGACCAGATCCTTTAATTATCTGGTCTACCAGGGAGTTAGGGTTAGCACCAGAGCCGAGAACTGCACCAAAGAGAGAACTGGTTATTCTCCCTTTGTGCAGCTCTCTCCATATTGGACAACATCTTTGGCCCTGGGTTCTCTCCTCAATGAATAAGCTGAGGTTTTCATCAATTGAGATTGCCATCGGCACTATTATAAAAACATGGAAAATAAATTTGAATTCTGATCAGTTACAAGTAATTATATAATCTGAATTCTGTGTTTATTTTTTCTTACAGTTCTCCTTGGACAGAATTAGTGCCTTCATTGCCATCTCCATAGGATCCTCAGATGTCTGTACCTCCACTTCTTTTACTACTTCTGGTGTTTCATCTGGGATCATCCATAAATGACACATACCTGACATTTTAAATCATATATTAAATTTGATCTTTTGTTTATTGTAAGAACCTAATAAATACATTCACTGTTGCAAGGCATGATTTATTGATCATTTTATATTATTTGAAATACAGACAAACCTCGTTATCTCGAATCAATGGGACCAAGAAAAAAAACTGAGATATCCGAGTATTCAAGATATCAAGGGTTAAATACCTAAAGAATAAGTGGCTGGCAATTCCAATTGACATCGACATATCCATGGTATTCGAGATATCGGTGTTCGAGATAACAAAGATCAGCTGTATTTACGAAGTGTTATTGGTGTAAAAATATAAGATATTCTAAAACATCAAATCTCATAATTTTTCACTACATTGTAATACCATATCTATATCCAATTTACAAGCTCACCAGTTTTGGGGAATATTTCCTTAAGAATCTTTAGTTGTTCAATTGAGTGAGCAAGTTGAAATTCCCTCTGATCTGGGTGACGTGGATCAAAGTCAATCTGTTTCTTTTCCCTGAACTCAACCTGGCCTTCCGAGCTCAACTTGGGTCGACTTAAGTTCCAGTCTTTCAAGGGCTTTGGTTCCATTTTCATAGGGCGGGGGACATTCCATTGACATGATTTAGAGGTGGCACTATCCGACATTAGCTTTTCACTAAGTTGTAGGTGGTGAATGTAAAAAAGTAGACCGCCTATGTGGCTGCATGACTGGGCCAAACTTTAATGAAATTTAATTATAGATACAATGTAGACTAGAAGTTAATGCTTGCTGTATATATGAAAGGAGTCAAGATAAAGAAAGGGATTTTATCAAATTAATTTTTATCTTATTAAAAATGCTACCTTACCCAATTGGACATTCACAGTAGGCAAAGCAGACTTTTTGCTTGTTTTCTACACAAATATATACATGGTACTTGATTTTTTTCATGGAGGCCAAGCAGGATCCCCTTATATAATCCACAGAGTCGTCAATCTAAATGTAAGCAACCTTGCATTTTCATATCACTAAATAAACATGTGGGCATGTATAAACATGTGGGCATGTACATATTCAATTTTCATATACACATACAATTTATTAGCTGCAATAATGTAGCCCTCACCATTGTTGTGGGTTTTTTTTTCTTGGGGGGGGGGGGGGGGCTAGCCCTCTCCTAAAAACACCAAATAAAAATTATAGGAGAGGGATACATTATTACAGCTAAGAATTTATCAGTTTGTAATTAATTTAAATTCATAACTCATTTTAGGAAATACAAAATGTTGATAGAATATTGTGTTTGTGCAAGGACAAAAGAATCATATTGTTCTTCTAATCATTATGTGTACACTTGTAATTTTATTTTCTTAAATTTACCTGTGCTATCATAACTTGTGAAATATCACCAGCTTCGAAATGTTTGATGGCTCTGTCAAGACCCCTGTGGTTATTAACTTCCTTCCCATCTGTTGTTTTCCTGAGAATCATATGTTGATAAATTTGTTGGAAGGAAATCTGAGGCATGAAAGTGGGCGTTACCGTAATATACGAGGCTAACTGCAAAGGGGGGAGGTTTTCGTGACCTGGAATGTCTGGTACAACACCTTCCAGGGAAGATGCAAAATATTTGATAGGCACTTCTTGAAGAACTTCCTTTTTTTTCCTCTTTGGATCTTTTGAAATCTCCCGGGTCGCCATCTTTTGATTAGTAAACACGGAAGTGCCCGCAGTGCACTAAAATCGACGCTTTAATAATTTATTTTTGCAAAACATCTCGTATATTTAAATAAAAACAAAAGATCCTAATGTAATAATTACAAAACCACAAAAAACAAACTCAATTTCATATAAAATCTGTTTATTTGGGACGTGTAAATAAGTGTCCTATCTTGATTTTAAACGCGGAAGTGTCCGTAGTACACCAAGATTCATGCTTGAATTTAAAATTTATTTTACAAAACATCTCGTATATTTAAATAAAAAACAAAAGAACTTAATGTAATAATTACAAAAACACAAAAAACAAACACAGTTTCATATAAAATTTGTTTATTTGGGACGTGTAAATAAGTGTTCCGTTTTGATCACTCATAGGAAGAACTGAAAGTAGTTTGCCCTGCGGAAGTCTTTATGCGCATGTGCGGAAATTATCGTGAAACAGTCTATTGGTTTTTATATGTCTCTGATTCTCGCGCATCAAAAAGTTCCTTTACAAAATGGATTGTTTAATGGATAAAAGTTATGTAATTGATCCAAAAAGCTTCCTTTTATTATATTTTGCTAGTTGGAAAGGGGTATATAATAAATTTATCATTATAACAGTAACTTGATCCGAAGAGTCGTATCACGTCTCGTTGACAGGCGCGGATCATCAGATCAAACTCGACGCTTCGCGTCTCGTTTGATCTGATGATCCGCGCCTGTCAACTTGACGTGATACGACTCTTCGGATCAAGTTACTGTTATAATAATATATATTTATTTGCCATTTTAGATTTTTAATACCCCAAATATGATACCGTTTTGGTGCAAAAAGGTCACACAATAATTTATGCGTATTAATTTGCATGATTTGTTCAATGATGAATATTATTCAAATCATGCATTTTACGTAAAATAAGAATATATTTATTAATATGATTACATTAGGTAAAATTGATAATGGTTAAAGAGATTAACCTATGAGTTAGAATTTTTAGTACAAAAAAGTCCAATTAATTGTATCATTGCTCAATAAGATGCACACTGACCCCCAGTTTTCTTTGCGATTTTGAGTCATGCTATATGAGTACGTATCTAAAATATACTTCTCAGAAAGTCCATGATATTACTAATCTCACGAGTGACATACCTTAAGGAAGCATCCTCTTTGAGTGCACTGCTCTGACTTGGGAATATGATATTAAAGAGATGGTCATAATCATCTTGTCACAATCACTTATATACATGTATGAAGTTACAGCTATGAGATAATCTAAGATGTTTGGAGAGTCACATTCTCAAATTTATACCTTTTTGAAATGATCACTGGATTATAAGTTCAACTATTAGTGTATTTCTATTATCGGCTCAGAAATTGTTGGTTGTGAAATGTTCAATTGTAATAAATTTTAGACAATGAAATAACATATTTTTCAGCAACATACAATTTGTAGTGTGATGTTTGACCCCCCCCCCACCCTTCACACACACAAACACTATAATGCTTTTCTTTACTAACCTCGGAATTTGCATTTTTTTAAGATCTAGTACGAAAGCTTATTAGGATTTAATATTGCATGAATAAAGATGGCTTTGATTCCACCATTCATATAATTAGTAACATATAATAACGTATAACCGTTTTCGCTACAACGCCTTTTCAAACAGGACCCTAATACACGGGGGGGGGGGGGGGGGGGGTTATCTCACCCCATTTTCTAGGAGAATAGGCCTGCTGTAGATTTAATATAAAAGAAATTCATTTTTACGCTGCAAATCGTGTTAAAAGTATGGTCGAACTCTGACAAATTATTGCATTTCAAAAAAAAAAATTGTTACCAAAAAGTTAAAGAAAGATTCCCCTAACGACCCCCCCCCCTCCCCCCCCCCCCACGATATAGGATTTTCGAGTTAAGGCAGTTCAGCTTTGTTTGTTTCTAAAGTTTGTGTTGTGTTTTTGCCCCCCCCCCCCCTTTCCAAAAAAATGTTGGTACGGCTTGTCCAAAGGCCTTTTTGAAAGGCGAAATAACGCCTTTTCAAAGGCGTACTTACTCCTTTCAAAGGGCGTGATAACGCCTTTTTCGCGTTATTACACCTTTAGTGGCGTTATAACGCCTTTTCGCTTGGCGTTATTACGCCTTTCTTCGCGTTAATACGCCTTTTGAACAAGACTTATAACGCCTTTCATTTTTTTTTTCATCCATAGATTGATCCTAATAGGCTTTCCTAGATAGTCATTCTCTAAGAGAAGTTTTTTTTTAAACCGTTATTTGAATGTCCTTTTCTCTAATTTTTCAGATGCACATACAAAACCACTATTCTTGTACAATTGTTTAATACTTGTAATGAGTAGAATTTTTATAACCTTTATCTCATCCAAATACAGCTTACTACATGTACATGTATGCTGTGTTGAAAATGTAATATAACGATCAATACTCATTAAATTTATCCAGTCTACATATATTTATCTATTTTGTTTATGGAGGAAAGTTATAATGCAGGAATGTAATAAATTAATGGTCTAAATATTTGTAAATAGTACAGCACTAAGACCAGGCCCGTAGGAAGCAATTTCAGCTTGGGGCACAACCGTTGGGGGGGGGGGCACTATCGACTACAAAAACTCCTTGACAAGCAAAAAAAACAAAACAATAAAAAACGTTATCAGACGTTATTATTGAGGGGGCACAAGCATATGGTAGCTATGTTTTCTATAGTATTCTATATATCGGCAAAATTATTGGGGGTGGGGGGTGGGCACGCCCCCCCCCCCCCCCCCGATTCCTACGGCCATGAAGACAAAGAATTAACTTTAATACTACTACATGTACTACTAATTGTCCCTTTACGACCACCAGTAGCCTTCGTTACAGAGGGAATGCATTGGGGGGCATGAGCGACCCCCCCCCCCCTTTTGAAATATCTGATCTTGGTAATATAATTGACATATGCAACGTAGTTTGAACTTTATTGTCTTTTCGTTCAGTAATATTTGTATATTTTTCCTTAAATTATACAAGAATTTTCATCAATTGATATCTTTTCAAAACCTCTGGTAATGCATGCTGATTTTTTGTCTACGAACATCTGATGGCACAATAATCTTAAATTAAGAATATCTTGAAAAATTATCAGTAGATAAGGTACGTTGCGTATGTCCTTATGCAAAATCCTTCGTTCTCTTAATTTTCCGGCATTAATTAAATCTCATTCGCCTGTAAGTCTGTCACAAACTTTAACCTTGGTCATAAATTTTGAACGAGATGAGATAGGGCTTTCGTATTTTACATCATGTATATTACCTGTGATGAGACCTTTCTAAATATACAATGAATTTTGACCCCTTGACCTTGACCTAATTTTCAAAAATATTATCATTGCTTATAACTTTCGATTGAGGAGAGATAGGGCTTTCATATTTGACAGTGCATCACCTCTGACAATACCTTTCCAAATATACTATGGTTTTTTACCCTGTGACCCTGACCTTGAAGTTTGATCAACTTTTCAAAAATTTTAACAATTCTTTAAATTGGTCATAAAATTTGAATGAGAAAAGATAGGGCTTTCATACTACATATGTACATTACTTGTGCGATACCTTTCTAAATATACTATTGTTTTTGACTCCGTGACCTTGAAGTTTGACCTACTTTTCAAATAAAAAATCATCATTGCTTATAACTTTTGAATGAGAAAAGAGACGGCTTTCATATTTGACTTGTTCATTACCTGTGACAAGATGTTTTCGAGTGTGCTATGATTTTTGACCCCTTGCTTTTGACCTTTATATTTGACCTAATTTCCTAAAAAATTAACTTGGTGATTACTTTTGAATGAGATATGATAGGGCATTCATATTTGACAAGTGCATTACCTGTGTCAAAATGTTTCCAAAATGACTCCGTGACCTTCAAGTTTGACCTAATTTTCAAACATTTTATCTGTGTTGCTAACTTTTGAAGGAGAAAAGATAAGGCATTCATATTTGACATGTGCATTACCTTTGACAAGCATTTCAAAATGTACTATTAATTTTTAACCCTATGACCTTGTCCTTGAAGATTGACTTAATTAAAAAAAAAATTAACATTGCTGATAACTTTTGATTGAGAGAAGATACGGCATTTACATATGACGTGCATTCCTTTTTCAAGACCTTATTTTCCGATTGTACACTCTGGTTTTTGATATTTTTTCACATGTGCATTACTTGTGGCAAGACCTTTCGGACTGTATTATGATATTTGACCTCATGACCTTGATCTTGTAGTTTGGTGTAGTTTTGAGAAGCTATAATCTTTGTCATAACTGTTATCAATTCAATAATTTATGTCTTTTTGTCTGATGCACAGACAAGACAGGACACACAAACAAGACAGTTACAATATGCCATAAATAACGGCACCCCGTCCACTAAGACACCGAAAGCGGGAGACCACAATTCGTTAAATTTGCTTTTTTTTTTTTTTTTTAGCTCACCAGAGTTGAAAACTAAAGTGATCTTTCCGATCGCATGCAATTTTTCGTCGTGCTTGTTAGTCCCCTATCGGTGAAACCGCAGGGAACTGTAGGTTTCCTCTGAGTCCGTCTGTCTTTCCAGCTGTCCCACTTAGTTTTCGGCACTTTTTTTCTAAACGCTTGCAGATATTGAGCTGATTTTTGGTATGCGAGTGAATCTTAATGATTTAAGATCAAGTTTGCATTTCGTTCCGCTTCAATGATTTTAGACGGAATTCCGACCTTTTCAATTTTTCAGGGTTTTCCGCAATTTTTTTTCTAAACGCTTGCAGATATTGAGCTGATTTTTAGTATGTGACTATACCTAGATAAGGATCAAGTTTGCATTTCGTTTCGCTTCATTGATTTTTGACGGAATTATTGCATTTTCAATTTTTAACGGGAACCAGATTACACTTGCCGGTAGGGGACTAGTATTGCTAATGCAATACTCTCAGAATGCTTGATGACTTTAAGTTTTTCCACTTCTTTCCAGAGCCACTTGACCAATATTAAGCAAACTTGACACAAAAATCAACTGTTTAAATGAGGGCCATTTGAAAGGGAAGATAATCAAGGAAAGGCAAAAAGGGTGAATGTCTCATTTTTTTCAATTAAATAACCATTGGACCAGGAAAGAAAATTTATGTATAAGTTTTGTAACATAGTGTAGATTCAAGTTTGTTCAAATCAGGTCCTCAGGGTAACAACTGCTTTTAACATAAGTCTTGTTCGTCACTTTCAAAGGTCAGTGCTTCCAGTGAGGGGAAAGACTTTTGCAAAAGACTCAGAAGACTCATATATTTATACGACAAATCTCCCGGTATATTGCGCTTCATTACCTGGATAGGCGTGTCAATTTCATTTACCGGATAATAACCCTTCGGACATTTCAAGAAACTATAGACACCAAATGACCGCTTATCTGGTCTTATCTCGACCCTTCTGACGATCGACACATTATCTCGTTCTATAAAACAAGTCAGAGGAAAGGCACCACAAATAAAATTCTTTCTGCTGAAGCTCGCCGTGTCCAGAATATCAGGTATTTCTTACATATTCCGCAACTCTTTTTCGAACATCCGCTAAAAAGTACTTGTTCACACTCAACCTGCATGAAAAATTAATAGAATTAAAGTACTTGATATTGATTATACTATATTCACTTTTATGATATAATAATTCATTTTTCATGTGGGAATTTTACAAATAACTCGAGCATTTCACGGTGTTGTATATTGTTTTACGATCTTTAAAAATAAAATGTATGTAATTCTTTTCTCTATTGGTCCAACAATCTCAAATGATGATCACAAAAGGCTTAACAGCATTAGAAAATGTACCAATGTTGTCTCTATCGTTTGCATTATATATGTTTACTTGAGCTGAAGTTTAAGATTGGTAACATGTTGCATACAGTTTATTTACAGTTTATAGTTTTGATCGTTTATTTTTGACATCAGTTTCAAGTTTGATGCAATTTTAAATGAAACAACCTTTAAAAATTGTAACTTCACTGACAAGAAAGAATTTTTATTTGCTTCTAGGTACAAAAATGATTGTAAAGGTGTTTTTTGGTGTCCTGATGACGTCATTGGTCGTAGAGATGATCCTAAGCTGTAGATCCAGCTACCAAAACAGTCACTACAGTCAGTGTTACTGCGCATGCGACGACAATTTGTTTAATCCATGTATCAAGAACTGCACTGCTACATACACGGCTGATGACCACGTACATTTGAATCACTGCAACATAAGGTGTCATGACAAACTGGCACATTGTCTTCATGTCTGCAACCATCCAGAGGTTATTGGCTAGTCAAAGACTAGACTTCATTATATGCAATGTTATAATCGATGGCAGTTTGATTTAAAATATATTGTTGGGAAATCTTTGTTTTTGTCTTTAAATCGTAAGATACAGGTTTGTTGTAACTATACATACTTTAATCATTGTAAGGACTAATTTTTATTGGGAAACAAACGATCCATTTTACTAAAATATAATCGCATGATTGATATCCAGGTGATATTGACGTTCATAAAGTGGTGACATACATAATTCTCCAACAATGACAAAGTACAGGTGAAAACGCCCTTATGAAGCTCTGGGGGCCTCAAATATGAACAAATTTGGGCTCCTTCAGTCATTAAGAAAGTCTTCACACAATTCTGTCTTTTCACCCAACAAGCTTAGCCTTATCTTTGATGAATTTGAATCCCTTTTACCCAAAGGGTTGTAATCAGTCCTATGGTTACCTATGGTAATGCAATTTCAAAAGGTTAATCCATCACAAATGGCGGACTCACAGATTGAAAACCCAACGCTCATCAATCAAATTATCATTCTATCATTCAGGTGAGCTAAGCAGTCAAAGGCACATACTGTTTTTCGGGGGGGGGGGGGGGTAATTGACAAGAAAAAGGGGGATGGGCATAGCCATTTACTTTCAATTTCGACAGATAGAATTTCATATTCCATAGAGGTATTGGGAAAAAAAGATCTACGCACGTAGTATCGTTTTTCAGGAAAAAAAATTGACAAGATATCTGAAAAAAAAACCGACAAGCACAAAAGAGGTAATGCACCTCTTTCGACAAGATTTTTTTTTGATAAATGAATATGGTAGTTTAACACCATAATGCAGAAAAAAAGTGGGGAGGGGGCAGTCGGCTTTTCCATGAAAATTTCCATACTAAATAATAGCAAACATTTTCCTTCGAAACAAATGGACGGGGGGAGAGGGAGAGCATACTCTACAAGTTTTCGAGACTCAAGCTACTGTACTCCTTTTATCCAAGGAACTTTTTTGTGAAGTATTTATAAGCTAGATTGGTTAAAAGGAAGAGAATGATTTGAAATGAAACACACCACAAAGTCTCACACGTTTCATAATTTAGATGCTTTACTACAGATGGCAAACTAACAACTTTATGAAAAACGTTACTTCAACTTTTCTATCATCAACTTCCCTTATTTATGTAGCAATATACCATTATCACCTGCATATGGGGTTTATGTCTCCCAGATGATTCAATACGCAAGAGCATGTTCTACGTACGAACGAAACGAAGCAGTCTACTGACAAATAAGTTGAAGATACAATGATATAAAAAATCTCTTTTTAAGTCAACATTTCGCAAATTCTATGTTCCATACAATGATCTAGTTTGCAAATACGATCTGTCCTTTGGTAGAATGTTAACTGACATTTTTCATACAAATAGTTAGGCCATTATTTCTCACATCGGGTGTGACCGTACACATACCGCATATACATCTAATCAGACTTTTGTTCCATTTCGATGATTTTTTTTAAGGAAATTTCGGTCCACTCCGGTAGAGAACTCGGTATTGATTTTGCAACGCTATCAGAAGTTTGTTTCAAACTAAAGTGGCTGTCTCATTTTGAATATCTTGATGTGATTTTTTTTTGTCATAAAAATTATTTTAAAACGTTATATACAAGTATTTAAATTTTTTTTTGAGTTAATAATGTAGCTGAAAATAACCATTCCTCCATGGAGTTTACAAAGAATGTTTAAACCTTTGACTTGACTCAAACATTACGTACTCTTGATTTCAGTGTTTGAAGTGAGAATCAAAACTGGTACAATGGCAAGAAATCTTATGCAACAGACAAGGATTTTGAAAAAAAGATCTTTAAATCTGTCCTTTACCTCAAGATTCTGTACACTATATCTTTAGGTGAAGTGGAAGCTAGATCAAGTCAAGAGAAAATATGTTCTGAATAGTATTTTACACAGATACTTCATACATCAAGGACACTGTGGAAATATGAGAATAATTGATACAAGGGTAAAAAATATACACACTCCATACAGGTTTAAAATGCAAGTGAAGTATGAGTCAGACTCGGCCAGGGGAAATTTTATATGCTCTGTACAAAGTCTTGTTTTAATCTTGACTTTTACTAGAAATATAGATCAAAGTATGATACATGTACTATGAACTGGTCAAAAAGCAGAAAGTATATATGCTTCAAAAAAGTATCCTTCTCACTTATTTAACCTTGACCTTTGACCTAGAAATTTAGTTCATAGTTACTGCACACCCTTTGCCACTCACATGGGAAGAGTTAGCCAGATTGAGTCAAAGGGAGGGAACAAGGACAAAGATTGTACAGAGATCTTTTATGACCAAGACCTCATCAAGAAACTTGGATCAAGGTCACATCACACTCATTACCCAAGGGCACTCTGTGGGACAGTGGGTTTAGGTGTGATCCTCCAGACAAGTAATATTGCATCATTTATATGGACAGTTGGATTACTATTGTAGATTCCTTAATTTAAGCAAGTACTTAATATCGCAAAATGACTAGAAATCAAATCATGAGAACTTCATTTTGCAGATGGACTGTTTATCATGTTGTTTTACATGTATTCCAGCATTACAAATGCAAGAAATTATTTTATTTTGTGAGTAGTGTTTCTCAAAAATTTAGGCAATAATAAAATCATTGCTTATATTTAGGAATCCACAGTATATTGCATCTGTAGAGCAGAGCCCTAAGTACTTCAAATTGAATTTAAAAACATGATCATACCTTTTTTTTATTGCTTTCTCTGTATAACTTACTAATGTTCAATACAATATAGTCATATATCAAAGTCTGAATCCTCAAGATCACCAACAGAAAACATTCCTATTTCACTTCCTGTCACTGTAACACACTTGTAGTCTTCATATTTGCTTGACGTGATTACTCTTCGAGTTTCAGGCACTTTGCTTTGTAGCCTTGCTGGCTCTATACTCTGTGGCTGGACAACTAGGGGATTCTCTGCTGAAGTTTTTTCAGTATCCTCTAGATCTTCATCACTCCCCTCAGCAAGAAACTGATCCCACTTAGATTCCTTACATTCCCTGTTACTGGAGAGGGAATAGCTTTTAGTCTTTGGAGTGTTCTTAGGTTTTGGTTCAGAATCTGTTGCATTTGCAGAAATTCGGTTTTGATCGATTGTTTTCAATGTCTCAAACTCTTCAAATCCTGCAACATAGTCTCTGTTGGAAATTGTGAATAAGCTTTCGTCATTGAAATTGGCTATACTCTGTAATGAAGATTTTGTCCCATGTGGCACATAGTTATTTGGATCAGATGTGTAGGATTTTGGTTGACTAAAGTTATGATAAGGCTGGGTATTATTATATGCACTGATATATGTATCATTACCATATTGTAGATTCTCTTTCTGTCTTTTCCAAGTCCTCTTACTTGAAAAATCTAAATCATCCCCTTGAGACATCTGTCCTTTTCTGTTGTTGCTATAACTACATATAGAGGTAAGACAGTAGCATCTTAATATCCATGTATGTACATAAAAGTCACAAATTAAAATGTATTCCAATATCAAGTTTAAAAACGAAATCGGTAGTTTAATACTACAAATATGGAATGTTTTCAGATGACCACAATCTTCGCAAATTTTGTAACATAAGGGCTTGCTAAAATTTATTCTCAGATTAAAATTTCATAAAATGTCATCTATATTTTTTTCTTTTCTTAAAATTCATTCCATTTAAAAGTCTGGTAAACAAAAGCAAATAAATTACCAACCAAGAAGATACACTTAATATGTTTAAAGTATTAATTCAAATATTTTATGACTTGCAATTTTAGGAGACTCTGTTTAAAAATATTAGAGGAATGTAATATCAAATTGTTTACTTTTTACCTGCTTCCACTGTCTCTTTTTCTTTTTTTAGATCTATAAAACTGGTTCCCATCTGTGGTATACAAATCCTCCCCAGGTTGTTGGTCATCAGAGGTGGATCTTTCACATGCTTCCTCCACGTACTGACTCCACTTACTGTCAGAATTATCAGAGGTGGATTCTTCACGTGCTTTCTCCACATACTGACTCCACTTACTGCCAGAGTTGTCACAAGGAACGTCCAGATTCTGTATTGATAACAATTTTCATGCTCCATCAATGATTATACAGTATAATCAGTGTTTTCCATTAGAACCAGCTACTGGTCAAACTCAGTTGATAAAAATGCTGCTTAAAAATCAAAAATTTAAATATAATTGTTGTAAGGTCCACAGAGGTTTTGTTCATAAACCTCAACCTCTAGCCAGTTACAATTGATCTGTAACCCTTCACTCTGAAATAAAGGGAAAACACTATAATATGTCTGATGGTGCAACTGTTAGGGTGAGTGCATAAAATTAATTAATTCTACAACTTCTAAAATATCAATTTGCATGCTGTAGATGCTGCTGCTAATGACACTACAATTTCCAGTAAACTCCTGTAGCCTGCTTTTACTTCATCTCATAAGGTCATATTTATGACTAATAGAAATTTTTATAAAACTTTGCAGACTCCCTTTTCATCAGGATTGAGATTCTAAACTTCTCAGATGGGATATTTCTGGAAAAAAAGGGCAATACCAGTGTCATATAAACAACAAAAATATGATGTTATATGCAAAGTCACATTAAACAACCAGAAGATTTCAACTCTCTGTTCGTACACATTATCATTAGAGCTTGCAGAAACACAGCTCACTGCTACAATGTATATCAGATTTTTCAAAATCAAACAATATTTGTTAAAAAACACTGCTTTGATGATTTTCGTAAATCATATTAATACATGCATTGTACAGTAAAACCAAATTTTCATCAGATTTATCTGACGGACCAGTGCTTTTGGGATAGACTGCTTGTTGATCTGAACATCACTGGTTCCAAAGAAATTGGCTGTATTAGACAATATTTCTGATTAGACAACATTTTAAGCAATTGAATTTAATGAAATGGACTTACACATCATATTAGGCAAGATTCTGGATTACACAACATCTAGATTAGACAAGTTTCACTTTAGTTTCAAACTTCTTAGAATTGCTATAAGAATTTTACACTTCCTTGTAATATTCCAGCCAATTCTAACCCCTATGATTTGAAGTCATATTTCTCACATTAAAAGTCAATTTATTTTCTTGAATCCCTTATAAACATTAAACTTTTATCAAATCTAGACAGACAGCTAGGGCTAAAAATTGGTGCTACAAGACCTCAGTATAAAACAAACCTGACCTCTTCATGTTCTATTTGAGTAGATCCTGAATCGTTATCCTCTGAGAAATTCTGATAAGAACTGATTGCCACTGATACATCCTGCTGCTGCCTGAGAGTATTCAGTCTCTGTACATGATGTCTGCAGTCTGCACCACTTCCCCTACCAAAAACCTACAATTAACAAAGCACAGACTTAACTTAGGTATCTCAAAATCAAGATTTTATAGCTGATTCTTCAACGTCTTTGATGAGATTATACAATTGAAAACACTACGAAAAGTGTGTTTTGCTCAATGACTACTCTTTAAAAAAACAAAAAAACAAAACAAGATGTGTTTGTGAAACACTGATGCCCCTGTTTGGCAGTTCAAGGCGAAGGTTAAAGTTTCTCATATGTAATTCAAACTCCAAGGTCAAGAGATGAGAAGTATTGGTACCCAAAGAAAGATCTTGTCACAAAGAATACAACTGTGAAATATGAAAGCCTCAACTGTTCAATAGTTATGGCCAAGGTTAAAGTTTTTCAAAAGTACATCAAACTCCATGGTCAAGGTCAAAGGGTAAAAATATTGATACCCAAGGGAAGGACTTGTCAAAAGGAATAGACATGTAAAATATGAAAGCCCTAGCAACAACCAATCCATAGTTATGGCTAAGCTTAAAGTTTTTCAAAAGTACGTCAAACTCCAAGGTCAAAATTGTTGGTACCCAAGGAAAGGTCTTAATATCTTAAGAAATACACAAGTGAAGTATGAAAGCCCTAGCTCTAACTGTTCAAAAGTTATGGCCAAGGTAAAAGTTTGGTAAAATTTTGCAAAATTGGGTCAACTCCAATGTCAAGAGGTCAAATATGGAAAGGTCTTGTGACTCTTGTCACAAGGAATACACATGTGAAATATGTGAAATATATGCCATAGCTTCAACCAATAAAAGTTATGGGCAAGGTTAAATTTTTGCAGACAAACAGACAGACCAAAATCTATACCTGGATGTTACACAAAGGAAATCGCGACATTTTTAAAGTTCAGTGGCTATGACTTTCTCAGTATGTTGAGTGAGTGATTTAAATAGCACTTTTTTCTACAGGTACACATGCATACCAATTATGGTATTGACATTTTACAAGGTTATATCTGCAGATGGTATGCTAAATAACTCCCTTACTTTCTTGATAGACTGCTTCTCGCCACAAAGTTTACAGTTCCATTTGTTACTGGATTTTTTTACTTGTTGTACTTGAAATGTGGCACAACTGTAGCACTGGAGGACATGGAATTCTTGGGGCATCTTTCAGGATAATTGGTACATGTCAAACCTAAGAAAATCATGCAATATTTGTAGCTTAATTAAAACACTTTCTGATAAATGGCAAAAACAAAATACAAATAAAAAACAAATTCTATCACTTCTCACAAGGTAACAATCATTGGGAATTAAGTTCTCATACAATTGTCCAATATATCTTTAAATCAATCAAAAAACATATATGTACATGTAGGTCAAAATCTTCACTTAAGCCAAAGTTACATGTAAATGGATTTTACAGCTGGGACCAATTGTCCAAATATTAGCCCATTTGGGATATAATATCCCTAATAGGATATGAAATGACAATTTTTATTTGGAATTTTTTCTCTTAAGAACATTGGCAAGTCAGGGTTTTCCGGAGAAAAAAGGTTTAATACATGGGTTTTTCCACTTATAAAATAGTGATTGAGAGTGATGCCCCATGTAGAATTCTCGAAGTGGTGAAAACCAATAAAGCGTATGTTATAGAGGTAAACAAAAGCATGTGTACTTCCTTCAACGGGGTAGAATCATCTATACAGCAAGAAAGACAAGAGGCCCATGGGCCACATCGCTCACCTGAGCACATTGGCTAGGCAAAAGCACAAATCAGTTCAGTATTGAAAAGACAGGGGGAGGGGGGGGGGGGCTTGAATTTTAAACTACCTGATGATGCTTCAATGTCAATGTAACAAATGGCTTTGTTGTACTTGAAAAGATTTTAAAAAAAATTCCCATATATTCCTTTGTAAAAATTTGATCCCCCATTGTGGCTCCTCCCTATCCCAGGGGTCATCAGGATCTATCTATTTCATTTGACTACCATTTTCACATAAAGGGAGAAAAATGAGAATAACTGCTTGACATTAGTGCTGGAAGTGTGAATATACTATGGAAGTCAGGAAGCATGCCCACCACTCTTCTAAAACCCATAAAATCCTCATAGTTGCCTTTGCAGACCTGCCTACCCTATTTATTGCAGGAGTGTAATACATGTATCAATCCTCATTTTGGTGGAATGTTGACAGGCAAAAGTGTAATCCATCATGTTTCCCTATTTTGATGTTTTACTGCGATACTATCAGACTATATTGAATATCATTTAAAAAGGGGCATATGATTTTTTGACTTATTCAATTCAATTTATTGACATCACCATGTAGGCAAATGTCAAAATAAGAAAACAAATTACAAATAACAGAAAAAAAGAAGAATATTATAACATTATTACATGCAAAGAATTATAAAAAAAATTATAGAAGAATATTGTAACATAATTTTATGCAATACAATTTTACACAATTCCTTATGGTTGTATGTTCGTTTGCCCTAAAATTTGTTCGCCCTTGACGCCGTTTGCCCCAATTCTCCTTTGGCTAGAGTCCGATCGCCCTTAAACTTGTTCGCACAGGGTTCTTTCACCTTATTTATATTGCAGAAAGTTGAATAATGAACCAGTGGATTTTTTAAAATAAATTATATGTACAATGATACATAAATTGCACACGGGAGACAACAGACGTATGCATGTGGTCACACTAAATAACTCTCTTATCAAATACCCGGCAGACCAACAGAAATTTATGTCTCCATCCTTTAATTGTTTTCAAAACATAACGCAGATTGTAAAAAAAAAAAACAAAAAAAACCCCCAGATATGATCAAGCTTATATACCTTAATTTATCAGGGTATTGTGCTGGACCTGTTTGTAATATTATAATCACATGGGTTTACAAATTCTTTAATGGGATCAGTACCACAGTATTAATATATTTATATTTTTATTTATTTATATACATCATAAATAAAATAAGATTTATTATGAAATGATTTGGGCTATTATCATCATTCCTTTAAGTTACAACTCTCGATCATGAGGAAATTTCTCGTCTGTCAATTGGTTAATTTTGTACGCTGGAGTATACTTTCGAATCAAACAAATTAGGTCTACTTACCATAGTCAAATCAACAGTGATCAATATATTAAACTGTTCAACGCGTTGTTTTTTTTTTTGTTTTGGTCAAGTTAAAACAGTTAAATAAATAAAAGTATTTTGTGTATCTAAATGTTTAGTCGTATTAAATTTGAACTCTTTTTTTGGCACAAGATCGTGTAAATGTAACAAATCTTAATCAACACATAGATATCAGTAACAAGAACTAAAGAAGATCTCATACATCTGAAATTCTACCTCGAATTTCCCTCCCTTTTTTATTTTGATAAGCTAAGGCGTTCTGAAAAGTGGTCTTTTGAAATATATTTCTTACATATCACTAAAAGTATTTTACTACCAGTTTAATTCATTTGGATTATATTTTAAATGTTGAACTATATTCAGGTCTACAAGAATTAGAGGATAAAGCAATGTGAATTTGAAAAACAGATAAGAGTTATTTTTTGATCGAGTTAATGTGTGTCGACTACCCCCACCGTTCCATCAATTTCCATTTCCAGTGAAATTGGAATTTTGAAAATATTGCAAATCATCATTTTGCAAACCATTTAGTCACAATATTTTGAGGAACTTAGGCATGCCTAGGGAAAAGTCATATTCGCCACGAAGAGGCTATAGAAGGTAAATTATGTCTATGCCTGATAGAGTCGAATTTCCTCAGTTTTGCACATGGAGAAACTTGTAACAGTAAGGTAAAAATAAACTGTTAACTCTTCAAATGACATTTTTGAAGGTTAAATATAGCATGCATGTTTGATATTTTTTAAGTTATAAAAAACAGTTTTAATTTAAATATTCTACTTTCATTTCAATAACGTACAAAATGTCAAATGCAAAGTACACAACCTTTTTTTTTTGTTGATTTTGTCATTTGTAAATGGGGAAGTGCATTTCAATTATTAAAAATATTTCATATCAAGAACATATCCGTATTTAATGTATGCTGTACAGTATTTATATGTGTATTAATTAATAAAGCAGCTCATAACTTTCCAGTGAACCTTGCATATAGATTCTTTAAAATCTTTAAGAAATGAGGCACATTGCTTTGTGTTGTTTAATGTGGTGGTGCTAAAAATAACACAACTTTATTAACAATGTTACATGTGAGCATAAGTAGAGCACTGTATAAAAATAAACTTGGTTTTACTCTGAATTTAGATAGAACATTCTATCGTTAAAATGATATTGTCCTACGGACCCGGTTTAATGATAGAATTCGTTCCGTGTATTTGCAATGTTGCAAAAAAACAAGGGCGATAACTCGAACTCTGTACATTTTCTATGAACAATCCAGAGAGTTCCGAATGTCAACATGGCATGTAAATTTGAAGCGAGGAAAAATGTTGAGAAAATGAGTTGAATTTTCAAATTTATATGGATTATTTTTTAGGTTAAAAGGCATACATGTCTGCAATCTCAAAAAGGTTTGTTACAATTAATTTGGTAGTTATTTTCAGTGCAACTCCTTTTATTGGATCCACTCTGATTTGCTACATTGCAACTATATGGGACATATTCTAACTGTGGTGAGGGCTTGTCCTGAGACACATTTAGATTATTCTAACTACTCTGAATTGAATTCAAAACAGGTCCCACATGACCTAAAAGTGTTTATTCAGTTAGTTTTGCCTCTTTATCTTCCAGTGTCACATTTAAGCATAATTATACCTCGCGCAACAAGTTGTGGGGGGTATAATGTTTTTGACCCGTCCGTCAGTCAGTCAGTCCGTCAGTCCTGTTTTTTTGTCAGCGCAACTCCTCATAAACCGCTGCACAGAATTTGGTCAAACTTTGCAGATATTTAGTACACAGTGTGTAGATGTGCATATTACCAGGAAATTCAGATTCCATTATTTTTGCCCTAAGAGTTTTGCCTATTATTGAAGAAACTTTCCAGCTAGGTAATAAGGAAATCCACTGGAGTCAGCTTAAATTGTAATGAAATTTTATGTGAAATATTTTATGACCTTAAAAGACCCCATTGATTTTGAGATCAAAATATTAATGATTTAACACTAACACACACACACACAAAATCTTGGATAGTTCTCACCCCCCCCCCCCCCCCCCCCCCCCTTCAAATTGGTGCTTTGCCTTAAATAATTTCATAAGTACAGTATACATGTATAAACAAATTCATATGACTACATCATAATTTTGTTTCCATCAATTATTTAAATGTGTAAATTGTCATGTGTTAGACATGGACTTGCACTCATTAACAAATCGAAATCACTGAGGAATTTAAATAACAGTTTGTCAGCATAACTCCAGCACTGATTTTCCTAAAACTCTGTAGGTATTTCAGACATAATGTATAGATTTGTATATTACCAAGAAATTTTGATTCCAATATTTATCTAGAAACTTCAGCCCAGTTAAATTTTTAACATATAAAGATTTGAATTTCCTTATATGCAAGAAGTTTTGATGTGATGATTTTTTGCAAGTAATGCCCCTTTTTGAATTATACTGTGTATTTAAAATGCACTGTGCCATTCAATATGTGTGGCATTGTCGAGTTTTTGGGGAGCGTGGGGTATGTGAGCTTGCTCACTTTTTCTTTCATTTCTATATATATCCATATTCTGTGTTTTCCAACAACCTTGAGTTATGCATGATATCCTCAAAATCAATGAAAAAAAATGTGCCTGACTGATCCAGACTTGTTTCTAATCTGAAAGTGGTCGTAAGATGATGTATTTATTTCAACCTTTTTAGTGCCAAGGAAGTGAGGTTGAATTCCCACTATGAATGGTACTTGACGCCAATATGAAGGCTAAGTTTGGGAGTTTAAAGAATTATTGACATGTTTTTTTCCCCCATCTTATTGTATCTTTTTAGCAGGACACCAGAGAAACGCTATGACAGAAGAAAAAGGTCAAGATCACCTAGAGGATCAAGATCACCAAGAAGGTCAAGGTCATTCTCCCCGAAGTACAGAGGGAAAAAACAGTTTTCTCCAAAACACAGATCTTTAGGATTTAGCAGAGGAAGAGGAGGAGGATACAATGTGCCTTATGGAAGGTGATTTCTACAAAATATTTTTGTATAATAAATGAACTTTTTTAGTGAATTATAAAATTCCAAGAGTTTTATGTAATAATGAAGTTGAGTTTACTTGATAAAGTTAAGGATTAAGAGTCTAAATGAACAGCTCACATAAAAAAAAAAAATAAAAAGGGATATTTATGAAGTCTTCCATAAAGGAAAATTCTCCATTAACTTGATTAAAACAACAAATATGACAACATATTCAACATATTTTGCAACCTTAAATCATGGATTGTTTCATTTAATGATTATTGATGAATAAGTGTTCTTAATTTTTTTTTCTTTCACAAAACATGAAACAAACACTAGTCTTTAGATTCTGACATTCACAACTTTATTTCATAACAAATTTATTAGTTTGGGATTATATTATTTATGATAAGAAAAAAATATATAAAACGAAGAGCCTTTGCATTGTGACCCTTGTGTTTGGCAGTGTTACGGTACCATGTCACAGTGACATTGATAGATAAGGCATAGAGTAAAATATGGTTACAGAAAATACACTTATAATGAATTCACTTTTATAGTGAAGTGATTCTTATTTCCTGTACATTTTAAAATATATCATAAGCTTAACAGATATAATGAAATTTGTTTATAATGAATCAGAATTGTTTGTTCCCGCACCTCTCTATAAATACATAGTTTTACTCAATTTACTTTTCTGAAATGTATATTTTCTTTGTTGAAAATATGATTTTTACACTTTTTGAGATTAACAGTACAGTACATATGTACATTATACAAATACTTATATAGTTTATCCTCTCTCGAAATTTTTTTTTTTTTTTTTTTTTTTTTTTTTTTTACAACAGAAAACCTTCATTTGAAAAACGTGACAGATCTCCATATAGAAGAGATTCAGGCCATCGTTATTCTAGATCTCACTCACCATCACCAAAGAAAAGGTCTCGTTCCCGCTCACCAAGGAGAAAGTCCCCTGAAGTATCTGGGAGGGGATTGCGACCAATAAGCTTGTAAGTAAAGATGTATCCATGGTTGTTTAATTATGTAAAATTTGATATAATGATACTGCAATGAAATGGGGAATATCTAAAATGAAGTCCTTAAAGAATGAGTTAGACTCTAGTAATATCTTGTTTAACAATATAAAAAGAAGATACATGTAAATGTTGTAAGAAAAATTTATATTACAATTTCCAATCTGTATATTACATGTAATATGGATTTTGCAGAATTTCAAGTATAGTATTTAAAAAGAACTTGCAACATGTCAAATATATGGACAGGATGATGTTTCTGCATTCTCAATATGAAATCAGTTGTCTTTGACAAATATTCTCTACAAGATATATTGTTGTCTTTGTGCAGGGATGAAAAGAGGAGAGATTCATTTAATGTAGGATTAGCATCACTGGGACATCCTGAGACATCAACCTTTCCTGTTTCCCTTGAGGACCCCTTCAGTAAACCTTCATCCTCTCTGGGTGTTGGGGGATTTAAATCCTATCGGGATCTGTCACCTGACAACTCTCTCTCAGCACTGCCCCCTGGTGTCATTGGAACAGTGACAGTAGCTCCCCCTAGTTCCAGGAGGCCACTTTTATCTGAGAGATTCGAAAGTATTGACTCAGACTTTGTAGGACCAATCAGAATTGATGAAAACATCACCATAGGGATTCATCGCACTGGCCCTAATCTACGCAATACTTCAAATAAGCCTGTTGTTAGGAATATTGATATGTATAATTTTGTTATGTTACGTAGGAGAGATGAAGGAAAGAAGCCTATATTTGATCGAGAGGAAATTAAAATTTTTGGCCTAGATAATATTTTAGATGAGCAGATTTATGATGAGAAGAGAACTATAAGTGTAGTTCCATCCGATGATCACAAGAAATCCATCCGTTCAGGCAGCAGGTACTCCCCAGATAGGTAAGATTTATAGTCTCTGGGCGTTAAACCCAGGTCCTTTTTCTACCTTTGATGATATTAATGTATTCAAATTAAAAATCAAACAAATTTTGAATTTTTATACATGTATGTATTGAGCAAATTAGTTCATAACAGAATTATTGGTGTGATACATTTATCCTTTATATATGTACTTGTTCAAATATATACATGTATTTACTTTAAGACATGGTTTGCAAGGGATTGTCTTAATTTTACTGGAATTCTCTATACCATTAACTTATTGATTTGTAAGTGACAAATTATGGGTGCTTATGAGTAGGAATTTGATATGAATGTGCATGATTAAGTGTAACCTTCAGTTGAAATAAAACAAGTAATTATGATATTAGACAGGACACAAGAACTGTGCGATCTGCAGACCGATCCAGAGAACCCAAAGTCAGGTAAATAAAGAGAGTATTAATCATAGTGTCAGAATTCAGGATAGCTTCCGAATAATATGTAGACACCTGGGCTTATATGGAAGACTTATATAATTATTTGACATGGTTATTTTTTAAATATGAAGGACCAGTCACTCATTATAAATTGAATTAAAGAAATTAAAGTGAATTGTCCTCCAACAGGTTGAATCCTAAGCCTGATCCTCGGTATGAGAAAATCTTCCAGGAATCAGAGGCATATGATAGTAAAAGCATTAATCCAAATGACTTACGGCATAATCTGATGAAACGGAAACATGATGATGAGGATTCTTTTGATGCAAGGTAGATCAGAGTCTTGTGAATGTTTGAGGCAACTTTATCGAAAGGAAATTGTGAATAAATTGATGACTCACATGTTATCCAATATATTCAGATATGGCTGTTGCACAATGATTTTAGCATGAGGATTTTTTAAAATACTAAACATGACTTCAATGAATTAGAAAAAAAAGCAAAATTAATCATAATTTGAAAAAGTAAACATAAAATCAGTTTTAGAACTTGGTAAACAGTCGTTGTGTCTGATTGCAGGAGGAAGCTGGAAGATAGGAGGAAAGGCTCAGGACGGGATCACTCGGACAGAGATAGGAAGAGATCACTAGGTAATGTTACTGTATATAACCTAGTAAAAAAAAAACAAGTATGTCATTAAAATTAATAATAAATTCCATGTTATTAAAACTCAGGATGATTCAGTAAATGACCATAAAGGAAAAAGTAAAAGGATGATTGTTAGAGAGGATTATTCTCTTTTCATAGTAACAATATGTGATAGTCATAAGGAGAAATATGTACAGATATTGCTGTAGCAATGTATTCTTGTTACAGATGAAAGGTTAGGAAAGAAGTCTGATTCTGAGGAACTGCCAGATTTTAAAAACAGACCAGGTAAGTCGAATTTTCCAGTTATGTTTGGCAGGCTCACTGAAGATCACTAACTTTTCATGACACCTTATTTTTGAGTGATCGTTGTTTGGTATTTAAAAGCAAAATAAAATTTTCACGAAGTTTGGTTATTGCTCTATATAATCTTAAATAATAGAGTTGTAAGTAAGAATGAAAATTTCGAGACTAGACGGTCTCGCGTAATTACATGAAAATAAAGTTCTCACGAATAAAAAGTGATTTACAGTATTTTGTCTCCCTCAATAGGGTGATGAGATACTGGTTTCATCAAGGGGGCCCATTTATTTGTATTTATCTCCATTATGTGACTTTGTAGTCCTTGACTGGAACCATATAAGTATCATCTTTAATCATGTGCTTGATATGAAGATGTATGATGATCTAGGTCTAGGTATCTCCAGTGTCCAAGCCAAGTGATTTTAATGCAACACTTGCTGGGAAGAAATCTGTTAAATGTGATTTTGTCTTTAAACTAAAAGGAGGTGTATCAGTTTTTGATTCAATGCCATGAGAACAAGTTCAAGACACTGTAATATAGTATGTTGAAATTGAATTGTGATGTTTGAAATGAGAAGCTTGATATTTTTGCCATGACTTAAGGACATACGCAACGTACCTTACCTACTGATAATTTTTCAAGATAATCTTAATTTAAGATTATATTGCCATCAGATGTTCGTAGACAAAAAATGAGCATGCATTATTAGGGGTTTTGAAAAGATACCAATTGATGAAATTTTTTGTACAATTCAAAAAAAAAAATATACAAAAATTACTTAACATATATTCTAGATGTTTTGTTTATGCAAACTTGTTTTAGAAGAAGTGTACAACTGCATATATAGACAATAAAATGTGGAACACAGTTCCTTTAAGTATTGGAACTCTTCAACTCCAGGGAAAAAGACAATGAAGTTCAAACTACGTTGCGTATGTCCTTAAATGTATCATAATCTACACTGAGATAACCATGTTTAACTAAAGACTAAAGTGTTTTTTTATATGCATGTCTTTTGAGGGACATATTATGGTATGAAGCTGTCTGTCATATGTCTATCTGTCTTTGACTGGCTTTATACCCATAAGACTGTGTTACTTTGAGTTATTTTGTAACATAAATTGCTTATTACCATCTTGGACATCCTGGATATTATTTATTTTAGGGAAGTATAAATTTGAAGCATGGAAGGAAAATCCTGAAATGATACCCAAGAATCCAATGTATTTTGAGGTAAGTAAGATTTTAAAAATCATTGCCTGACACCAGGGGGTCAAAATGATAAGTATCAGTATTATGATTATCAAAAATTTCATTTGAAATCTTTTCAAGTGGCAGGTGTTTCTCAATATTAATTGAATGAACAGGTTTGAAATGCTGTGATTGTACTATACCATCTTTATAATTGTTCCATCTGGCTCTCACAAAATAAATGTACAGTGTACTTATATTGTTGCTTCAAATTAAATGCAAGTTTGTCTGAAACTCACAAAATAACATTGATTTTGTATTTCAGCATGATAACAGAGAAGGAGATTCTGGTTCAAGAGGAAGATTTAATAACTCTCGGGGATTTCGAGGACGATTTCGGAGGCCCTTCAGAGGAGGGTACCGAGGACGGGGGTTTAGAGGCAGATTCAGGGGGCGTGGCTACAGTAATTACAGACCAACTTCTAATGACTATTCCTCTGAAAGGGAGGGAGATGATGACTATGACAAAAAATATGATTCATATTATAAATCAGGTACAAGTCTGTGTCATTTTATTCTCTGTAAAAGGTTTATGATAAAGTATCAAGCCCTACATTTTACTGACATCTTAATTTCTGTAAATTGCAATTTGTTAGTGGGAAAGCTACCAGTCCTATGACATTTATAGGGTTAGATATTATTTATTGAGATCTAACAGAAATGGAAAAAATATTAAAAGTTAAATTTACCTTTGTAAATGCTGTTTCCTATCATTTCTTCACATTTATTTCAAATCAGCATATTTCTATGAAATGTTAAAACTTGTATTTCAATTATGTCATGAGGGTTTAAAATACATTTGGAGTGTTCCTTTTGACACAATGAAAATCTTGATTCATTATTTTATTTATTCACTGTATGTGTATGTTACTTGATTTTATGTTAGGGCTCATTTATAACATTAAAGAAAGTCCTGTATCAGAGTACAGCTGTACATGTTCTTTTATATGATCCCTGTAATTTTTAATTCTTGTAGATAAACGTTCACGTGACTACTCTGCAGAGGGAGATGACAATTACAACAAAAAATATGGATTTCATTATAAATCAGGTACCAAGAGTTTTAAGTATTTCATATGACTCTACTCTCTTACTTTTAAATGAATTTTTTCCCCCAAAAATTGTCAGATTTCATGCAGTATAATATGTATACAAGGTAGAAAGTTCTCACTTGATATAGACAAAAGACATTGAAAAAATATGCATAATGATAACAAATTGTTTTGATTTTAGCTTAAATCACATTGATATTATTGTAAAATTTGTAGATAAACGTTCACGAGATTTAGACACCTGGAAACACGACTTGTATGACGCCATAGAAAAGGAAGAGAAGGAGGATATTAAAACAGAGGACAAGTCACATGATGATAACAAACCGACCAGTACCACGACCACATAGAAATAACAATACTACCACATACACAATCAGTACTATAATATCACACAAGTACCACTACCACATAGAAACAACACTACCACATACACAATCAGTAACATAATACCACACAAGTACCACTACCACTTAGAAACAATACTACCACATACACAATCAGTACCATAATACCACACAAGTACCACTACCACATAGAAACAACACTACCACATACACAATCAGTAACATAATACCACACAAGTACCACTAGCACTTAGAAACAACACTTCCACATAAACAATCAGTACCGTAATACCGCACAAGTACCACTACCACCTAGAAAACAACACTACCACATAAACAATCAGTACCCCACAAGTACCACTACCACCTAGAAAACAACACTACCACATAAACAATCAGTACCCCACAAGTACCACTACCACATAGAAACAATACTACCACATAAACAATCAGTACCCCACAAGTACCACTACCACATAGAAACAACACTACCACATAAACAATCAGTACCCCACAAGTACCACTACCACCTAGAAAACAACACTACCACATAAACAATCAGTACCCCACAAGTACCACTACCACATAGAAACAACACTACCACATAAACAATCAGTACCCCACAAGTACCACTACCACATAGAAACAATACTACCACATAAACAATCAGTACCCAACAAGTACCACTACCACATAGAAACAATACTACCACATAAACAATCAGTACCCCACAAGTACCACTACCACATAGAAACAATACTACCACATAAACAATCAGTACCCCACAAGTACCACTACCACATAGAAACAATACTACCACATAAACAATCAGTACCATAATACCACACAAGCACCACTACCATATAGAAACAACACTACCATATAAACAATCAGTACCATTATGCAACTTAAGTACCACTACCACATAGAAACAACACTACCACATAAACAATCAGTACCCCACAAGTACCACTATCACATAGAAACAACACTACCACATAAACAATCAGTACCATTATTCCACACAAGTACCACTACCACATAGAATCAATACTACCACATAAACAATCAGTACCATAATACCACACAAGCACCACTACCATATAGAAACAACACTACCACATAAACAATCAGTACCATTATGCAACTTAAGTACCACTACCACATAGAAACAATACTACCACATAAACAATCAGTACCATAATACCACACAAGCACCACTACCATATAGAAACAACACTACCATATAAACAATCAGTACCATTATGCAACTTAAGTACCAATACCACATAGAAACAATACTACCACATAAACAATCAGTACCCCACAAGTACCACTATCACATAGAAACAACACTACCACATAAACAATCAGTACCATAATACCACACAAGTACCACTACCACATAGAAACAATACTACCACATAAACAATCAGTACCATAATACCACACAAGTACCACTACCACATAGAAACAATACTACTATATAAACAATCAGTACCCCACAAGTACCACTACCACATAGAAACAATACTACCATATAAACAATCAGTACCATTATGCAACTTAAGTACCACTACCACATAGAAACAATACTACGACATAAACAATCAGTACCATAATACCACACAAGCACCACTACCATATAGAAACAACACTACCACAAAAACAATCAGTACCATTTTGCACCTTAAGTACCAATACCACATAGAAATATCAACACCACATAAACAGCCATTACTGATATTCCACTCAAGTACCACTACCACAGAGAAGCCTTATACATTATAAACAATCAGTGCTGTTATCTATATCATACTAGTACCAGTACCACATAGAAACATTAATACCACATTAACAATCTGTACCATTCTACACAACTGACACTACCTAACAGATGAAACATTTCTGCTTCCACACAAACAACGTCCGCATAAATACCACTACCATCTAGAGGCTACAGCTTTAATATTAAGAAAGATAGCAACTCCAAAACCATTTAAAAATGGTACAAGTACTTGCTTTAGCTGGAAGTATCCATCATTATCATCAGATCATTTGCCAAAGAACAACAAAGATTTCACTGAGACTTCCGTTTGAGTCTCCCTAGATTCCATCGTGTGTTCTCAACATTTCCATACACAGTCTGACAGAAGATGATCGAAGTACTTTTGAATTGGTCATTGTATCCCTACAACATGTTGTGTCTATATGTTTCAGTCTGTGTAGTTTGTTTGTGATGAAATTGCATGAAACTTGTTGATTGTCCATATTTATCATGCAGTTGTAAATGAAAAAAAGAGATACAAGTTGTCAACATGTTTATTGTTCACATAATTTTTGTGTACAATGTAGATAAGTATTTTTACACTGATTTTTTTTTTAAATGTATGTATGAATTTGATTGGACTGTAGAGTAATTAGAGATGAGCGAGTTTTATCCTGCTGATGGTTTTACAGAAGTGTACCAGAATCAAAAGTGTTCAAGGTAGGGAAATTTCTTTTCTGTTTGTAATTTCTAGCTATTTAACAATGGAAACCTGTACAATATATTTGTAATCATGTGAGGTATAAATGAATAAAGCTAAAATTCATAGCATTTTGTTTTGTTTTATACTGTCAAAAAATATACAATTTATATACAATTTATACTTGTATAACTTTTAAGCTTGCCTATGACAGTTTGAATTATGGCAACACCAGTAATGTAACCTTAATTATACTTTTAGAGGCTGGGTAAAGTTTTAAGAGTAGAATGACGCATATTCAATATTGCTCATTTTTTAAATGAATGCAATTTCTACAGGTAAATAAGGTGTGTTTGTGAAACACTGATGCCTGGTATGGCAGTTCAATTAAGGTCATTGTGGTCTAAAGTGAGATCTTGTCACAAGGAATATACATTTGAAATATGAAAGTCCTAACACCAACTATTCAGAAGTTATGGCAGAGGTTAAAGTTTTAAAAAGTAGGTCGAGCTCCATAGTTGAAGTCACAAGGTTAGAAGTACTGGTATCCACAGAAAGGTCATTAGGAATACAGTGAAATATAAAAGCCCTAATAGCAACAATTGTTCAAAAGTTATGGCCAAGATTGAAGTGTGGTTTAAGTTTTTCAAAAGTAGGTCGGACTCCAAGGTCATAAGGTCAAAAGACAAAGGTGTTGGTACTAAGAAAGGTCTCGCAAAAGGAATACATATGTGAAATATGAAAGCCCTAGCACCTCAACCGTTCAAAAGCCATGGTCAAGGTTTGTTTGGTTAACGTTTTTTTTTTTTTCAAAAGCAGGTCAAATTCATGAGGCAAAAATTTTGGTTCTCAAAGGCAGGTTTTGTCACCAGCAATATACACGTGAAACATAAAAGTATGGCACGCCAATTTCACAAAAATTAGCGAAACTTAGTTTCACAGTTGATAAACTAGGTTTATCGACTGTAAACTATAGTTTACAAACTGTGAACTATAGTTAACGATTCGTTAACTATAGTTTTCATCTGTAAAACTATATTTAACGGTTGTTAACTATAGTTTACGAATGCTAATCTAAGTTTATCTGTCTGTAATTAAACGTTAACAATAGATTTTGTTGATAAACATAGATTCACATCTGTAAACTATAATTTACAATCGTGAACTATAGTTAAGAGTTGTTAATCATAGTTTCACAAATCGTGAAACTATATTTATCAGATAAACTATGTTTTACATTCGTTAACAACAGATTTCGGTTGTAAACTATAGTTAACTGTCATTTATACTCACAAACTATATTTAACAGACGTAAACTATACTTATCGATCGTAAACTATAGTTTTGAGAGCTAAACTATGATTCACATTTGTCAATCATAGTTTATCGTAATAAACTATAATTCACACTCGTAAACTATAGTTAAGAGTTGTTAAATATAGTTTATGAATCTAAACACCTGTTAACTGTTAACGATAGTTTTCAATTCGAAATTTCGCGGCACCAATCGCGAGAAGCAATAATGGGGTAATGGGGTATATGTCTCTGGTTTTATCAGTACGGAGAATATTAAGGACACGTGTTGGGCATTATCTAAAGCAAAGACCGAGTTATATATAATCAATATTACTTTCTCTATTTAAACAGGATTAATTGTATTTGTTTTAAAATGTCGTGTATATATACATTTCCAATGGGGACATTTTTAGAAATATGATAAAATTTAAATTTTTTAAAGGCAGAATATTACGAGATTTTTGCTCAAGCAGAGGAGGGTGAAGCGAGTTTTACAATGTGCCAAGCATTTTCCCGCCACATCTCATCACCAAAACAAAGAAACTGAAAGAGAGGAAATGCAGTGGCGGATATAGATAGGGATGTGGGGGTTTCAACGTCCTCCTTTGAATTTAAGAGAGAGAGAGAATGAGAGAGAAGTCTCAAATATTTGTTGTGTTTGTTCCGTGAAAGGCCACTTTTATTTATGTATGAAGAAAATTCGGTTGTTGAAAAATAAATTCCGCGCTGCAATGTTACATGTACTGTGTTATGTCTTTATTTACAGATGAATATAAGATATACATGTATTTTATTAATGACAGATCACGCATTTCGGTCTCTATTTTTCTCTTTTAAATAAAAAAAATAAAATTTTAATAATTTTCCAGTCATTTTTCTTTTTATTTCCAACTAGATTTGCTTTAAAATAATAGAACATTTACTTATAACGTCAAGAAATATACATGCATATATATTTAACAACAATTGTCGTTACATAGCAAAATCTTATAATGATGTAACTAGGATTAGCCGATCTATAATTTACAAAAAACAAAAAAAAAAAAAAAAACAAACTATTGTTAACTATAGTTTTGATCGTAAACTATGGTTTAGAGTCGTGAAATCTAGTTTCACAGAAAATTGTGCATCTCCGATACAAAATAAGAGATTCTGTTCCTAAACTGTGTTTCTCAAGTGTAAAACTATGTTTATCGCATTTTTGTGAATTTGGCGCTTTGTATGTCTGTAAAGTATACTTTACAAAGCCTAAACTATAATTTACATTTGTTAAGTAGAGTTTAGAGTTGTAAATCATAGTTTACAAATCGTGAAACTATATTTATCAGATAAACTATATTTTGCATTAGCAAATGATTGTTTTCCGTGTTAATTATAGTTTACGCTTGTGAAACATAGATTATCGTGTAAACTATAGTTTACATATGTGAAATATAGATTATCGTCGTTAACTATAGTTAACGGGCTGTAAACTATAGTTTACAGTCGATAAACCTAGTTTATCAACTGTGAAACTATGATTAGCTCATTTTTGTGAATTTGGCGTGCCATATAAAAGCCCT